CGAAGCATCATCAAGCAGCTGCAGTACACACGACACCAGATAAGATAACGTGTTTTGTAGTTTTATTTCAGTGCGGAGAACGCGGAGAAAGAATGACGAATTGTGGCATTTTTGATTTATCACTAGGTAAATACAACTAGGAATGATAAAAATACAAAGTGTTATATGTCATTGGAAACCTGGTTAAATTATCTATAAAACTGAGTATAACAAGTGATTGTACTAGTTTCCGTTTAATATTTACAGAGTGTTTAAAGTGATGAAATTTTTTGTAAAATTTTGCATTTTGCATTTTTTTTTAAATTTTTTTTCCTTAAGTAGGAAAACAAAAATACATATTGTTATACATCATTAGAAAGCTAATTAAACAATACATAACCTGATAATTTTTATTTTTAATTAGTATGGCCATACTAAAAGATACTAAGTGTTTAAAATGAAAAAGTTTCAATATTGCAATCGATTGCGTAATTCGATTTTAAGCTGGTTTAAGATAATTAATTTTACTATGTTTCATTATCATATCGAAGCTAATTAAATTATCTACAAAATGACATAAATTTCACTTAAATATGTTGTTTGTGTCAATAGTTAGACAGCATTAAATTAAGGCCAATGTAACTGTGTTTATGACTTTACATAACTTTTTACTTTGTCGCCATTTTAAGTCAACTTCCGGTCGTTCGACAGCACATATCAATAGTTCATATTAAATTGAATTTAATTAGCTTTCATAAACCATATAAACAATCATATAACGTCGATTATTTCGACTATAAAATTTTAGTTTTAAAATATTTTTGTTTTGTCACAACAAAATTTAAAAACCAAGATTAATTCACCCGAGAAACCCGTTAAAATCAATCCTGAAAGCTCTGAAACACCATGAAAGCTTTATGAACTCGACAGCCGAGGCACTAAAACTAAATATTGCGGCCGGCAGCGAACCGCTTTGTTTTATAACGTTTGGCTGCATACACAACAGCGTCGTTCATTATGAAAGAATGCCTTTGAGCCGGCCAGCAGATTAGTCCGGCGCGGGCAAAAGGGACACCGGAAACAGGAAAGAAGTGTTAATTAATATCGGAGGAAATTGTCCCATATGTGCGCCAGTATGAGGCGGCGGGTGTGAGTGAACGTAACCATGCCTACGATCACGGCGCCCAGTATGGAAACCGTCGAACGAAAAGTGGAAGCAATTAATTTACGACCCGATTGGAGCGGGATAGGAAATTAAAATCTCGGCCCAATGGAAATTAATTAGTGCACGTCGCGAACGATAAATCTGCGATGTTTTCATTAATTTTCATACGCAATTTTATTCGGATTTAGCATAAAAAGCGGTAATTTTAGGTTAGAGTATGAATTTTTGATTGCTATAGTGATTGTCGTATATCTTTGGAAAGGTAATTAAATTTCCTATCAAATAAAACTTTTATAGCTAAGAAATGTTACATTAGTAAAAAGTTACAGGGCGTTGAAAATTGGAATTAATTTTTTTTATGCAAAAAACATATTTTTTTTAAATTGGCTGTATCTTTGGAAATAAACAACAAATTTTAAAAATTGTTAAAGCAAATGATAGATAAATACATAAACTTTAATTTGACATTAATTTCAACAAAATCTAAAGATTGGTTTAGGCGTTATAAGCATTCAAACAAGAGAAACCAAAAAATGAAAAATTTTCATCGATATTTCAGTTTTGTATCAATTTAAAACTAATTTCGCAAATAATTTATTGTTAAAATTATACACGATATGAAAGATAATTTAATCCTCTACAATTCAACGTTTTCCGTTAATTACTAGCTCATCTAGTTTAAAAGTTATTCGTTTCCAAAAATTAAAAAACAAAATTTGAAACTTTTGACATTTTGTTACAAAAACTCATTTTATTCAAAAAAATTAAACAAAAATTAATATAATTAAATGTAATTAGAAACATCATTAAATTATCTATAAAATGAAATATTTTTACAAAAAATCCAATGAATACTTTAGGAGTTATTTACCAGTAAAATAAAAAATGCACCAAAAAAATCTAAATGTTCAAGTAATTCTCCTAAGCCTAAATTTTGTAAAATTCCACAACCCAAATGTAATTTTTCAAACCTCGTTGTAATACCAGCTTGTGCCCACATGACACATGTCATTCTTACACGCAAAGTCATTATTCTCGTCATTCTGGAACAAATTACCGGCCAGCAACCGACGACAAAAGCCGAACTAAAATGAATGAACGTCCCCACGACTCACGGCCCCAAAAAGGTGCGCAACAAATGTCTCCCTTTTTTTCATTCTCTAGTTACCTGTAAAATTACCGCCCAAACATCCAGCACTACCATTACTAGGAATAGCAATGATTGCATATTGCAAGTGATTGCAAGCGACGTATCAAAACACTTCGTTTTGCTTACTTTGACATCAGACAATTATTTATATTTATAGCGACTGGTTTTATAATTGCGTGTCTGCTTCTACGCAGTAGGCAGTATCGAGGGAATTGATGAAGCAGTGCAGACGAGTGCAGAAATGCATAAAAATTAGCTTCCGATGCGAACGCGAAATTGGTGCATGAAGCACATGCGTGGTTATTAAATCGTTTTTCTGCTGCCGTTGCCAAGGCACAGCGCATTTCATTGATATTGCTGGTCGTACAACTTCTTCAACACGTCGAAAATGCTGATGATCATTAAAAGATGGTAATTTTATGCTATAAAGGTGTATTTTTAGAATTATAGAACCAGTTTTAAGACTTTTGATTTTCTTATTTGCATAAAACAATTATTATTGAACGTTGTATAAAACTTTATTGATGGGATAATATCTCATTTTGTAGTGGATAAAATTCTGCGTAAAATAAAAAATATTTGGTCAGTTTTGCATAAATAGGTAAAAAGATACAGGGCGTTAAAATTAAAGTTGTAAATTTTTATACTTTTTTCTTTAAACAAAGATTACTAAAAGAAATAAATAAATAAATAAAAAGTTTTATATATCAATAAAAAGCTAATTAAATTCTCTATAAAAGAGCTTTTAAAGCTTTCTATTTCAACAAATCACATAAAAGTTATTAAGCTTGAAACTTAGCAAAATATTTTTTTGTAAAAAAATTTTTTAATTTTACATTTATTTTCACTTTCAACAAATATCTAATAGATATAAATAAGCAAATTATAAGTGTTATATATCAATCGAAAGCTGATTAAATTACCTACAAAATACTTTTTAAACCTTTAAATTTCACCCAACGGTTTAATAGTTATTAAACATTAAACTTGCCTCAAATATTTTTTTCCAAATTTACCAAACAAAAAATTAAAATTTCGCATTTATTTACACTTTCAACAGATTTCTAAATGATATTTATAAATAAATTATACCCATTATACATCAATCGAAAGATAATTAAATTCCCTACAAAATACTTTTTAAATTATACAATTTCAACAAACGGTTTAAAAGTTATTGCACATTAAACTCATCACAAAATATTTTCCGCGGGAATTCCCCAAAAACTATAAAATTTCGCATTATAAAGTCTGATATCATCACTAAAACCCTCGAGAACATGAAAAACACGTAAACGCTGTATACTTCCACCCTCCCTGCCCACCCCTTGAAGTGTGTGCCTCCCTTTTCACGCTTTATTACGTTATTATATGTGACTGTCATGCTGCGCGCCGCTTCAGTGCCCTTTTTACCTGCGCCGGTGCGCTGGGGCACTCACAAAGCCTTCGCAGCGAAAAAGGGGACTACACTACAACCTACGACCATCGACTGACTATGACTATGGCGGATGCCTGCGGGCAAGCCGGCGTTCTGTGTGTGAACTGCTCGCTTTGCTCTGCATGCGCATACAAACAGCTGAAGAACTTTTGAACCAGCGCAGCAAGCAAGCTTTCGCATTGCTAGAGCGCAGAGTGAGTTCTACGAGTAGCGTAGAAAATGAATGTGCTTAGTGTGCACTACACAACCGGCGTTATGCTAGATTGCATTATGCTGTTTTGTGCTGCGGTTTTCGGAATCTGCCGGAATTCGAACGAACGCTGTCGACAATATTCTTGTCCTAACGAGCGGTTTTCGCAGAAATTCGAGTCGACGTGTTTTTATTTCACGGATTCTTCGAATTCACTTCAATGAAAATGATTACAATTGTTGTTACAACATGAAATAACCTTGAATTTGTAATTAGAGCAATTTTACTATGGTTTTGAAAATTATTTCTGTTTTAAAAGCAATTTTAGCTATGTTCTGATAACGTGGTGATAACAAGTTATATGTCAAATGAAAGGTAATTTTCTTGGCTATCTAAAACACTTTACATAAGTTTCTTATCACGAAACATTCCTTTGTTATTGTTACTTTTGTCTGAGTTTAATTTTTTATGGTACAAAACAGCAACTTGGTATTATTTCGTGAATAAAACCTTCATTCTTGCAGAATTATGTGTCATGTTATATATTATTCGAAAGGTGATTAAATTTTCGATAATATGGTGAAATCCGCATAAAAATATATTAACAACCTAAGATTTTATAACGTTTCAAAGTTATAAAAGAAAAATTTATGATTTCCAGATATTCAAAAACTTTAAACACATTTAGGCCCAATTTACACAATCTTCTGATAATTGCGTGATAACATGTCATACCTCACAAGAAGCGCAATTTAAGTGGCTACTCAGTGCACTTTACAAGTTTTGATTATCTCAACGCATACATAAAATATCCAAACTTTAATGCATTAAAAACAATTTATCACTCGAAAAAACATTATTACCTTATACTGTCCATAAACCATCCTTATCACAAAAATAACTAAACTTGTTATACATAATTTGAAAGCTGATTAAATTTCCTTTCTTCTGACACCACAATCAACCCTATACGACTGATACAACAAAAGTTATCGCGTTTTAAACAACAAAGTAACATTTGATCCCAATGTTTTTCTTAAATAAAAGTGACTTAAGTCTATTTAAACTTTGCACTCACCTCAACGTACGAGTTCTTCGTCCGCACCGCAGCCGGGTCGGTGCATCGAACCATTACCACTCATCGCATCGGACAGAACGCGTCCACGACCGGGCGCTAATTGCTTGCGCACACTGGCGTTAATCACTCACACTCACACAAGCACAATGCGCGCGCGCGCTCACGTCACCGGCGCCGATAACAGCGCAGAGGTGCAACAGTGATAATAATCCAGAATCATGCACACACAGCAATATAACACACAAGACCACCGCAATCCAAAGGCAATACTAATCCGATATCAGGCGATTCGCACAGCGGAGTATATATTCACACTTTGGTTGACTTAAGACGACTTAAGTCAATTTGTTATGTTTTGTTAGGTTAAATACAATAACACTGAGCGCACGGCGCACGGAACACCAGTCTACGTTCTCGACTCAAGTCGAATGAATCCAGCGATGCGACTTAAGTCACTTTGAGGTCGACGGCGACCTCGGGAATGCACCGCACTCTCACCACACTCACACACAGCGCACAATTGAGTTTGATAAGTAAAGTAACTTAAGTCACACAACGTGTTTGACGTGACAAATAACACTCATGTTTTTAAACAGTAAAACTTTTATTATTATTATTGATAGTTTAAAAGTGTTAAAGGGTAAAATATCCAACAACCCTTAAATTCACTCTGCACTTTATTTAAGCGTTGTTATTATTTTTTTATTTGGTAAAAGGGTGTAATTTAAGCATGACGCGTGAAATCGAGCGTTAAGGGTGGCGCAACATCACCGAAGGGCTGCGCTACGATCACTGGCGTCGCGGCGCTGCGCCGGCGATGTTTTTGTTGCCGACGCTCATCTGAACTGCGAGAATAGGGAGAGGGAACAATCATGGCGGACGGTTATAGATTTTACGCTTTGGTTTACAACGCGCCGCGGCATCTACACGCGAATAGGAATAACTAAACATCATACAAACATACAATGTGTTTATGCTTGAATAAAATCACTAAAATTATAAATATTTACATTTTAAACATATTTTTAATATTTATTAATATTAAAAATAATAATATAATTAATTTTGTTGATTTTGTGATTAAATTAGTTTTGTTTTTTGTTGGTTTTTGTTGTGTAGTTTATTAAATGTGGTTTTATGCTAAGTTTAAGCTGTATATGTATAAATGTATTGTGGACGCCGCCCTGTCACGTGGTTTGGGAATAACAGGGATGAAGGGATGAAAGGCAAGAAAAGGAGAGCAGCGTTTGCTCGTTAAAAATCGAGCGCAAGTTATTGATAATTGGCAATTTTAATGATATATCGACGCGTGGCACACCCCTGTTACCACGCGGGGGTGGTTGAGGTGTGCTATAAATTATAAACATTCAAAATGCTAATTTAATTTAATTTATTTAAAAAAGTGCATAATTTATTGAAAAAATCGATAAAATTAAGATTTATAAAAATTTTTAAAATTTATCAAATCAAAATTTCAAGTTTGTTATTAATTTAAACTTATTCAGAACATAAATTTTAAAAATTGATTAGAACAGTTTAATAGAAAATTTAATCAGCTTTTATTTGATGTATGAACAATTGTAATTACTTAAAAAATGAAAAAGTTATTGACAAAATAATAGTAAAAAAAGAAACTAAAAAATATAAAATTTTCATATTTTTGTTCTGCAAAGTAAATTGTGTTCGAATGCTATTAAAATGTTTGTACACCATTGATATCAACAAAAGTTGTATGTCAAATTAAAGATAATTTAATATTCTATCGACTGCAAGTTTACAAAATGACCTAATTTAATTATTTAGTGATTTACAGGGTGATAAAAATAAAAAACAATTTTCGAAAAAAATTTGTAAGACTTAATTTTACACTCAATTATTATTAATTTTTAAAACACGAATTAAGTTGTCATATACATCATCTTAAAGACAATTTAATTGGCAATACAATCCTTTTCACCTTTTAGAAATTACTGTAATAGTTTAAATTTTATGAGTAAAAAACTAACCAAAATCAATAATTGGAGTTGAATAAAAATTTAAATTGTAATTTAAAAGTAAAATAACATTAAGTTGCAAAATTTGAAATATATATTGGTATACATCATTTCAAAGAGAATTTCTTTATTAATCATATAAAATCAAGATGATGCAAATATTATAGCTTTTATAAGTAAAAAACTAAAATAAAACTTTTAAAACTCACCAATTTTTCCATTTTTTTCCGTCTAAAAGTACATGAATGAGTGAGTACCTACGCGTTGATGTAAAACTGTAGCCGCAATTTAGTTTCATGCACGAAAACTGTCGTTCAGTGTCCATTCCGGCGCGGGGAGGGCGAAACTCATGTCATACAATATTTATCATGGCGTGCTTAGTGGTCGTTGCGTTCGCCGCCGGCTAAACACCAGGCACCACTCACGGAGTTGTAGAGTCCTGCGTCCTGCAGGACATGCGCTCACCGGCAATAATATTATTACTCGCTCGTACAATGTGATTGCGTCGATGGGCGCCGACGACTGTGAAATGGCCCGCGGGCACGAAATCGAACCCCACACACATCGAAGCGAACACCGCCCCTCGAGGAATTCGGAATTCGGTGGCGGGTGTGCACACACGACACGCCGAAGCGTACACAAAGACGACAGCTACATATCAGCACATATCGCTGCAGGGGGATGAATTTTTAATAATGGGATGAAAAATGAGAGAAATTATTTGTACTCGTAGGTGCGTATGGATTTTTTGAGTGAATATGATTTTTATGTGTTTTTTTGAGATTACAAGAGAATGGGGTGGGTTAGGGATGTGATTCAAATTTTATTTTATTGAGAGATAATTTATCTATCAACTAATATATTTTTTTGCTAATTTTATGTTTATTTATTAGATTTACAAGGCTTCAAAGTTGCAAAAACATAATTTTTATCTCTTTTTTCATGATTTTTAGGGGTTTATCCGGTTTGGGGGAGGAATTCAAAAACAAAAAATTATCAGCATATAGATATTATTTTTATCTACGTAATGCCAAAAATTCGAGTTATTTTGTTATAGGATTAAGGATTTACAGGACTTTGAAATTTAAAAATTTTTATGATATAAAATAATTTTTGATTTTAATTTAATTTTAAAATATTCTCAAAAATTAATATTGACAATTTCAAAATATATTCTTATAGAAAATTTATTTATCTTTACAATGTCGTTTAAATCGTTTATCCTTATCGATAACAAAATTATCCTTAAAAAACTTAAAAAAAACACGCAAATTTTAGTATTTTGCATATAAAAACCGGAATAAAAACGGAACCACTTTGACGATTATTTATTTTTATTTATTATTGTGTCGTAAATTAATGGAGATTTGTGCAAACTGAAACCGCCGCTTTCTGCAGCGATTATGCGCGAAATAAAACGGCTCATAATTCTTAATTGGTGAGCGAGTGAGTCGACTCGGGCAATTCGAATGCGAATAAAATTCGAATTTAATGGTCACGATAATGGCTCATCCTTTGCGAGGGATGTAAATCGTTTGCAGTCATCGTTTAACGCAATTTTATTAACGAACAGAAAAAAGTCTAATTCAAACAGTAATTTACTGGCAATTGAAGCAATTTGAGTTTTTGATATTTTGATTTTAAAAAATGTTTAAAGCGCTGTAACTTTTAAATATTAAAGATACGGTCCTGGAATAAACGTATATATAAATACGTTATAGATAAATAAATTATCTTTCAGTTTCTGTTTAGATATTTGTAATACGTTGATTAGAAAAATAGTTATTTAAAGTTTTATAAAAAAAATTGGTGGTAATATTCATAATTTGTTTAAACTTAGTTTAAATAACAACTCATCTATATTAACAATGCATATGATACATCAAATTAAAGCTCATTAAATTATCTATCAGTTTCTGCTTACTAAATAGTATTATGTTTTGTCGTTTATTCATAAATTGAAATTAAACTACAATTTATACTAAACACTATTGTTCAAATTCCACAAATCATAAATTAGTGTTTAACATAAGTCAGGTTGTCTAAATCGCATATTATATTTAGTATTATAAAATTATAATAAATTCTTTATAAAATGACGTGCATTTTGCAACGATATCTTAATTACTTCAGAAGATACAGAGTGGTAAACTTGAGTTTTGATTTCCATCACAAATTTTTCCAATATTTTACTTTTTTCAACATTTCAATGGTTTATACATTCTAAAACATTGATATTATGATATATTCTTAAAGCTAATTAAATTTGCTATCAAATGAACACAATCTCTTATCCTCAAAGCAAATATTGCGGCTGTTATACATCTCGAAACTTTCAATTCATTTTTGCGTTCTGTTCGTGATTAACTTATATTTCCACTACTTAAATCAAATTCAATGCCTTGCGTACCTGTCGCAGGCAATTTCCACCTTTGTGTGCGCGCCCATCTCATAACATATTCCGGCGTATTCCGGCTTTCCGGCCCCGACGGCGTCGCCGTTCGGAAATTGTTAAATTAATTAAGCGCGCGATCAGAAACAGACGCGCGCACGCACATCGAGCACATGCTCACGCGTGCACACACGCCCCCGCCTGCCTCCACATATATTCACAAACACGTACATATACACACAGACACACATATAATGTGTGGGTGCTTATAGCTGTTGCCGCCGCTGCCGCTCCCGAGGATTGCGCGCTTGTTGTGTTCGCGTTTGTGCGAGCGCGTTGCCTCGGGCGCCGTTCGCAATTAAAATCGGGAAACTGCCGCTGATAGCAACAAATGTTTACAGGCGCACACATACTGACGATTATAAAAAATCACACAGGGGTGGACCACACAAACAAAGCTTTAAAATGTATAGGGATATTATTTTACGTAAAGGAATTAACAGATTTTAAAAAGTGTAAAACATTAAAGTTTAAAAGCTTGATAACTTATTTAATTATTAATAAAAATGCTTAAATTTGAGGTCATTTTATAGATAATTTATTTAACTTTAATATTATGTATAATTTTTATAAATTTACTAATTAGTTTAATTGGTATCGACAAAAAACGAAAAAAATATTTTTTTGTCATTAAATTTGGTTTTTAAACTTTGATAACTTTGTTAATTTTAAAGATAACACATTTTTTTCGATGCCATTTTATTTGCCTTTAAATTATCTTTAATTTGATGTATATTATAAAACCATTGTTTATTTTATTAACAAATTATAAGACAAAAACAAAAATAATGTATTTTTAATCTAATCTTTTTATCCTTTTCTTTAAACACTTAGTATAAAACACTATTTTATTAGCAATTTAATCCTCTTTAATTTGACACTAAATTAATTAAATTCCAACTAATAGTTTAGAAGTTACAAGCAAAAACTAATCAAAAATCTCACATCCTTTAAAAAATTCTCAAAAATTTATCAAAATTAATTAATACGACCCTGTAAAAATATCAAAACGTCTCACACATGATTGCACAAATCTCTCTAAGACGCATCTCGTGTATTCCCTCTTTTTTTAATACCACAGACCTTATTGTATCCATTTTCGTCCTTTTCGTTTCATACTTCCAACGCAAACATTTAATATTTTTTCCTTATATCTAGGAATAAGTAAGATTTTTTACCGCTTTCAGTTTTCCTCCTGAAAACTGCTATCCTGATCCTGATCCCGATGTTGTGCGCGCGGCATCAAACGTTAATTGTTATCTCGTTTCCATTTTCAGGATCAAAGGCTGCTTTGATGTCCTGACGCTGAAATAAATAAAGTTTAAGTTTTTGAAGGTATCAAAAACACAAATTCAAAAACAAAACCCACCAAAAATAAATTTTTATAAATTTTGATTAATAATAATGCTCGAGGGTAGGAATAAAAATTTAATTGTGAAATTGTCACTCATTGTTTGAATTTTCTATATTTTATTTAATTTATTTCCTGGCGGGATAAAAATAGGAAAATAGTTCTGCTGGCCAGGAGCAAATTGAAAATTTTATTACTCTTCTCCAGTGGCGATTAAAACCGGCCGTTAATGTTCAATAACGACTTTCGGTCGTGCTTAGACCAAAGGGGATGCAAGTACGAAGGTCCTTTAAGAGTTTTGTGGAAGTTATGATGTCGAAAACGTGAAAATGTGCAAATTTTCGGTTTTAGACCAGGAGTATAGAGGGTAGCAAATAAGGGATGAAAATGACCAATAAAGGGTTAGTCATTTGTGGCCGTCGTGGTCGTTTTATTGCATTCTTGGGTCCGGCCATCGAGAAAGTGACCGACAATGACCGAAAATGACCCGAAGGGGATGATTGTGGTAATTAAATAGAAAATCGATTTTAAATTATGTTTGCTACCAACGCAACACAATATAACCTACAAAAACATTTTTTGTAATAAATTTAAGCATATTACATATTCACCCTTAAAATCATCCCCTCAAAACATGTTTCCAGCGTGTAATTTGCTAATGATGCGCGTGTACCTAACAAAACAAGATGATTAAATCAAAAAATTTATGTTAACATCAATGTGTAGGTATGCAACCCAATATACACATTTTATACTGACGTATACGCCATCTACAAGTACAAATAAAAACTAATGAATTATTCACGTTTGCATATTAAATAAATTTGTTGCGCACATTGAACAAATACGAAAACACATCGATGAAATATTCATACGTAAATTGACGAAGCGAAGCAAACTTCCACCCTCCGCCCTCACACATTTACAAATTTTGTATCTCAAATTATGATTATGATAATGATTATTAGATGTAGTCTGTATGTTGCCGGTGCTGAAATATCAAACATTGATATTCTGATATTAATACGAGTATGGATTACATATTGGGGGTGGTTGTTTGCGCACGGGGGTAGTTTTGGTAATGGAAGAACCATCGCTCACCGATGAATAAATAAACGATTCGATAGTCAATCGGTGAGCGTAATGGTAATAATGGTAATGCTAATGACTAATGACTGTCCACCCTAGGGGTGGATAGGGGTGGTTTGTGGCGGCGACCGAAAACAAAGACAATTTTTTATGTTTTGTTTGTTGACAGTTGACGTAAGTAGATACTGGAATTATTGGTGGAATTAAATTGCTTATAAGTTATTGAGTTTTTATGGTATTTAGTTGATTTTTTTGTTATTTTATAGGTAATTTATTTGTTTATATTGTGGTAAGAAGTATGTTTCAATAATAGTTATTATTAGGTCGTTATTTATAGATTTATAAAAAAATCAATTTTTGTAAAAAAAATGATTAAAGATAGATCAAAAATTTAAAATCACGTAGATAGATATTTTAATTGTTGATGACTATTTATGAATAAATTTATTTTGTAGTAAAAATTGTAGTAATTATGACTATTTTAATTCCTAATTGTAAAAAGTATGAAAAGCAAAGTTGCGTTTTTCAAAATTGAAATTTAAAAAAATATTTTGGAAGACCCTGTATAGTAACATTAACAAATTTTTGCACACTGATTAAGGCTCTATTTGGCTTTATAAATATTATAAATTTTTGATTTTGAATTATTAGTACGCCCGTAATTAATTATTTTCTGTAATAAACAATTTTTATTTCAAATATGTTGTATCAAAAGTTTGAAAGCTTATAACTTATTAACACTTTAAAGTACGCTAAAAGTTTAAAAACAATTTATTAGAGAATTTATTCGTTAATAACTACCTCTTAAAAAATTGATTTTGTTAGTAAAATTGTATTAGTTATACAACTTTTAGTTACTAGTTGTAAAATAAAAATTAGTGACAATTATATTTAAAAAACTATAAATTAAAATCAAAATTATGAAACACTCTGTATAGTCACACTAATAAATTTTAGTACACTAATTTATGCACTCTTTATCTTTGTAAATATTTTGAAATTTTAAATTTCCATAAACTAATACGTGCGTAATTAATTATTTCCTAAAATAATCAATTTTCTTGCAAAAAATTTTTAAAACCTCAAAAAATTATGGTTTTTAACAAAAATTTCAAACTTTTTTACACTTCACCGATGTAAAATTTATCTGAGTATAATTCTCAACTAATTTAATAAAATTCCAACAAAACCCCACGTCCTACTCCGCGAATTTCCCGTCGCATCAACTCATCTCTCACATCGCGGCGTCAATTTGCATATTTTAGCAAGTCAGTCAGTCAAAATAAAACTCACTCGAGGGCATTAGTAAACATCCTTTTATTTCACGTACATTATTATTTAATTTAATAACAAACGCTGACGAATTAATTATTGCGCAAAGTTGTGCGCGCTTCCGAAGCGCGCGCATCAATTATTTATCATGCTGTTAAATTAATCTACATTATTCATTAGCTGCTGCTGCTGTCTTAGGCCATCCTGGCTCCTTGTTCAATGCACAAGTTTATCAAGGATCATGAGGATCATTCGAATTGAAAACGTGTATTATCGCATCATACTCGTCGCCAACAATTTTTGTTTGTTTTCGAGCATCCTGACAAGTCCTGGAGGATCCTGGGAGGAGTTTTGGGGAGAGAAGTATTCTGGTGTATCCTGGCCGGAACAAAGGGAATGTTTTCAGTAATTAACAGCGTTATTAACTTGAGTAAGCAACGTGGACAATTAATTATTCATTTACGCTTCTTGTCCTGTTTTTCGTCCTTTGAAGGTGTAATCATCTAGATAAATATTGAATACTGTTTTATTTAATATTTTTTTGTATTTTTTATGTGTTTAATTGTAATTAATTTAAATTTTAATTGATTTGGTTTTATTTTTATAAATTAGTTAAAAATTGATTAAATTTTGTTTTATTATTGTTTATGGTAATTTTTTTACTGTTGATACATCGTCGGATTTGAATTTTTGATAATGTGCTTTTTTATTACCTAAAAATAAGTATTTTTAGAAAAAAATTTTTTTTTGAAAAATTGAAAATATAAAATTGATATTTACTTGATGTGATAAGAGATAATGGTCCAACAGGTTTCATTTCTTTGTCTTCTTTGTTATCTTTATCTCTTCCTGGGAATTTAAGGTTTGAGTGGACTTCATAGATCGGTAAAGGAATAACTGTTGAAGAAACTGCAACCAATTCTACAAAAAAAGCAAAAATTCAAAAAATTTGAAAAAAAATATTTGAAAAATGTTTAAATTGACATTTTACCGAAAATGATAAATTGTTAATGCTTATTAACACAACCAATGACAAAATAATTAATTTTAGCTTAACCTACTACTTATAATTTGTTTAAATAATTATTATAAACAATTACCAGCTTCGTAGATTTTATGTTCATTCATCTTATACTCTGTTGGCACAGCTTCAACAAAAACATTAGAATTCCTCAAGGATATCGCACAAAGTGCGCACAAAATCACTTTCAACATCATTTTTAATAACAATAACAAAAAACAACACAAATTCACTCTTAAAACACAAACAATTTTTACTTTTACAATAAAAATCACTTTTATTAAATTTTAGATTGAACAGGTGTATCAATATCAATCGGTTCACGTTGGCGTCAATACCAAAATAAGTAATATGACTTAAGTACGAGTAAACTGACTTAAGTCAACAGTGTGTGCGCACTGCGCAGAATAGAATAAAACTAAAATAGATGAAGATTAGATCACTGTGTGGTGTGTATTGTATGACGCCTGTGAGGTGTGTGTAAGGTGACTTGACTCAACTTAAGTCAAGTGAGTCTACCAACTGGAGAGGAGAGTGAGTAAAACATAAAGAAACGCAAAATCACGAAAATAGCATTGAAGTCAAGTGAAAGTAGGTGGAATTTTATCCGCGCAGAAATCATTGACTTAAGATAAGTCAAGTAGAGAAACTTGACTTAACAAAATAAAACAAAACAAAAAAAAAAAAAATTGAAAAATGTTTATATCACGTGGAAATATAATGATACTGCACTTTTTATTATAAATAATTAGTTAATATTTAACTAATCAATGACCTTTACTGTTCTTATCAATAAACGTCATATATTCTTTTGGATAAATAGTTTATATCAGCATAATGTTTATAATTATTATGACAGAATATAAATCACATTGATAAACGTATTTTATCAAAAAATAAACTTCGAAGAAACAAATGTGATGATAAATATTGAATTTATATTCTGATTTGTCTTAAAATTATTCAGTTTGGTTTTGTGCTTTGTCTCCTTAACAATAATCATGGTTAGTTATTAATCATAATCATTTGTTTAAATAATATAAGAAGATGAAGTTTTAATTTATGTTTTGGTGTTTTTAGAGATTATTAGAAGTGAAACGTAATGAATTGACGGAGTTGATTGATCCGTCGCAGATTTATCGACCGGAAGCGAAGTTTGCGGATAAACCACTCGACAATTTCCGGGATTATTCCATAGACGAAAACGATCCGATTAAGGAACGTGTGCGACGCACCTATGAATTGATGCATACACATCAGACTGTTGATTTTGTTAAAGGTAAATTTAAACAATTTTTTTTCTATATTTTATAATTTTTTATTAAATTTTGTTTTTATTTGTTTTAAATAGAAAAACGTGCTTTGTGGTTGAAATTTGATCATTATCAAGCGACTGTTAAGGAAGCTTTGATTAAGCTAAATGACTTAGTGGATGAGAGTGACCCGGATGTGGATATGCCTAATATTGTGCATGCTTTCCAAACTGCGGAGAAAATAAGAGAAGATTATCCGGACATGGATTGGTTTCATTTGACTGGGTTGATTCATGATTTAGGAAAGGTATGTGTTTAGTAGCGTCACCTATGTTTGAATAATTTAACTAACACTGTATATGATTCCCTATTTAAACTTTTAATCAAATTTTTACCCTTTAAAAATATTATTTTTGCAATTAAAAGTAGTCTATATTCTTTTTTAATGTTTAATCTATATATGTACCAAATTTTATAAATATTGGTTGAGTGGTTTAAGCTTGAAATGAAGACAAACATACACATTTTGTTTAATTACAATATTTTTATGTTAAAAGGTTATGGCTTTCCATGATGAACCGCAATGGGCTGTCGTAGGTGACACTTTTGTCGTTGGTTGTCAATTTGCTGATAGTATCGTGTATAGAGATACTAGTTTTCGGAATAATCCTGATGGAACTAATCCGAGATACAAGTATGATTATTATTTTAATTTAAAAATCATTTTTATTACTATTAATTTTTTTATTTTTCTATTTTGGTTAATAGTACCAAATTAGGAATGTATAAGGAAAACTGTGGTTTGGAAAATGTTTTGTTATCATGGGGTCACGACGAGTACTTGTATCATATGTTGAAGCATAACAAGTCAACTCTACCAAAGGAAGCGCTGGCTATGATAAGATTTCATAGTTTTTATCCGTGGCACACTGGCGGTGATTATCAACATTTGACTAATGAAAAGGATGAGGAGATGAAGGAATGGGTGCTTAAGTTTAAGTAAGTTTAATTTTATATTTATTGTACCTTGAATATTCAAATGTTATGAATAACGGTCTAAAAGTGACAAAATTGTGATTTGTTTAACTAAATATTAAATAAGACTTAAACGGTTAGAGGCAGTGTCATAAATTTTTAAGTAGCTCATTCTACATTAAATTCTACATTCACTACCATAAATATTTATAAATTACCTTTTTGAATTAATTTATTATTGATTTTTAAAAATCAAGTTATATTCTTTGATAATATCTAGTTACGGCTAAATTCAAATGCAAATTAATCATATTATCAATATTTGGTAAATGCATTTTGACTAAGAATTTAATACAAAATATATTTCCAAAAATAAATAACAATACGATAATTGGTTCAAAAGTTATTGCATAATTAATACAATAAATCAATATTTCTTACTTTTAGACCGCTATTTATAACATATACAATTTAAAATAATATGCAGGAAACTAATTTAAATATTTTTTAGCAAATATGATTTGTACACTAAAAGTACAAAAATACCAGACATTGAAGCACTTTGGCCATACTATGAAAGCCTGATCGAGAAATATATTCCAGGAGAATTATCCTGGTGAAGGTTAAACAAACGTTGTCATTGATTTAGTTATTTTTGTTTTGATTTCTTGTTGTCTTTGGCTAATATAATATCCTATAGATGTACTTTGATAGCATCGTAATGATACAAAATAACAGAAATGTCACGACAATTTTGTCCACGTAATACATCCTAAAAATAAAAATGAAAAACATAAAATAAAAATATTTTTATAAAAAAATTAAAAGTTGATATTTTGATAGTAAATAATTTTTGTTAATTTTTTCAGAATAAAAATAAAATAATCAATGAAGATTATTATTAATTTTTGCTTTAATTAATGTTTAAACTTTATAATTTATTAATTGACTTACATTTTCATATGTTTCCTGGCCCTTGGTATACTCTCATCGCTTTCCTTTAAAATATACCTCCTTGCACAAAGAGTACAATCCCTAAAATATTCCTTATAATCAAATTTAGTGATATGAAAGTTATATTTCTGTTTCTCATAAAGATTTAAACTATCAATTGCCTCTCTTGAGTCTTTATTACTAAAATCCCATTGTTTTCCATTATAAAACTTTAAAATTTCAAATCCTTTCTGTATTCTTCTATAAATCGGAAGTAATCTACAAAATAACACAACATTTAAATGTCAACATTTCCAATTTTAGAAAAATTCATTTAAAAATCATTACATTGGTGGTCGATTAAATATCCATAAAATGCTATCTACGATAATTGACGGCAGGACATGTTGAATAAAAAATGTACAATCGTGTTGAAATCTATTTCCTTTAATACTTCCACCCGGATACCACACCACCCAGTTTAAAGGGATTGAATTAAGGATGACATCCCTGCCGATGTAGATTATGTCATACCATGAGACTTTGTATTGGTCAGATGTTGTTAAGTTGTAAATATTCCTTGGTCTTTTATTTTCAGGATGCCTAAAATAAATAAAAATAGTAAATTAAAGAAGAAAAAGTTTTTTTAATGTAAAAATATTAATAAAAGTAAAATTAAGGTTAGTTTTACTTTTATACTTTTGTAAAATAATACTTTATACACTTGGGAGTAAATATTATTTCATTATAAAGTTTAATAATGAAATTTGTTGAATAAATTAATAAAATATGAGTTAATCTTTTAATTAAACGCTTGCCATTTGATAATTATTATTAAAAACGAGTTTAAAGCAAATTTTGATACACTATTACACAACTATTACTTTCAGTACTCAAATATTTATATTATATCTTGAAAGAATAAATTGATTCCAAAATAATTATAAAATTCTTGCTGCTGCAGAAATACCTCCCTCCATCTATGTGTGAAAGCTACAAACGTTTTACTCACCGCAGGAAATCGTAAGCAGCGCATATAAACGCGTTGACTGTAATATCGACCGGTATCAAGTCTGGATATCTTGTAACATCGGCGTAGAGAGTGCGCAGGATGCCTTTTCCTGCTGCTATTTGGAAACCTATTGAACCATTTATTGTATCTGTCCAACCTGGTATAGGATCTTTCAATGCCGGAATTACTAAAACAATAAATATAATAAAAATAAACCACAAATAGCATGTTTTAAGTAGTTTAAGTGATTTTTTGTGTTTTTGTTGATTTTATTACCCAATGAAGGTCTCAGTAGAATAATTGGCAGTTTATTTAGTTCCTTATTGACTAATCCTTCAGATAATGCTTTAGAAAAACAATAAGTGTTTGGATAATTGTCTAAAATCCTTAAAATTAAAATTATATTGTTATTGTCATAGTTGTGTTTATAAATAAATGTTTAAAATAAACTTACTTATGCGTAAATGCAGAAAGATCCGCTTCATTCAAATTTTCACATATTTCAACAATTTTTCAGGATCCGCAGGAGGATCATAAGCTTTCTCATAGATAATCCTTTCATGTACATGACAATACGCCGATGAAACATGACAAAATAACTTTAATACAAAAAAATAAAAGAACATACATTGAAGTAAAATTACAAAATAAATAAATTAATAAATCAAAGGATTAATTTGTTTAAATATTTAATTAATAAATAATTACTTGTAAATGACTCATGTTTTTAGCCATCTCCAACATGCTCCTTGTACCTCGCACATTCATCAACACCGAGGTCTTCAGGCTCTCGTCCAGGCGCAGGAGCGCAGCGCAATGGTACACAATATCCACTTCAGACAGCAACTTAAAGCGATCAGTGGTACTCAAACCGAGGTCCGTGGCTGAGATATCGCCTTGGATGGCGAACACTTGAGATATTTGTTGGTGAGACGAAGGATTTTGTTTAAATAAATCAAATAACTGCAAAATAAGTGTTTTAGGGACTAAACAGTTTCTTTACTATTTATTTATTTTTCTTTACTATTTACTTTACTTTACTATTTGGTGTAATTATTATGTTTGTTACGCTTTCAAGCAAAAACCCTTAAACCAATTTTGATAAATTTTGGTATGGAGAGAGTTAGAACTATAGAAAATAAAATAGGCTAATTTTTATTGTAAAATTCTAACTAAAAAGGTGAAAAAGAAGGGTTGGAAATTTATATCCAGATTTTATGATAAATTTAGTTACATAATTTGCATCTAGTTGGCGTGATGTGTGAATAAATAACATTTTTCTTGTTTTTAAATAAAAACTGAGAATATTATTAACAAATTTGGCATATAATAAATCAAAAAACAATAAAACTAATTATTTTGTTAGTAATTTTATAATTAATAATTACCGCTGATTTAAATATCTTCTCTAATCGTTCCTCCGAAGTCATCTTATACTTCGGCCTGATTATAACATATATCTTACTAATCCCAGGACATGATCTCAATAGTTTTTCCAAAAGCACTTTTCCAACAAATCCTGTAACACCAGTTATGAGAATAACTTTGTTAGCAAACATTTTTGCAACTCGATCTTCGGCTCTTTCCATTTTAAAATCAACGTAAATTATAGATAGGTACGTTAATAGTTCGTTAAAATTATAATTTATGTTCAATACGTCGATTGCAAAATGTTCGTCGCACGTAAGACACGAGACTGGACTAATCAAAGATTACGAAACGAAAATTTTCAACCGCTCCTCGCGTTGAGTATTTATAACGAAACGATTCGATACGCAGGTAAGTAATTTGTATAGTGATTGAATAGTGAAAAGAAAAAAATATTAATAAATGAAGAGAATAATGAATGACAAAAGTTCATTAGGAGGTATTTATATTTCAATGAGGAGTTAATTAGAAATAGTTGAATGCATTGTTAGTATTTAAATTGTTTTTTAAAGTTATTTTTCTCAAAAAATAATCTTTTTTTAAAATTAAGTGTATAATGATAGTTATTATAGATTAGTATAATACTACGTTTTATACACTTAAATATTACGACGCTTACGATCTCATAGGTTATGTCAAACTACATAACCTTACAAAAAATTCATATGGCTCAAGTTCCACCCGTGACTAAAGCCCGTGACTAAAGTCGGTGACTAAAGTACTTTAGTCACGGTTTTGGCCAACCGTTACCATTTTTTCTGTCTCAAAACCGTGTAAAAACTTGCCATTTAATAAAAAAAGTGGAAAAATTATTTTTTTCAACTCTTTGCTTTCTTTTGTTTCAAATTGTAGAATAATTCTAAAAAAACAAAAAAAATCAAAAATTATTTAAATAAATTACAGAAGAAACAAAATTCAAAAAAAGCTAATACCTATTCTATTAATTTACTAAATACTCGTATAATAAAAAATCATGACGTCAAAAGAACAATAAACAATTGACGTCATTTTTAGAGCAGAAAAAAACCTAAAATTAATAAAATTACCCATGAACAGGTTTGATTTTTAATTTAACAATTCGTGCAACTCCAAACTAGTTTAATCAAAATTACTATACTCACAATAAATTATTCAACAATTCATTACATCAGCATTTTTTATCAATTAACGCATAAAGCATCATTACTCCTCTATTCTCTATTCAACACACATTTAATCAATTCACTTCAGTTTAGCAACATTTTACGTTCCTAGAATTAAACGTATAAAAATTAAGTGTTATTAAGTTGTCATACTACAAGCATTACTTGTACTACATACAAAATAATATAACTAATAAATTAGTGAAATAGTTGAAATATTTGTTTTGGTACACTCTGTATATAATGGCATTACTGAAGAATGAAATTCTTAAAACTTTCTCCGTTTTGCCAACATCATCAATGTAGAACTCTAGACCTCTACCTCTGTGGGTCTCTGGACTTTAGACTTAAGTAGAATTGGCTTGACTTAACTTACGAGTTAAGTCGCGAGTTTTCTGCTCTGCGCAAGTCACAGCTGACTTTGTACGCGTCTACGTATTCACTTTTCTTCGTCTTCTGCGTTTTCTTCGACTTCCACTTCTTTCTTTTGTGTATAACTGGTTACTGTCTTTAGTGACTTAAATGCGAGCTTACATAATAGCTCACCTGTGTAGTATAAAATATACAGGGTGTTGCAATTAATTTTTTAAAATATTCAAATCAAAATCTTTTTTTTCTTAAAAATTCTTATAAAATATAAACGTGTATAATATATAGTATTCACATATAAAAATTTTAAATTAAAAATTTAATTTTAAGAAAAAATTTTTTTTATTTAAAGTGAACATAATGTATATTTAAGTTGTTTGTAGTTTGATGTGAATGTGAATGTGAATGTGAATGATTTTTTACGCACTCACCTTCGTTGCATAACATTTTTACGGCCCGACGAAATGAAATATTTGTGCGCTCAACGACGCCGAACAACGAATTTAATTCCATTCCGTCTAACCACACAACACAATCTGCAATCCGCTACGAAATGTGAATTAAATAAACTTTCTTTTTGTGATTCTTACAAATCTTACAAATACTAAAATTCGTTGAAATTTGTTTTGTGTACAATACTAAAAATACTAAATTATTATGTGTAAGCTTTTGAAACAGTTTTGTTGATGTAAATATTAATTGTTAGTTAGTAATTAAGTATTTACCAATTGTAATTAATTGGATTAAATTTTTTACAAAATTTAGAAAGTTTTTGTGTGCATTTTGTTTGTAATTGACAACTAATGAGTACATTTATTAATTTTAAATTAATATCAATAAAAATATTAATTAATTGGTTATTATATAGTAAAATGTTATAATTTTACTAATTAATTGATATAAATTACATGTTAATTACACAAAAATTAAAATTTTTATTATTTTTTCAATTTTTTTCTAAATTTGCGCCAAAAATCTTTAAAAAAATCAATTTTTCTCATCAAAAATAAATAAACAATTAATTATATTATGTTTTAATTGATAATAAACATGATTATTTATTGTTGTAACAAATATATTTCCACTTTTTGGAAATAAAATTAGTTTACGCTCATAAAACTGTAATTTGCAATTTGCAAATTGAAAGCAATTTAAAATCGTTATTGAACTTGCGTTAATAGCATCAAATCATAATTTCCACAACGTGTAACAAGCAATGACCAATGACCAACTACCGGTAACGCAGTAACCAATTAGTCGCAGTCTTTTTCACCGGCGCTTTCATCGTTTCGTTGCGTTTCGTTTTCATTGCTTATTATGACACGGAGCGCTACATCGATTACACTTTTGCGCATGGGCAATTATCCGTAATTACCGGTGTGATCGCTATGATAATTTTTCATAATTTATTTATAAATATTTAATTTGAATGAGTTTTGAAATAAAGTATATAATTTGGATTCTAATTTTTAAAAATGGAAAAATTTGTGCAAATATTTTAGTTTTATGTTAATAATTCAAAAAGTATTTGTTGTATAGCAATAATTGTTATATTTATTGATAGAGTATTAATTGGGCCAATTTTTGGGTAATATTGTGTAAATATTATTGTTATTAATAAAGATATTAACAATTAAAATTGAAAAAATTTGAAAATTTTAGAAATTTTGTAAAAAAATTGGCTGTAACTTTTGAATAAAACGTGATATTAATAAAACAATGGCAACAATTAATAGGTTAATTCATTGAGAATTGATTATCAAAAAATCAACAACTTAAGTTGATTACTTACTGACTTATTTAAGAAAAACTAAACTATTGCATTAATATTTTCTGAAATTTTAAAAAGTTTTGTTTTCTACCAAATTGTCTGTAACTTATGATTAAAACTAGGTATAAATAAAATATTTGTAGAACTAATAAATAATTTCATTCCAAATAGAATACCAAAAAAATCATCAACCTAAGTTGTATACTTTCAAAAATATTCATCAAAAACTAAACTATTGCATAAATATTTTCAGAAATTCTGTACAAAAATGTCTGTAACTTTTGATTAAAAATAGATATCCAAAAAATATTTGCCAAACTGATAGATAGTTTCATACAGAATAGGTTACCAAAAAAATCGTCAACCTAAGTTATTTACTTACAGAGTTATTTCATAAAAACTAAACTAATATATTATTAATTTTGTATCAAATAAACTATAACAATGATGATAATTTATTAATGTTAAAACAGTTATCCTCAACCAATATCACCAATTTTAGTTGCTCGTACCCACACTTCATTAAAAAATAATTTTTTTAACTGTTAAAATTAAAGTTTACTCAAATTTTTATTTTTTTGACAAAATTGTTTATAACTTTTGACTAAAAATTGATATCTACTAAATAATGATAAAATTAATAGATAATTTTATAGAGAATAGGTTACCAAAAAAATCGTCAATCTAAGTTGACTACTTCGAAAGATATTCATCAAAAACTAAACTATTGCATTATTATTTTCAGAAATTCTGTACAAAATTGTCTGTAACTTTTAATTAAAAATAGATATCCAAAAAATATTGGTAAAACTGATAGATAGTTTCATACAGAATAGGTTACCAAAAAATCGTCAACCTAAGTTGTTTACTTACAGAGTTATTTCATAAAAACTAAACTAATGTAATATTAATTTCGTATCAAATAAATTATAACAATGATGATAATTTATTAATGTTAAAACAGTAATCCTCAACCAATATCACCAATTTTAGTTGCTCGTACCCACACTTCTTTAAAAAATAATTTTTTAACTGTTAAAATTAAAATTTACTCAAATTTTTAATTTTTTTGACAAAATTGTCTGTAACTTTTGATTAAAAATAGATATGAACTAAATAATTATAAAATTAATAGATAATTTCATAGAGAATAGGTTACCAGAATAATCGTCAACCTAAGTTGATTACTTCAAAAGATATTCATCAAAAACTAAACTATTGCAAAAATATTTTCATATCTAATAAACACAATATAAATATATGATGTCAACGCAATATTCATCAACCAATATCACCAACTTTAGATGCTCGTAACCTCACTACTTTAACTAAACTAAAAATCTATCAGTACTCAGTGCGATTGCGTTAGTTTTGTCGTCAGTCGGTCGGCTGTTGGTCGTTAGACACAGTTCGCATACCCACGGCACACCAGGTAGGAGAGGTCGAAGGAATCGAAAATCGAAAGTGAATCTAATACAGGCCGCCACACCGCCAGTCTACAAGCGAACGCGATCGAAGGTAAGCGCGGTCTTTGCGTGCGTCTCTAACGACCAGCGCCACCGCGGCTTGCGTAATTACTGCGCGATTAAGACGTGCGTAATTATTACTCGCCGCGTTTGCAAAACAGTGCTAAATTCTTAATGCACTAATAAGTGCACTAGATACATATTATCATTAATATTAGCCATATTTATATGCAAAATATAAAGAAAATTCAAATCACAAAAAAAATTTTTTATAAAAATTATTATTTTGTTATTGTTTTGGTTTTAAATTTGAAAAGATTTATTAGGTAGTTAGAAAGTGTGGGTTTTGTATATATGGCGTCATAAATGCTCGCGTAACAGTAGTAAATATAAACATTTTAGAGAAATTGCCAAAATTTTGTGCATTTTTTGACGTAATTTTTGTGTGTTTTGAGAGAGTTATATTGCTAATGGTTAAAATTGTTGTGTTTGTGTTTTAAGGAGTTTTGAAGACAATTTTACATTTGGAAACAAAGAGAAAAGGTAAGAATTATATATTACTATACTTATATCGTAAAATGTTAGTTGAAAATTATGTTTTTGTTTAGTTTTTTGGCAATATCTTAAAAACCAATCAACTTATTTTAATAATTACTTCAAATATTGATTTAGTAATAAATTCTTCATTTGTTAGCTAAATATTGAATTGATAACTGTGTATTCTCAATAGTTATTGATAGTTTTGTAATTTTTTAGTCAATTTTGGCAATATTTATTTAAATTGTTAATAATTTTCTGTTTAAATCCATTTTTATCAAAATTTATATCAAAATAGATATAAAATGAGCCTAATTATAAACTATTAAAAAAATATTTTGTTTATTGTTAGTATTTTGGTGGTATTTCCAAGAACATTGATAGATTTAAACAATTGTTGATTGAAGAACGAGTACAAGAGTAAATAGCGGTCAAACATAATTTGAAACTGTTTTTGTTGAGAGCAATGATGTGGTAAGTTGGTATTTCCACTTTTATTGGTATCAAAAAAAGTTAATGTTCGCAAGTAATCTTCCACTTCAAGGTCTTCAATTGTACAATACAGAAATGAATGAACCAACAATTTATTTACCAAAATTTAGTTTATAATCAATTTAAAGTACTTTATTCAGTCGTAGTTTTTTTTCGTATTTTGTTTTTATTGAAAACCATGCATTACTTTTCTTATAGTTATTGATTAACCATTTTAAAAACAGTTTTACCTAATGAATTTTTATAATAATGCAATTTATTTGTTTATTTGTTGGTTTGTAACTCTATCACTACTAAATTCCAAGAGCAATGTTGATAAAACTTTACAAAATTACTGTCTATTTATATAAATAGGACATAGACTAAATTTTGTAGCAAAAAATTTCAAAACAAGTAAAAAATTAAAAATGAAACTAAGAATCAAGAAAAATTGAAACCTAAATTCCTTCAAACATATTTTATCTTAAAATCAGAGAAAATTGCAAGTAAAATCTAGTTTTATACCATTTTTATCTCTTTCAGACACAATTATTATGAGTAAATAAATTTCCTACAATAATTAATCATTCGCCATTATTATTGACTTTTATAAACTTACTATACCATTATGAATATGATATCTCTAAGCAAAAAAACAATACTATAAAAATTCCATTTCCATTTACGTATTTACCTAGGAAGAAAGTAATTAATGTGTGCAATTTGTGCAAACCACAAGCACCTAACTGATTGATAGTTATCTGATGACCAAACAAAACGGCCGATGCGTTGGAAACAATTAAAACAGGTTGAACCCGTGAACAAATATAATTAATAGTAATTTGCGGCGATGATTATTGACGTGGAAAATCTAGAAAAGTTGCAACAAACGGAAGGTTGCACATTGTGCAACAGTGCAATGTAGAAATTAGTTCGGCATTGAATTGCTCACACGTTCACACACGTTCGGCCAGGTTATTAGTTATTATGGTACTACATTAGATTCGCATCAGCATTAACGGCAAATTATAGTGTGCAATGAGTGCAATAATGTGTTAATAAATGGATGATTATCGTTTATCATTCAGGGGATTATATAGATTTATATTTGGTGATAAAAAAATTAATTGAACAGGCAATTAAATGTGAGTAATTTACATAGAATGCATGATTGATTTTTTTGCTGAGAAATTTAAGCAGTCAATTTTTTTTAGTAATTTGTTAATAACTTTTTAATTTTTAAAGCAATCGTGATTAATTAAATATTGCAATAAACCTAGATAAATTTGCAACAAGATGAGATTGAGTTCTTGAAAATAAATAAATTATTAATGAAGTTACAAGTCATTAAACACATGTTAATCTTCATTTTACTAATTTTAAATAAAATTAATAATAACTTTTGTTATAATATTGATAAAAAAGATTTGTTAAATGAATCTTATAGATAATTAAATAATCTTTAAATGTTATAAAATGCAAATGATTTGTGTTATAACAATAATAGTTATTGCAAGATTAAGTTACAAAAACATTTTATTTTGAGAAATTACAAAAAAAAAACTACTTTTGACTAAATTATTTATAACTTTTTAAGTTATTATTGAAAATTAATTGTTTAAACGTTATTCTCAACGTGATTAAATTGTTTAAAAATAATTCAATTTTCAGAGCATTATAGTTATTGATTTTTGAAACAATTTGTTTCTAAACACGAGTTTTGATGTTTTTGTTAATTTTTACTAAATATGCAATAACTTGACTTCAAATTATTACATTTAATTAATTTTGACAAAAAATTAAATATAATTAAATTATCTTTAAAGTTTCTAAATTTCAAGTGAATTGCTTAATTGAATCAGTACTTAAATTCAATTAAAACTGTCACTACATTTCCAGTTACAATGTGTTTCCGACTAAATTGTTGATAACACTAATTTACAATGAAATTATTTAATTGTTTAAAGATAACTATAAATTGTTTTAAATTATCTATAATTTACTATTTTGTTGATAAGAATCTAATGATTACTTTTGCATTTATGAGCTTTTTAACCTAAAAATGTTTTTTCTTCTTTCTTAGTCATAAAACCGTCGAAAACGCAATCCATTGTATCTTGTACTAGTTATAAACAATATAAACAAATATAAACGTTTTTGCATCACCTAATGATTTAACGACGTATTGCCAACTATTGTTTAATAAATAACCACAATACTTATTTTATGGCCCATAAACTATGTTAGCATGTCAAAGATAACATCAATAATTTTATTGTTATAACAAAATTATAAAATTAACTCAACTTATTCCAACCTAACCTTACTTAACTTAAGTAAAGTTAAGTAAAGTTGAGTTAAGTAAGGTTAGGTTATGATATACCTTGATTTAAATATGCTGTAGTGTTGAATCAAGTAGAGTAAAGTGTGTGTACAATTGACTTAAGTTAAGTAATGCAACAGTTAAGTGCGTTAAGTAATGTAGTAATGTTTGGTATGACGAAAAAAACGGCCGAAAGTAAACACGCATGCGTACACAAGCATTACACCGGCTTCACGGATCAATATCAAGCGCAATGCGTGGCGAAGTGCGAAAAGTAAGATTTTTTCTTTCACCAAGGAAGGAGAAATTGACGAAATCGAGGCAAGCCCAAGTGGGCTCATTCAACAAAAGACAAGTCGAGAAGTCATACACGCGCATAAAAAAACTTAACTTCACTTAACTTACTTAACTTAAGTCAGTTTAAAAAACGTGGAAACTGCTTAAAATCTCTTAGTAAAACTGCTTAAACCCTAAAACAAAAATGGGAGCGTTAGTTATTTTAATATTTTAATATTTAATATTATAAATAATTAATTTTTGTTTCAATTTTAATTTTAAGATCACATCCAACAATGGAGCCAACATTACCTTTGGATCAGTATCCCAACAGGATCGCGGACATGTTCGCAGGGAATACAGTTTTCATCACTGGAGGAACAGGATTTATGGGGAAGGTCCTTGTGGAGAAAATTCTACGTACCTGTGATGATGTTAAAAGGATCTATTTGTTAGTCAGAAACAAAAAAGGCAAGGATCCCATTGAAAGATTGAAAGTTATCTTTGAAAATCCGGTAAGTACTTACATTTTCCTTTATAACTCTCTTAATATTCAAGATATTTTAAAATTTCTTAAAAAATATTAAACTTAAATAAAATATTTATAAATTAAAAAAAAAATTTTGATATTTAAATAAAAGATGATTGAATTATTGAGTTGTAAAACTTCCAAACGTAAAATCTTCACCAACCCATGCAATTTCTTGTAAATGTCAAAAATAATTACACTTCTAACTAAATATTACTAAATATTTCTATATAATCTTAAAGACTATAAAATTATCAACAAAAAACAATTTAAACATCAACCATACCTCAATTGGTACTTACTTAAAACTTGGCTATAAATTACCTTAAATTTTATGTGCAGCTCTTCGACATGTTACGCAACATGAAAACCCAAAGTATCTTCGATAAAGTCGTCCCAATCGAAGGTGATGTAAGTCTGTTGGGCATGGGTCTCTCCGATAAAGATCGCCAGATAATTATTGACGATGTACACTTTGTATTCCACTGCGCTGCCACCGTACGCTTTGATCAACCGTTAAAAAGCGCTGTGCTGCTCAACGTGCGCGGAACTAAACAAATGCTTGAATTAGCGCATGAGATGAAACAATTGAAACTGTTTGCTCACGTGTCTACTGCTTACTGCCATTTGCATGAGAGGATCCTGTATGAGAAGCCGTATGCACCTCCGGCGAGTCCTTTGAATGTCATCAAGACTGTTGAGTGGATGGATGATGATATCGTTGAAAGCATCACACATAAGTAAATATTTAGTTTTTGTTTTGTAATGATTTATTTTTACGTGAATTTTAAGTTTTGAATATGTAAAAACTCAAATAAAATTTAAATTCACATAAAAATAAAATATTATAAAATGTAAATTATGAATTATGTAATCATAAACCAAGATTTTTTTGTTTGTTTTATTAATATTTATTATTGTGTTTTTAAAAAGGATTTTAGGTGAATGGCCAAATACTTACGCGTTTACAAAAGCGTTGAGTGAGGGATTGATTAACGACGAGTTGGGGAAGCTGCCGGTTATACTTTTGAGGCCTTCAGTTGGTAAGTTCAGGATGTGTACTGGTCGTGGGTGAAAGGTGCGGTGTTGTAGTGTTGCGGGAGTAAAGTTTTGGTGTTCTGATTGGCGGAGGATGTGTCACGTGGGTGTAGTGCAACGTCGCAAAACACTGTGCAACGCTGCGAAACGTTGTAATCTACGCGTACTCCCCCTCTGTTTAATGTTGACTCGTCCTGTCGCCCCCTTTTTTCAATCCTTTTCTTATAGTTTAGTCATTTATAACTCTTCAAATCAAACAGTTCTACATAAAAAAGAAACGTTCATGTGTAGTACAAATTAAAGTTAAATTTAAATTCTGCATAGTCATGGTTTTTACTTCCGGTCACATGATAAATTTTACAAACTCTGATAGTGCATTACGTGATGCTTTTATTTTATTTTGTTACTTTCATTAAATTTTTATTTTATTATCTTTTTATTTTAGTAATACCTGTTTGGAAGGATCCTTTACCTGGATGGACTGATAACATTAACGGGCCCACAGGACTCCTCATCGGAGCAGGGAAAGGTGTAATCAGGACGATGTACTGTAATTCTTCAGGATATGCCGATTATCTCCCGGTGGACATTGCTGTGAATGGTGTATTGGTTGCGTCTTGCGACTTTCTTAAATATGGGTAAAATTAAAAATTAAAAATTATCTTTGACAAAATATTAAATATGTTTGTTTCAAATATTTTAGAGAAAGAAATATTTATAACCTAACCAGCTCAGCAGAATATAAAATTTCCTGGGAGGAAATTATCGATATTGGTAGAGAGGTAATTGCAACAAGGATTCCGTTGAACTGGGTTGTGTGGTATCCTGGAGGATCCATGAAAAAAAGTAGATTAATTCATAATTTCTGTGTGTTGTTCTTCCATTTGATTCCGGCAGTATTTCTTGATTTTCTTCTGATTTGTATGGGATATAGTCCAGTGTAAGTAAATTTTTGTTTATTTATTAGTTTTGTTTTACAAAAGAGGAATTTAATAATAAACAATTGAATATAGGTTAATCAAAATCCACAAACGTATCCTGAAAGGCTTCGAAATGTTTGAATACTATGCTAATAACCAATGGGACTTCAATAACGACTTATCCTTAATTGCAAGAGAAAAGATGAATCCACGTGAAAAGTCTATTTATATATTGCATGGCGATGGCATTAATTATCACGACTATTTCACTGATTGCGTGCATGCTGCAAGACTTTACATTCTGAAAGAGAGTGATGAGTCTATCCCCACGGCAAGGAGACATATGAAAATGTAAGTAAATATTTATTATTTAGTTTTATAGAAGTTAACGTATCATTAATATTATTTATTTACATTTTATTTTCTTATAACGTGCTATGTTACAATTTATTTTTAATTCGTGACACATTTTGCCATATTTGCATTTTCAAGTGAGAGAGAAATGAAAATAAATAAGAATTAAAAATAAGTTGCAATACAAGACGATATATAAAATGAAAATATGAAATTATTATCTTTAGATTAATTAAAATAACTAATTTAATAATATTTTTGTTTTAGTATGTATTGTGTGGATAAAATAGTGAAATTCGCTTTCCTCTTCTGGATGCTGTATCTTCTCTACACGAACATTGTTCAACCAATACTAGGCATATAATTAATCTTAATAAAGGTCACAGTACACCAAATACTAATTATTGATTCAGGAATGATGGATGTAAGTATAGGGATGTAAAAATGCCAAGAAAGTAATAGGAAAGGATATAAGTAAATAAAAATACTTAATATTTTGTAGATTTTGTATGTAAATGTTTTATATTATAATCAATATTATAATCTAAAATGAATTTTTTATAATGTTAATTCTTACAAAATTCATATTTGTAAATCAGCTTGTTTGTAATTCCAAAACATAATTTTTTATGCATGCTCAAAAAAAAATACATTTTTAAAATAAATAATTAAATATTTTGGATATTATATAGTATCCAATAAAAAATTTGGTAATCAAGTCGATGTAATACATCCTAAAACATATTAATTAATACATTTACGTTTAAAACATTTTATGATTACATTTTTAGATGTCGTTTTGCTGTTGGTATTGTATCATCACTCTCATTTAACATATGCCTTCTTGCAGATAAAACACAATCAGAAAAGTAGTCAATATAATCAATACCATCACCGAATAAAATATATCGCTGTCGTTCCTTGGGATTCATCAATTCTCTAGTTCTCAAGGACCATTCATTATGGAACTCCCATTGGTTTTTACTATAATAGTCCATCATGTCAAATCCTTTTAATAACCGTTTATGGGCTTTCAACAACCTAAAATGGAAAATTATTTTGTAGTTTAAAAAAAGCATGTTTTTAACGACACTCAAAAGACAAGTAATTTTGATAATAATAGTACAAAATGTCGTTACATAAAGGCACAAAAAAATACAAAAGTTACAATTATAAGCAAACAGACAACTGCTTTATCCTAAGCAGGTTAAAAACTATATTACTCAAGTAAACTGCCGGCAAATATTTCCTGACGTCACAGTTTATAACTAATATTGTAAATAGTTGTAAAAGAAGGTTATTTTGTGTGTACTTACACTGAACCATAACCTAAAAAGATCAAAATTGGATCCAGCAATAATGCTGGTAACAAATGCCAGAAGAAATATAAAACACTGTAGAGGTAATAATTGGTTGTCATAAGAGTATTGGGATACCATACAACCCAATTTAAAGGAATTCTCTCAGCAATTACTCTTTCACCAATGTACTTTATATCCTTCCATGTCACTTTATATTCTGAAGAAGTTGTTATATTATGTATATTTTGTCGGTTTTCTAATGGTAACTTATTTCTAGAAAAAACAAAAAACATATTTAATACAGCCCTGTTGTAAAACATGTGAGCTGAGTTCTTCAGAACAATTTCAAGCCATTTTGACTTACTGATAAGTTAAATATTCGAAAACAGTGAATAAAAACGCTGAAACAGCAACATCAGCCGGGAGAAAATCAGCGTAGTGGTTTTCATCAGTGTAAATCGTCCTTAAAATACCTTTACCTGAAGCTATCTCAAAACCAATTATACCATTGATAGTATCAGTCCATCCTGGAATAGGATCTTTCCAAATAGGTATTACTAAAACAAATTTAAATAAAAATTTCATTTTTTTCAAAAGCCTCATAAAATTTTACCAAAAGAAGGACGTAAAAGAACTATAGGCATTTTTGACAGCTCCTGATTAACCAATCCTTCAGCCAATGCTTTTGTAAAGGTATAAGTATTAGGAATATCATCTAAAATTCTTAAAAACAAAAATTTATGCATACAAACTTTTATAAATTAATTAATACTAAATACTTATGTAAAAATACTCCCAGCTCTTCTTCTTGCAATCCCTCAACAATCGTAAGTATCTTCTCGGGATCTTCCGGCGGTTGATAAGGCACCTCATCAATCACCCTTTCATGTAAGTGACAATACGCCGTTGATACATGTACAAATAATAACAAATTCTTCATTGTTTTAGCCAACTCCAACATCAGTTTAGTCCCTCTGACATTAATGAACACAGCAGTTTTCAGAGTTTCATCAAAACGACAATTTGCAGCCACATGATAAACAATCTCAACTTCATCTTGTAACAATTTTACATCTTCATCTGATAATCCTAAATTTTCAGCACCTACATCACCAGAAATAGGATGTATTTTTGAAAACAGTGAAGAGAAATCATCATTTTCTGATTTAAGTTTATCAAACAACTAAAAATTAAAAAAAAAAGAAAAAAAAATTAGGTTAAGTAATATGACTTAAGTAACTTACTTAAGTATCTTAAGTACTTACTGGACTTTTGAAGATTTTATCCAGACGTTCTTGTATAGTCAAATTATACTTAGGTCTTATTATGATGAAAATTTTTCTCAGACCAGAACAACATCGTAAAAGTTTTTCCAGGAGCACTTTTCCGAGAAAACCGGACGCGCCTGTTATCAAAATAGTTTTCCCAACAAAACACTCCGCTATACGATCGGGCCATTCTTCAAAATCACTCATTTTAACTTTACTCAAACACAACTTAAGTCAATTGTTTATATACCGTAGTATTTAAAAATTTAAACAATAATTTTAACAACAATAGTGAATTAACACTGATAATGACTTATAAATAGTCAATTTGCTTCATTCAAAGAAAAAAAAACAATTTTAAAAAAGTTGCGTTTAAGTCGTATAAATGCGCATGCGCATATGACTTAAGTCAAATAGGCGGAGCTCCCCCTAGAATTCCACACTCAAAGTTCAAAAACAATGCCGTTTAATAATGACCGCCGTGAATATCCAATTTACACAACACATCAATAATTCATAATCATTTCCTTCCTCATTTCGCATCCTTCCGATGAATTGTAAAAGTAACAAACACACTGGTTTATGTAAAACATGCGCGCTAAAACTAGAACGGTATAATTTTTAATGTACATTGTCCTCGATACATTAAAACGTCATTAAATAAGCTTTACAAATCATTAGAAATTATCGCATATTAAATATTTAAATCTATCTCCAACTAATTACTTTTCTGTTTCAGCGGGCTGCGGATGTACGCGTTGTAATAGAACTTGCTGAAGAGGTAAATAAATGAGCATCCATGCATTATCACCGGCACCAATAACAATTTCGGGAAGTTGCAGTACGGATTGGCGAAGTTCACGATGAAGATCGACGTGCCGATCAAAAACTGCGCCTGGAATGACATAAGTAAAGTTGACTTAAGTCAGACTTAAGTTTAAGTCAATATATTATATTTGAGTAAAGTGACATGAATTTCACTTTTCGAAATGTCCGCCAAAGAGAAAACTCAATATTTGCGTTGTAAGTGTCACAAGTGTGTTATGTGTTAAGTCATCATGACTTAAAACTTGACTTAAGAGTATTTTTATGAGTTTTTACTTACAATTTGGATTTTTGTCATGAGTTTCTTCCAGAAGAGACTTATTTTACCATAGTACAACACAGCAAAGTAATATGTGTACATGAATGAATGCACCCACATATTTAATAAGGGCCCAATTGCCAGGACTCCACTGGAAATGTATTTCATCAAGGCCCATGAGACAGTCACCATTGAAATATGGTGAAAGAGATGTAAAAATGTAATATGTGATTGTTTTTTCCTCAGGACAAAGAAAATCGTGTCGATTAAGTCTATGAATTTAACCATGTAATAAAACCAGCCCATGGCGGCCATTTTGTAGTTCCGGTCATGGTCGTCTGTTAGTCTTTCACAACAGATCCAGTTTTCTTTGAACGGCATTTCTTTTATCTAAAATTTTTTTTTTTAAAAAAATTTTTTTTTAAATTTTTTTGATTTTAGAGTTACTTACATGGTATAAAAATCCAAGACATAACACAACTTGAACAGCATTATACGCCAACATAATTCCACGTAACTCCATGGGTTTACGGTCTTTCATAATCCATGGGCCAATCTTTTGAACAAACAGATAGTATCCGACCAAGATAAAAAACACAGGTATTGGTGAATCCACCATGAACCATCCTTTTGTACGTGGGTCACCTCCGAGGACGACATTTTGATGGTACCAGTTTGATATGCTTGATACTAGCGCCATTTTTTTTTCTGTGTGTGTTTACTGATGTTGTAGTGGTTGTAATGGAGTTGATGACTGATGGCAAACTGCAAAGTAAACACACTTCCTGGTCAGCTTTTATTTATTTCCGTTTTGTTATTCATTCATATTCAATGAATCGATTTGAATACAATTGTGATGATGATATGGATGATTATAGGTCAATTTTCCGTTTTTTTTTAATTTACTTTACTTTACTTTGCTTTAGTTTGGTTTGGTTTTAATTTTTAGGTTACCTTATTTCTAGTTATGTACTTGTTTCTAGCTGGAATATATATGGTGATTATGTGGTAGTTGCGTTGCAATTAAGGTATTTTATTTTTATCGTCGCGAACGCGTGCGAAAAACTGGCGAAAACAATTAGTTTGTGAATGTTTTGGGAAAACAAGTTGTTTCCGTGAGTGGCGAATACTGATTGGGGAGGTATTTCATGTGCGGAAAGTGGAAAACATGAATTTTTTTGTTCTTTAATTCGTAGGAAAACATTCTTTGAAGTTTTGCTTTTTTGTGGTTTTTTTTGTTTAGGTTTTGTTTATGAAGGAAGTGTGGGGTTTTATCGGAGTATTTGAAGTATTTTGAGTATTTTAATGTGCGTGATTGAAATTTGACATTGCATCCGAATTCTAAACTAAAATAAATATGATATTTAAAGTGGATTATTTGAAGAATTTCAGTATTTAATATTTATGAGTTATGTACGAGTAAAAGTGAATCATTGTATTTTTCCATTAGTTTTTTATGAATTACAAGAAAACTAATTAAGTTAGTATAATTTTTTAAACGGATATTTATTCCAGGTTAAATTCTGAATCTAATTTTGTATAAAAGTTTTTTGTTGAATAAATATTTTCGACGGTATAAACAAAAAACTATATTTTAAATTTATTTTCTCATTTTTATACTTTTTTGTTTATAACTTTTTTGTCTACTTGTATATTTTAACAGTATTAAGAGAAGATATGTGGAATATAATACTCTGTATATTACTGAAAAAATATTGCTTTTTTCTTTATTAGTTCTTGAGTTATTTACAAAATACTACAAAAAAATCCATAAAATTTTCGATTTTTTATTTAAAATATGAAAATATTCATTTTTTCCAGTAATTAATTAATAACTCACAAAATACTTAAGTAACCGCCATAATTTTTAGCAGTTATTTGTAATATTAAATTTTACGTATAACCCAATATTTATTTTATTGGGAACTACGTTATTTAAATTGTTATAAACAAATTTCTGGCTATTTTAGTACAAATTCTGAAAATTTCCTTTTTCCCTTTAAAATTTCTTATCAAAATACGTTTTAACCGGAAAATTCACAGAAATTATGCGCAGTGGAATACTAAATAAATTACTAAAAAGATAAATTGTTTAGCACTAATATTTTCGGAGTTATGCACAATTTACTAACAATTTTCCAAATTTTTGTAATAAATCAGGTTTTTTACATTTTTTTAATGAAAATTCCGGAAATTGAATATAATAAACAATTATTTTTGATTTTAAATTGAAATAATTAAAAGTTCTGCTTGTTGATTCCAAGAATTAATTATTTTCAAAAAAAAATGCAAAATTTGCAATTTTCAGTTTTTTATCGCAATATCATCGTTTATAAACAATTAATATTTATAAAATTAATAAAATCAATGTAAAAATTGATTGTAATGAAATTACCATTAAAATTATTATTATATCTTCATAATTTAATAATTTATAAACAATTTATTGCAAAAAACAGTTTTTAGCATAAAAAAATACTCTACAACTAATAATTTTTCTAAATCTGTACACCACATGAATACCTAATATATATCCACTTTAAATTTAGCATTTGCATAAAAAAATAATAAATTACCCAACAAACATCCATGTCTGTATGCTTCATAAATCACAAATTTTTTTTCCTGTCATTCAGTGCGTTTCAACCTTGCACATTTTGCCTCTAACAATGCACCGCCGTACTTAAACAATTATTGACTTAATACAATATGTAATTACAGTTTGTTCGTTGTCTGGAGGAAATTAGTACGCATATAAATATTTATGTAACTATGCGCAATAAATTTCGCGATGATTTATTAATCTCAAAAGTCCAAACCTACATCAACATTGTGCATTAGATTTATTTGAGGATACACATCTAAAAAGCACTTAAATACCGCGATGAAAATAATCTGAGAACAGTTTTAACGGATAACTATCACTATAATTAATAATATGGAGCAGTGGCACGGTAAACTTGCAATTGTCACCGGAGCTAGTTCCGGTATAGGTGCTGCCATCTGCGAGCGTCTAGTCAAAGGAGGATTACAGGTTATTAAATCATTTTTTAAAAATTTTTTCTATTTTTTAAATAATTAACTAATTATTTATAATTTTCAAGGTTGTGGGGCTTGCAAGACGTACATCTCGTGTTGAATCCTTATCAAAAACATTAAAAACAAACAAAAACGGAGTTTTACACGCGGTTTACTGTGACGTCACTTCCGAGGCGTCCATTTTGGAAGCCTTTAAGCAAATTGTTGCTAAATATGGCCCGCCGTCGATTTTAATCAACAACGCAGGGATTCTCACTGATACTAATCTCATAGATGGCGACACGGCTTTGTGGAAGAAAATTTTAGACACTAATGTGTTGGGATTATGTATTGGGACTCGAGAAGCTATAAAATTAATGATGGCGAATAAAATCGACGGACATATTATACACATTAACAGTATACTTGGGCATATGCATTATTATGCTGATGGGATTAATGTCTATGGGGCTAGTAAGCATGCAGTTACTAATTTGACGGAAGTACTCAGAAAGGAACTTATTGATAAGAAATCAAAGATTAAAGTCACTGTAAGTATTTTTTTAAATTGTGATATTATTGGTTGTTTAATGTGTGGTTTTGTTTTTTATAGAGTTTGAGTCCTGGTATTGTTCAAACTGAGATTTTTGATAACAGTTCGACTGAATGTAAGAAACTGCCGCAAGCTGTGGCGCTTAATCCTATGGATATTGCTGATGGGGTGGCTTATGTGCTATCAACACCGAAACATGTTCAAGTGCATGAATTAACTATTAAACCTATTGGTGAACCAGTTTAAGTAACTTTTAGTTAAATTTTTTGAATGTAAAAATTTTGTTTTCATTAAGTTAGGAATAACGGTCTAAAAATAGAAAATTTTTGATTTTGTTTAGTTTTATGTATTTTATTCAGAAGATAATGGAGATATCCTAAAATTCTTTTTAGTAGTTGATTCTATATTAAATTTTACATGTATATATGTTAAATTTTAAGTTATGAAATTGTTTTTGTAGCTTTTATTGACAAATGAAACAGTTATATTAAAATTTTTAAAGTTGCAACTTCTTTTGTTAATAATTAATTAACTGTAAGATAAAAACACTCCAAATTTATGTAATAAATGTAAAATTTAACATTCTATTTCGTTATCTTTAAATATTTAAGAAATTTTTAATATTTCTTGACTTATTAATAATTATATTGCAGAAAGCATATTTTTTTCATTTTTAGACCGTTATTCTTAATATATTGCTTTCTATGTAAGTAACTTTTGAATTATTTTAATAAAAATTTAAATAATTATTATAAAATTAAACAATTCTCACAAATAAATAAAAATTTGTGTCTTATTTGTTTATAACAATTTTTTATAAAAATTATTTCAATAACTTACTTGTAATATTTAAAAATCCAGATTATTTCCCATCCACTAAATTTATTATTCCTCCCCTTTGGGTGCACTGCAGAATTTAGAATATATTATGCTGATTGTTGCTAATTTTCACGGTGTATGTATGCGTTGTGCACCGATCGCGGTCGTCCTCTCGACTGTCCGCTGAGAGTCGTTCGCCGCGTCGCCGGCGAAATTATTGTCGTCTTCATTTCACTACCACGACAACAACAATCCTACAATCCATCATAACTCTTCGCCACAACCACGACTGCAACGAGCACACGTGAATAGAATTGCGGAATTACGAATAGAAAATGAAGATGAGGTGAGATGTGTGTTCGAGTGGAATGTTGTGTTATAGGTTGAGTTGCAATCAAATTTTTATTTTGTGAATTAAATTGTAATAAGGTTGTTTTATTTTGATTGTTTATATGTTGTTAAACAAATAGAGTATGTACATAGTGTATTATAGATAGTAGAAATGATTAGTGAGTGGCACTACCTTGGACCTTGAATTGGAAATCTGTATTAGTCAAGTTAGTTAAGTAAGTTAAGGGGATATATTATTTATTTTAATTAAGTAAAATTATTTATTTATTATTTTTATAAATTTTATGTCAATCTTCGGAAAATGATTGATACTTTCTGAAAATTTGGACTCATTTGAAGTATTTTCTTAGGAGTTATGAGGTTTTAAACTTTTTTTGGAAAAAAGAGTTTTATTTTTGCAAAAAATGATATATCTTGAAAACTGCTTTACCAAATATTCTGCAATTTTTAATATGTATTTATTATCTTATTATACAACTAAATGTCATATTTGGCTTCGATTGATTAAATTGTTTAAGAGTTATTAATGATTTAATTATGATTTTTGCCACTTTTTATCAAAAAATTCATTTTTTGCAAAAATTAAGATTTCATGAAAACCGTTACACGGATTTACTTCAAATTTTGTACATTTATTTACAAAAATATTATCAACATATTTGCCAAATTTAATAATCCTAAGTATATTAGTTTAAAAGTTACAAGAGTTGGAAAAGTTAAAAATTTCAAAAAACTAAATTTTGGCAATTTTTTTTTTCTTATTTAATTATCAAAAAAATATAAGTCTAGACACATTCTTATCAGATAACACAACCATAATTAATATATTTCTTTCTAAAACACCTAACCAATCCCCTTATCTCCTTCCATGAATGAAAGACTTCGAAAACTCTCTCGAAACGAAACCTGCTACGTTGCAATGATTGTCGGATTGTTGGTGTACTAGATACCGCGATGACGTTCTTCTTCCTCTAATGCACCTCGAATGCAGTCTCGTGCTCGGCTGATTACATCCGGCGGAGACGAAGAAAACCAAGCTTAGTGGACTTGAGTCCAAGAACAGAACGCTTAGCGCCTATCTACGACTATATATGTATATAAATGTGTGCGTACACGGCGAAGAAAGTGCATTCGCAAAATGTAAAACGTGTTTGTTACACGTTACACCAATACACGCTATACCACAGACCTGGTAGCCTCTATTGCGGTGCGCCGGCGAAAAGAAAATAGGAAGTCGTCAAATTGCACTTTGCACATTTGCACGTTCATTTAAGTTCAAGTGAAGACTTAAATTACTCTTTGGGAAATTATTTCAAGGTCAAAATGTAGTATAATATAATTCTATTGCTGAAATAACAATGATAATTGTTAAAATTATGATAATTATTTACTTGACTTTATTTTTATAATTTCTAACCTCATTTCTAGGATATTTTCTATGTCAGATGAGTATTTTCTTTGTTTTTAGGTTAAAAAATTATTTTTTTAAGTTTAAAAACCAAAAAATGGAAAAATATTAAGATTTTATTCAAACTTTTGATATTTTACGTTATATGGAGGTTATCGTTACATCGAGGCATAGTATTAAACCTTTCCCCAAAAATTTTTACTGTTTTCTTACTGTTAGATTAATTTAACGCAAAAAATCCTGTAATCATCATTGTATTAACTGTATCTTTACAGGAAACATCTCCGTTGTGTCCAAAAATGCGCCGTTGACCAATTTGGGAAATACGAATTTCGTAAATGTTACGATGTCATGAGTATCATTACGGAAACCAAACGCCAATTGTGCGCTTTACCTAAATTCATCTCGCTGAATGGCTTGATGAGCAGATAAGTGAAGCAATAAGTCAAAGTGATGGAAAACATCATTCGCTGAACAAGCGCGAAACAGCTCGTAAAGGTTAGCAAAAAGTGCATTATGCAACTGGCACTAAATCAACGTCACACTCAAATATTCTAATTCTGAAATGTGAGTTGATGTTGATGTGATGTTGATGTTGCTGGTGGAGGCTTGAGTAGTGATTAAATGAGTTTGTGTGTTTGTGCGTTTGGGTTGTGAGCAATTGTTTTGTTTAAGGATCGCGGTGAGCGTAAGAGTGTATAATTTGCTAATTATTATCATTGCAAGTGAAACGTGATGTCGACAAACATTATAGAACTAATTGGAGAATATACGGAGAGGATTATGTAAGAAATTAAAGGGAGAGGAGTTTTATTTTAAGGTTTTAGTAGGGGAAAGAGATTAATGAATGAGAAAATTAGATCAAAAGAATAATTTTGGAAAAAATTAAAAGAATTGGAAGTAAATGCAAAATTTGATGAAAAATGAAGAGAAATATGAAAATTGGAAGATGAAATGAAAAAGAAAGTAGTGTTTTAAGTAATTTAATGAAGATTTTGAAAAATTATTAGAAAAAATTATGAAAATTTTAAAGAAAATTGAGAATTGAAAAGAGATTTAGATAAATATGAAGGAATCAAAAGAAAAAACTAAATTAAAAACAATGAAGAAGAGATTCATTAAAATATTTAAAGAAAACGAATAAGAAAACTGGAATTGATGACATTTGGAAGGAATTATAACTTTTGATGGTCAAATCTTTGAATAAATGAAGAAGAAAAAGAAAAAAAGTGAAGAATACAAGCATAATGAAGAGGAAAATCAAGGAAAATCAAAAAATATTTGAAGAAACAAGTCAAACAAGACCGATTCTCCGAAAGTAAGAAAATAAAATAAAATTTTGATTGAAAAATATTCAAAAATTAAAGAAAATTATAAAGGTTATGTTATTTTAAGAGAATACAACAAAATAAATTAATAATCAGAACCGACAGCTCGAACAATAATTTCACTAATCAAAACATCCGGAGGAGTTCCCAAAGAATACAAAATAGCATCCGCAACATTCTTGTTCTCCAACATTGGCATGCCCTTAAATTGGTCCATAAACACTTGTGGTGCCAACATGTCATTCCTTACAGGACCCGGACTAATACTCTGCAAAAAAGACAAAAAACAAAAAAATGTTTTTTTTTTAAATAAAAACTTGGAACATATATTCCTATTCATGTTATACTTACAGTGACTTTAATATTACACTTATTAGCATTCAACTCTTGTCTAAGACATTCACAAATATTCGTAACAGCATGTTTGCTAGCTCCATAAATACTAAACGTAGGAAAATACAGATGTGATTGCCCAGCGATACTGTTGAGGTTAATAATATGTCCGGCTATTTTATTCGCCATCATAAGTTTGCATGCTTCTCTTTGAGCTATGCATAAACCATAGACGTTTGTTTCGAGTATATCACGCCAGTTTTGAGCGTTTCCTGATATTAAGTTAGTGGGTGGTAAGACACCTGCATTGTTGATGAGGACATGGACTATGCCGACGTTTTTGGTTGTCCATTCGAATGCTTTGCAGATGTCTTCCTCACTGCGGATGTCACATTTGACAGCATGGAGTTTTCCGGTGTATTTTGTGAGTTTTGCTGCGTTGGCTTGGACTCTATCTATACGACGAGCAAAACCCACAACCTAAAATTTTAGAAAATAGTTTTTTGAGGATAATTTTTGTAATAATTAATGGATTTTTATAATTTTGACGGTAAATTAAAGATAATTAAATTTTACATTAAATTTACTTTCTATGATTTAGAGTATATAATTTAAATAGCATAAAATTGAGCTTAAATACGACAAACAAAATCTCCAACCTCAAAAAAATATTTTTTTTTTAGTTTTTGAGCGTAACTTTTAAACTAATCAATGAATTTTTAAAATATCAGTGGCAAATTAAAGATAAATAAATTTTACATTAGATTTGCTAATTTAGTTAGGTAAAATATTATTTTAAATTGCATAAAATTTGCTTTAAATGCGACGCGCAAAACTTACAACCTAAAAATTTGTGTTTTTTTTTTTTAGTTTTTTAACCATAACTTCTAAGACAATCAACAGATTTCAAACATTTTGAGAGCAAATTAAAGATAGTTAAATTTTATATTAGATTTGTGTTTTCTACTTAATAAAATATAATTGTATATGATTTAAAATTAGCTCTAAAGTTAGATATTTGCAAAAAATAAAGTTTTTATAAAATTTTATTAAATTTTGTAGTAAATTTACCTGCATCCCTGATTTTACTAAAACCTCAGCTATTGCTTCACCTATTCCTGAACTTGCTCCTGTCACAATTGCGGTTTTTCGATACCAACGCTCCATTTTTACAAATTTTTACTTTTTTTAAAATCTTAAATCACTTCAACAGTATAACTAAAAAATTGTTGACAACTGAGAAATATTCTAGCATCTACTCTAGTTATTTATATCAAACTCAATATTAACATAAGTATAAATTCTCTAATTATTATAATAATAAAAAGTTAATAAACATTTTTTATTGAATATAAACCAAAGTATAATTTTAGTTTCAACGATTTGTTTCAATTTAATGAATTGAACCAACAGGTCTCAACGTAATTTCGTTGACCATAACACTTGGCGGTGTTCCCAATGTGTATAAAACTGCGTCAGCAATGTCCTTGCTCTCCATCATTGGCATACTCTTGAACATCTCACGCATTTCCGGTGGGAATATTTCTTCTGTCAAAATTTCAGTTTTGACAGCTCCTGGACTAATACTCTGTTAAAAGAAACACACAAAAAAAAGCAAAATCAATTTATTTTCGCCTAAATATAATAAAAACATTATATTCCTTACCGTGACCTTGATAGGTGACTTATTAGCAGTCAATTCTTGTCTTAGACAATCACAAATATTCGTCACTGCATGTTTACTAGCTCCGTAAACATTCAACGTTGGGAAATACAGATTACATTGTCCGGCGATACTGTTGATGTTGATAATGTGTCCTGCGACGTTATGGGCCATCATAAGTTTGCATGCTTCTCTTTGGGCCACGCAGAGACCGAAAACATTGGTTTCCAACACGGCGCGCCACTTTTCGGCCTCGCCAGCGATCAAGTTGGTCGGATGAAGGACGCCGGCGTTATTGACGAGCACGTGGACAACTCCGACGTTCTTTGTGGTCCAGTCGAAAGCCTTGCAGACTTCTTCTTCGCAACGGATGTCACATTTTACAGCGTGGAGTTTTCCGGTGCAGTTGGTGAGTTTGGCGGCGTTTGCTTGGACGCGTTCTACACGACGGGCGAAACCAACAACCTAAAATGTTTAGTTTTTTGAGTATAACTTGGGAAATTGTTGATGGATTTTGATTATTTTTGATACATTTTAAAGATAATTAAATGCTTAATAAAGTCTATTGGGTTTATATAGTTAATTCTTGTTCTAAACGTCATTAAATTAGGTTTAAAATTAGAAGAGAATTTAAAAAATAATGTTATATTTAAATATTCTCTTTCGTCTTAAGTTTAGAACATTTATACTATATAATCTACCTGACTCGCCACAGTACTTGGTAGATAATTTAATTGGCTCTTAATTAACACTAAATTCGAAAGATTTCAACTGATAAGCAATTATATATGACCGTTTTTGTAAATTTTTAAATTTTTTGTTAATTGTTTAGTTTTTGCTATAATATCTACAAAAATGCTTGGATTTGAATAATTTAAACACTAATCGTTAGGTAATTAAATTATCTACAATACATATTAATTTAGTTTTTCAATACTTTCTCAAAATTCTATTTATTACCATCCAAAGTAAAAATTTGTAATTTTTTATAACAATCAAGTTTAACGTTAAATAAAAATTATTTACACTAAATATTTCACTCAAATTCATACTCTATTAATTACACAATTTAATACCCAACCATTTAAACTTTAAACATTCGAAATTCGATAAATATTACCAAAGTTATAACGAATTGCATAAAAAAATGCAATAACGAAACCGACACGCAAGCGATAAACAGTGCACTATAAACTGAATACGCGATAATAAACCTAATAAACAATGTACTAACTGCCAACAGTTTCAATATGAATAAGTCTATGAAATAACACTGTACGTTATTGGGTTATTGTTATGTAATAGAACTCTATGAAGCGAAATACTTAAATAACAAGTTGGTTAGCACGAAGCGACATTGGTCAAGGTTAAATATTCAGTATTCAAGGTTCCATTAAATTATTAAAGTATTTGAATTTTCTATTGAAATTATTTATTAAATAATATTATATTAATTGATTTATTAAATTACCTGCATTCCTGCTTTGACTAAAGCTTCAGCAATGGCTTCACCAATCCCGGAACTTGCTCCAGTCACAATCGCAGTTTTTCCACACCAACGCTCCATGTTAAGACTAAATTTTCCCAAAAATAAAGAAAAAGTGATTAAAATGAAAACATAAGAACTATTATAATATAGAGGGCGTTAGTTTTACATTTTTTTTATAAAAATTATAAAATTAAACTTACTTTTATTATTACACTGGTATAAACCTGCTGGTAATCTGTTCACGAATGAGAATATGCGTAGTTTTCGCCTGCGCAAGCTATTTATATACCTCGTTGAATTGATGATTGTGTTTAATTCGAGCGCATGCAAGTTGCTCCTACCACTATCAAGTCATGAGGATTAAATTGCAGCATGTGGAAACAAAGAGGTGTAATTTAAGCTTAACGCACCTACGCTACATGAGATGGTTTAGTTGCTGTTTATATTGATAACAATATGTTTATATTCACGAGGGGAACTTGATTAGTGTTTACATATGCTAAAAATGCGTGATGTATACATCCTAACCTCAAATTAATGCTATGTTTGAAAAGCATGTGTAACTGGTTGCATAGAGTAAACAATAGTTGCTTCAATTTTGTTTGTTTCATAGACTTATATATATTTTTATTAAATTTTTATTAAATTACTTAAAACTTTTTTATGAATAAGTAGTTAAACTTTATCAATAAAATGTAAAATGTATGCTAAAATGCATTTCGTATTTACCCTAACCTCAAATTAAGGTTATTTTTGGGAATAGTGTACAACAAGTTGCGTAGATTAAAAAACTTGTTTTGAATTTTTATTGTTTTAGGGAATTATAAATATTTTATTACTTATAACTTTTTTATGAGTAAAAATTTAAACTTTATCAACAAAATTTGTTCCCAATAGCTCTTAAACTAATTTCGGTTATCAACACATCAGGAGGAGTACTTAAACTATACAAAATAGCATCAGCAACATTTTTGCTCTCCATTATTGGCATATCTTTCAACATTTCAAAGACTTCCTCTGAAATAAATTCAGGAGCTGTTAGACCAGTTCTAGTTTCAGATGGACTCACACTCTAAAAACATAAAAACATTTAATATTTAAAATTTCCACAAAAATACAAAAAATAAAAATAAAATTAAAAAATTAAACTAAACTTACTGTAATTTTTATATTGGACTTATGAGCTAATAACTCAAGCCTCATCATCTCACAAATATTTGTTAATGCATGTTTGCTAGCTCCATAAACACTATTCGTGGGAAAATAATAATGACCATGTCCTGCATCACTGTTGATATTAACAATATGTCCTGCTATATTATGCGCCATCATTAATTTACAGGCTTCTTTTTGGGCAACACAGAGACCAAATATATTCGTTTCTAAAATGGTCCTCCACATTTCAGCATCTCCATTGATTAAATTAGTAGGCAGAATAATCCCTGCATTATTGACTAAAACATGGACTATCCCAACATTTTTAGTTGTCCATTCAAACGCTTTACAAATTTCTGCTTCACTGCGGATGTCACATTTAACCGCATAGAGTTTTCCTTTGTAATTGTTTTGAGTAAGTTTCTCAGAGTTGGCCTGGACAAGTTCTACACGACGAGCAAGACCTACAACCTGAAAAATTTAAAAATGATAATTTTTGTATCAAACAAAGTAGTGTTAGTTACATCCCTACTAATATTATAAATGCGAAAGTCCTGATGTTTGTTACCCTTTCACACAAAAACTACTTAACCGATCATCATGAAAATTTGTACACATATTCATAGTGGTCCCCGAATGGTTATAGGCTACTTTTTATTTAATAAAAAAAATTATTTTTTAAATAAAATAAAGAAATTGTTTAGCCAATAATACCTCTGCATCTGGCAATTTGACTACTTTAACGCCATCTAGCATTCCAGCAATGAAGCTCAAACCTAAGTACTATAGTACCATCACACTGTATTATCACACTGTATTACCGACAGCTACGTCAACATCAAATCCAATTGACTACACTTTGGAGACTGTACACTATACTTCCATAGACTATACTTTCAGCCATTTTAAACTTCCCACCATTCTACTTCATTGTTACTTCTTCTGTGCCTACAGACGCGTACGGAAGCAACTTCATTAGTTTAGATATTCGCGAGCGAAGCCAAGGGTTAAAGCTAGTCGTTTATAACTCAAGAACGGATGAATAGATTTTGATGATTTATGATTTGTTATATTTGTCTTGGTCCCGAATAGGAGAATAGTTATTAAAATTTAAAAAAATTATTACTTAAAAGGTGTTAAAGAAGCAATAAAAATTAGTATAGAGATTCAATCATAAATTTAGTTGAATAATTGTATCCTAGGTGGCGCTTTAGTGCATTAATCGCATTTTAATTCCTTTAAAATAAAATTGCAAATCTTATTGATGATATCAAGTAAAACTAAGTCCTTAACAAAAAATATAAATTAATTACATTTTTATTAAAAACTACTTTGACGAAACCACAGTCAAACAATTATATTAAGTAAATATATATTTATTACCTGCATTCCTGCTTTAACCAATTCCTCAGCAATAGCTTCCCCAATCCCTGAACTAGCTCCAGTCACAATTGCAGTTTTTGCAACCCAACGATCCATGTTTTTCAGCAGATTACAACCGAATGTAGTGCATTACGTACTGTTATGATATTTATACGTCTAAAAAATTACTCGTATATTTGCATTGTGGCAATGCCTTAATCAGTTAATGAATGCATTTATATTCAACAACATGTGACGTGATAAGTGTAACAAATACATATGAATATAAATATTTATTGTTTGTTTTTATTGCTCTAGCCAAATACAATACGCAAATATTATTACGAGTGCAGTGTTTATGAAGGAATTAAACGGGAGATCCAACTGCTCTCAGCGTTATTTCATTGATCATAACACTTGGAGATGTGCTTAAAGCATAAACTACTGCATCAGCTATGTCTTTACATTCCATCAAGGGGACTCCTTCCATGAGTTCCATTTCGCCAGGTAAGGAAAACTCTTCGGTTACTAATTGTGTATCGACTAAACCTGGACTAACACTCTACAAATAGATTAAAAACGACTATTAGACACAAACCTTTGAGAAAGTCGTAGCTAAAGTACTTTAGTCACGGGTTTTAGTCACGGGGTGGAGTTTGTGTCTAGAGCACCTGCTTAGTCACTTGATACCTAATATACTCTTTTTTAATCTATTTTAAGAGTGTTGGTGAGTGTTAAAGTACTTTAGCCACGGTTTTGGTCGTTCGTGTTTAAAGTACCGCTTTTTGTGCCTCAAAACCGTGAAAAAAGTGACACTTTAAAGGTGGTAGTAGAAAATAGTTTTAAATTTAATCAAATCTTCTTTAATACTTACAGTAACCTTAATTTTTGATTTATTAGCTGTCAATTCACTCCGGAGCATCTCACAAATATTCGTTAATGCGTGTTTGGTTGCTCCGTAGATACTTGTCGATGGAAAATAGTAATGCCCATGTCCAGCGATACTATTAATATTGACAATATGTCCTGATATATTGTGGGTAGTCATGAGTTTACAGGCTTCTCTCTGGGCCACGCAGAGTCCGAATATGTTTGTTTCTAAGATAGCTTTCCACATTTCTGAGTCTCCATTGATCAAATTAGTAGGAAGACATACACCTGCGTTGTTTACTAAAATATGAACTACTCCGATGTTATTTGTTGTCCAGGTGAATGCATTGCAGAGATCTTCTTCTTTCCGGATGTCACATTTGAATGGATGGAGTTTTCCTGGGTAGTTGAGAGAAGAGAGGGTTGATGCGTTGATTTGGATACGTTCTACACGACGAGCAAGACCCACTACCTTATTGTAAATAAATAGTAAATCGTAAAATAAAGTAATGTAATAAAAGATATTTGTTTGAGGAGAGAAGATTGATGAATGTGATGGATACCTGCATGCCTGCTTTGACCAATGCTTCAGAAATAGCTTCCCCAATGCCTAGGCTTGCTCCAGTCACAATTGCTGTTTTACCAAACCAACGATCCATTTTGAATTGCAAACTTTCACTACTCAGGTATACAAAAGTATTTATATGTTTGCGAATACGCAGGTATTGTAAAAACTGCAATTGTACTTACAACCTTTGGCAATATACGAAATAAATACTTTGTTATCTCCAAATTTTAAAGGTTTACACAATAAAATATGTATTTTAAGCAATAATTTTAAAGTTTATTTCTTTATATTCCGTTTGAGTCACACCAAAAAATTGGTTCCAATTTTTGATTAAATTTTTTAACTAAAACTATTATGGAATCTCTATACTAATTTTTATCCCTTATTTGACGGCCCTTAAGACATTAGTTTTGATATTTTAGTAATTATTCTGCTATTCTACATTAAGATAAATTCAATGCATCATAAATTGTAAAAATCGGTCAAGCCATTCTTGAGTTATAAATGGTGTAACTAACATAACTTTGTTTTATATTAATATAATGGTTTTACAGATTCCTGAAAGTTTTAGACTCAAATATTCTTATAATCCCTACTAATATTATAAATGCAAAAGTCTTGATGTTTGTTACACTTTCACGCAAAAACTACTTAACCGATCATCATGAAAATTTGTGCACATATTCTTAGTGGTCCCCGAATGGTTATAGGCTACTTTTTATTTAATATAAAAAATATTTTTTAAATAAAATAAAGAAATTGTTTAGCCAATAATACCTCTTCATCTGGCAATTTGACTACTTTAACGCCATCTAACATTCCAGCAATGAAGCTCAAACCTAAGTACTATAGTACCATCACACTGTATTATCACACTGTATTACCGACAGCTACGTCAACATCAAATCCAATTGACTACACTATGGAGACTGTACACTATACTTACATAGACTATACTTTCGGCCATTTTAAACTTCCCGCCATTCTACTTCATTGTTACTTCTTCTGTGACTACAAACGCGTACGGAAGCAACTTCATTATTTTAGATATTCTCGAGTGAAGCCGCGGGTTAAAGCTAGTATATTATAAAAACGTATTTTGCTAATTATTTAATCATAAAAATGCATGAATTATACACATATGCATTTTATTTTATGAGGTTTTAAAAATATTGTTGATTGTGTTTTGAAGGACATTTTAAATTGCGAGTACTTGAAAATATAAATTTATACACTTATAAACTTGACCGAAGTAGGAGTGAATACTCCATTGTTTCAGTAAAAGCAACTGTTAACACATTTTTTATAATAATTGATTCTAGTGATTTTATCGAAATGGCACGTGGCGTTAACAATTGAATAACTAAATATTTCCGTGTTTACTGTAAAAGTGCGTGTGACTATCAATGTATGAGAATAAATAAATAATTCGTAATGTTTTAGCTTTAATAAAATCACAAAAATGAAAGATATTGTTACAATTTATTACAATGATGTCTAGTTATTTGTTTTAAGCAGTAAAAATTGTTTAAATTTTGAATCAAAAGTGAATTTAATAAGAAATTATTGAATATTTAAGACATGTCGAGACATCTCCATTCAAAGTCCCAAACCAACTAAAAGCAACCAACTTTCACTTCCACCAAACAGGTTTCTGTTTGAGTTATAACAGTTTTACAACATTTATATCTTAAAATCAATATCAATACGAAAATAACATAATACTCTACTTAACAAAAAACAAATAAATACGTGTCAATTGTCAATCATTACCATAATGAGAATTTAATACCCACAATTTACATGTTAATAAAAACCATTATATTTATTTATAATCTATACAAACATATATTAAATGTGGTAGGTCATAGTTATAAAATTTGATTAGTTGTCTTTTTTGCTAATGACTATTATAATCATAAAACAAAAATAATACTCATTATGACCATGATATATCATGGTGTATCAAATAATAACTCATAAATAATTTATCCTGAAAACTTGTACTCGTAGTTGTAACAAACTCATTCATGGATAATTGAAAATAAATAATTTAACACCCCGACAACGCGGATAAATATTATATAGATGAACAAAACGTGCAGGTGAGAAATTTAGTTATATCTTTATTCTATCGGAAGTGAAGAAAATGTGGATGTGGATGTTTATTTGCATATTTCCTGGAATTTTTGCAATAATGGATTTAAACAATAATAATATTAACAATAATTTAATAAAACAATTTTTACAAACACAAGTGATAACAAATAGTGACTATCGTATAATAGGAATCATAGCATGGGAGAAAAACTATAATAATCTAGAAATTATTGATAATATATTAAAATATCGAAGAAATAAAGCAGAAACAGTTGTGATAAAAATATTTAGTGATTATAACAACAATAATAATTTATTTAAAAAGTTTAACACAAAAAATTACATCATATTCCTCCCTGAAATAATTTAGACTTAGAAAATAATTATTGTGATACATATTTAAAAGTTATAACAAATTTCGTGGATATCTATGGAAAATTTTATATTATCCTCGGAGATATCAATAATTATAATCAATTTTTATTTAATTGTTTATGGGAATCACATATTATAAACTACATATTAATTTATCAAGACAATTCAACTGTTTACATCACAAAATACAACCATTTTTCAAAAAATTCTGTAACTGACTCATATACAGAATTACAATTATCTACAAATATTAACTTTGATAAAGTTTTAAACAATCTCTATGGGTTTACATTCAAAGTGGTTATGATGAATGACCCTCCTCGTAATTGGTTTGAAAAAGGTACATTCAAAGGAGAAGACGTAGAAAATCTGAAGGTGATTACCAAGGCTCTGAATGCAACCTACAAATTGGAGGTTTTTGATAACTACAGAGAAATCTACGAAAGAGTATTAAACAACTCAGTGGATTTAGTATTCGCGCGAAGATTTGCTCTAAGTGAGAAAGGAGATGTTGTAAGTCCTCTGAGACCATCACTCTTAGAATACATAGTCTGTGCTGTTCCGAATTCTGAGATGACTCCTCAGTACCAACAAATATTCCAGATCTTTTCTAATTATTTATGGTTGAGTTTGTTGATATTTTTAATGATAAGTGCTTTGTTAATCTACATTTTTGATTGTCTCACTGGTGAGAAACATTCTTTGAAGGAGGCATCCATGACAGCTCTGAGTATGTTTCTGAGTACTTCTTACATCAGAATAAAATCAGCTGAGACTTCAACCCGGATACTTTTACTCTGTTGGAGTTTTTTCGGAATCATCATAGCTTCATCTTTTAATTCTAAACTTGGGAGTAATCTGGTAGCAAGGACTTATTATCCTCCTATACAGACTTTAGAAGAGTTAGCGAATACTGGTCTGAAACTGGGGATGATCAATGGTTTCCAAGGAGCTATTTTTCAAAGTGTTCCAGAATTGATCAACATGCAAGTTGTTCCCTTTGCGAATATCTACGACCTAGGGAAAAGTATGGTTTATAGTGATCATAGTATACCAGAACAAAAGATGGCGTATATATCCCTGAAAACTATCTTGGAGAGGATATCTCATAGTAAGAGACCTGATGGGAGGAATAAATTTATCATTCTGGATAAAGTGGTGATACCTGGGTTTAATGTTTATGACTCTCCGAGGAATTCTATATGGTCTAGGAAGATGGAGAATATGTTGAGTAGTGTCTTAGAAAGTGATCTAGCTTCAAAAGGGATTAAGAAGATACCACCAGTTGCAGAGGAAGGACAAGGACCTATTAGTATTACTAATTATCATCTTTTGGGACCTTATGCTATTTGGGGAATTGGTATAGGGGTTAGTTTTATTGTATTTCTAAGTGAATTGTTTCAGCAGACGAAATTCTATAAAACTAGTTTTCAGAAATAAAATATAATTTTGTATAATTCTGTATAATTATTATGTTATATTTTTATGCAAGGATGATTTATGGATTAATGACTACGTAATTACGTTGGGGGTAAGTGGGAGGTTGTAGAATGGAATGTGGGTCATAGAAAGAATAATTCTAGAATTCATATAGTTTGTACTTTGTACTGGTTTATATCAACATGTTGACCGTGGTTTTTGTAATTGTTCTGACATTGTCAAAAATAGATTCAGAAATTATTTCTGAACAAAATTTAGTTGTAGAATATCTACATAATCAATTAACAATGAATAATAACAATTCTGTGATTGGAATAATTGCTTGGAAAGAAGATAATCATAATTTATTTTTGATGGAAGATCTTTTAAAACATGAGTTTCATAAAAGTTTTGTAATTGGAATTCTGCAACTGAATTCTGCATCACAAAAACCTCTTTTTAAATTATTTAAGACCAAAACCTATTTAATTTTTATACCTTTTAAAAATTTTGATGATTGTGATAATTATACCACAACAATCTCAGATTTTGTTGATACATATGGAAAATTTTATATAATTCTAAGTCATAACCAAAATTCTGAGATTTTACATCAATGTTTATGGAATTCACATATCATAAACTATGTTTTAATCCATCAAGACAATTCAACTGTATATATCACAAAATACAATCATTTTTCAAAAAATTCTGTAACTGAATTATATACAGAATCGCAATTATCTACTTATATTATTAACTTTGATTCTGTTTTAAACAACCTGTATGGTTATACCTTCAAAGTGGTTATGATGAATGATCCACCTCGTAATTGGTTTGAAAATGGAACATTCTATGGGGAAGACTTAGAAAATCTGAAGATTATCACCAAAGCTTTGAATGCAACTTACAAATTGGAAGTTTTTGATAACTACAAAGAAATCTGCGAAAGGGTTGGAAATAATTCAGTTGATTTGGTTTTTGCTCGAAGGTTTGCAGGAATAAACGCACACCTTGTAAGTCCTCTGAGACCATCAGTCTTAGAAAACATAGTATGTGCAGTTCCAAATTCTGAAATGATTCCTCATTATAAACAAATATTTCAAATTTTTTCTGTGACATTATGGTTGAGTTTATTGATATTTTTACTGGGTAATACTTTAATAATCTACATCTTTCAAAAAAATCATTGATGAAAAAATTTCTTTGATGGAATGTTTTATGATAGCTCTCTGTATGTTTCTGGGTACCTCCTACACAAGACTCAGAACTCCAAGATTCTCTCTCAGAATACTTTTAATATGTTTAACATTTTTCGGAGTCATCATCTCTTCCTCATTCAATTCTAAACTTGGTAGTAACCTCGTAGCAAAAACCTACTATCCTCCAATAAAAACCATCCAAGAACTTGTAAATACAGAATTAAAATTAGCTTTCATAAATGGTTTTGAAACAGCTATTTATCAAAACGAACCTGAACTATCCAAAATGAAAGTGGTCCTCTTTGATAACATCTACGAACTGGGGAATCATATGTTTAATAATCACAGAATTTCTGAAACAAACATGGCCTACGTCGGACTGGAAACAATCTTGTCCAGAATAGCAAATCGGAAAGCATCTGATGGTAGAAATAAGTATATAATTCTAGATACAGTTGTCATACCTGGCTTCAACGTCTACGACTCTCCGAAAAATTCAATCTGGACCTACAAGATGGAGAATATGTTGAGTTCTATTATGGAAGGCAACCTGGCCATCAAAGGAGTTAAAAAAGTTGTACCAATTTTAGAAGAAAGTCAGAGACCTACAACTATGACCAATAATCACCTTCTAGGTCCTTATGGCATCTTAATAATTGGTTTAGGAGTTAGTTTTATTGTATTTTTAAGTGAATTGTTTCAGCAGACGAAATTCTATAAAACCAGTTTTCAGAAATAAAATATAATTTTGTATAATTCTGTATAATAATTATTATTTTTTTATTTTTTATGCGAGGATGATTTATGGATTAATGACTACGTAATAACGTTGGGGTAAGTGGGAGGTTGTAGAATGGAATGTGGGTCATAGAAAGAACAATTCTAGAATTCATATAGTTTGTACTGGTTTATATCAACATGTTGACCGGGGTTTTTGTAATTATTTTGACATTGTCAAAAATAGATTCAGAAATTATTTGTGAACAAAATCTAGTTGTAGAATATTTACATAATCAATTAGTTACCAAAAATAATAATTCGGTGATTGGAATAATTGCTTGGAAAGAAGATAATCATAATTTATATTTAATGGAAGATCTTTTAAAACATGAATTTCATAAAACTTTTGTAATTGGAATTCTGCAACTGAATTCTGCATCACAAAAACCTCTTTTTAAATTATTCAAAACTAAAACCTATTTAATTTTCCTACCTTTTGAAAATTTTGACGATTGTGATAATTATACCACAACAATCTCAGATTTTGTTGATGCATATGGAAAATTTTATATAATTCTAAGTCATAATCAAAATTCTGAGATTTTACATCAATGTTTATGGAATTCACATATCATAAACTATGTGTTAATTCATCAAAACAACGCAACTGTATATATCACAAAATATAATCACTTTTCAAAAAATTCTGTAACTGAATTATATACAGAATCGCAATTATCTACTAATATCATTAACTTTGATAGTGTTTTAAACAACCTGTATGGTTATACCTTCAAAGTGGTTATGATGAATGATCCACCTCGTAATTGGTTTGAAAACGGAACATTCCACGGTGAAGACTTAGAAAATCTGAAGATTATCACCAAAGCTTTGAATGCAACCTACAAATTGGAAGTTTTTGATAATTATAAAGAAATCTATGAGAGGGTTGCAAATAATTCAGTGGATTTGGTTTTTGCTCGGAGGTTTGCAGGAATAAACCTTATAAGCCCTCTGAGACCATCAGTCTTAGAAAACATAGTCTGTGCAGTACCAAATTCAGAAATAATTCCTCATTACAAACAAATATTTCAAATATTTTCTGTGATATTATGGTTGAGTTTGTTGATATTTTTATTGGGCAATACTATAATATTCTATATCTTTTATAAAATAATTGAAGAAGAGAAAGAAATTTCTTTGATAGATTGTTTTATGACGGCTTTCTGTATGTTCCTGGGTACCTCCTACACAAGACTCAGAACTCCAAGAATCTCTCTCAGAATACTTTTAATATGTTTAACATTTTTCGGAATCATCATCTCCTCTTCATTTAATTCTAAACTTGGAAGTAACCTTGTAGCAAAAACCTACTATCCTCCAATTAAAACCATCCAAGAACTTGTAAATACAGAATTAAAATTAGGTATCATAAATGGTTTTGAAACAGCTATTTATCAAAACGAGCCTGAACTATCCAAAATGAAAGTGGTCCTCTTTGATAACATTTATGAACTGGGGAATCATATGTTCTATAATCACAGAATTTCTAACACAGACATGGCCTACGTAGGACTTGAAACCATTCTTTCTAGAATAGCAAATCGGAAAGCATCTGATGGTAGAAACAAATACATAATTCTGGATACAGTGGTCATACCAGGATTCAATGTCTATGACTCTCCGAAAAATTCAATTTGGACCTACAAGATGGAGAATATGTTGAGTTCCATTATGGAAGGTAACCTGGCCATCAAAGGAGTTAAAAAAGTAGTACCAATTTTAGAAGAAACTCAAAACCTACAACTATGACCAATAATCACCTTCTAGGTCCTTATGGCATCTTAATAATTGGTCTGGGAGTTAGTTTTATTATATTCCTAAGTGAATTATTATATTTCTACAAATTCTGAGAAAAAATAAATTGGGTATTATATTCAATATCACATTTATTGTCTTCTTCATGAAATCCTTCAAAAATACAGTATTTCAGAATGTTTCTATAATATCAGAATATCAAAAGGTTGAATATTTTAAAATCTAAATCCTTAAAACTATATAACTTGTCTTAGAATGCTTAAAACTATCTTAGATTCTACACTATCATGCTTAAATATATGAGGTTCCATTTTGAGCGTTTAATCGGTTGAGCAAATAAATATTCTAAGACTTTTCTACGAAAAAGTCTTTGAATCACCTTAGAATGTCATGTTTTAATAAATTAGAGTTGTTCTCGTTGTTCTCGCTGATCATGAAGTAGTGAGTAACTATCTCTTACGATGAGATAGCGACTGTTGAAGGAGTTGCCCCTTCGGAAGGTCTTCATACCCACTTCGATAGTCTCCTTTGTAAAAACTATACTTTTATAGGTATTGATGAAGATCCCGATGAGGATGCAGGTTCCTAGGAGGATACAACCATAGGTAAACATAGGGGAAGCCATGTCTGCGAAAGTGGTCGCGAGGTAGATCCACCGGCGGATTGAAGGGGTCACATCACTAATACCCTCTTCTATCCACATGATTGGGAAGATGATTGATGGGAAGTTGGCGACTGATCGGACATTAGGTGCGTGGTCTATTTTCATGTTGACCTGCAACCGGACCTTAGCTTCCAGAGGTACTCCCAATTTCTAAGACACAGAATTTTTCAGTTTTAGAATTTTTTGATATTCTAAGTCTTTGATACTTACCGGTTGAATTTTAAAGTAACTGCTGTGTTTTTTGCATCTGGTTTAAGACCTTCTACGGAATCCAATAGACTTTCATCAGCGTTGTAGAAATGAGGATTGGATACATACAGAGGTGCATCTGTAATTCAAACTTTAGAATTTCTTCTTTAGGTATCACAGAATAATATTATTACCATAATGACAAGGTCCTATACTCTGTAGTCCTCTCGGAGGACAATATTGATTCCCAGGACAGAAACATTTATTTATTTTATTGACTTCCGGTTTATCATAGATATCATCCGGTGGAGTATAGAGATCTACACTGATGCCGTTCTTAACTTCAGATTTTCTGTATATTATTGGCATGATTCGACACAGATCTTTATCAAAAACATGTAGAACATCTTTTTTCGTGAAGTATCTTGGTGGGAAGAAAGATCCTTCACTTCCTCTTAAATCTGAACATGGCGATTGATCCCAGAATGGCAAGGTATCCTTACCGTTCATTCTATCCATCAGTCCGAACATTTCCATTCCGGTTTCACCAGTGAAAATTGTTTGGATGTCTTTTATTGTTCCATTTCTCTGAAAATACAAATTCTGTGAAAATTCTGAGATACAAAAAATTACAGAATATTTAATTTTAACTAATTTTAACATTGGATTTAATATAAAAAATTTTCAAAAAATTCTAAGTCTCAAATAACTCTTAAAATATTAATTCTGTAATTACCCCGTTAAGTAATCCCATTTGAGTTAGCGGTTTCTTATGTTTAGGGTAAAAATGATGCGCTAAAGTAACAATGGCGTCATCATAACCAAACACTAATTCATCAGGAGTTAGCGTAATGAATGGTTTGTGGTTTCCCATATTTAGAATAAATGATATCGTTTTCTGAATCATATATCCCAAAGAATTTGATTGTGTTGATAATGCCATCAAAGGAACATTGAGCACTGTGAGTTTTTCTTGATTACTGATGGATAATTCTGGAACGAATTGTAGAATTTTCCGATGTTGGAATGTGACTGTTCCATTATTCTGGAATTTTATGTTGATTTTCTCCATATCTTCTCTGAAATCAAAAAAATAAATATTCTGTAATTAAATTTGATGTAGAATATTTTTTCTATAGAATTTCACATTATTACGTATGTTTACAGGAAACTTTTAATACATGTCAATATCTCGTAAATTACAGGTTATTATGTTTCATGTAGCACGTTGCATTATTCATGATTGCCATATTGCATAACGTGGAAACGACACCGGCTACACACCTTGGCAAAGACTTTCATTTCTACGTTACACGCATCGGCACCTGACTTAAGCGCGCATGACTTAAGTAACACACTGACTGACTTAATACTCTAGCTCCCAGTGCATTTTATTGCACTTTACTCGACTTAAGGCGCTCGAAGTTAAAAGTGACTTAAGTTGAGTAAGGTGCCGTTGCACTCGGCCGAGACAAACGCGAGACGAGGAATTTTCCTTCGAGGTAAACCACGAGCGCAATCAACCTCGTAATCTTGATTACTCAACTTTTGACTTAAGTCATTTTTATACTGCAGCCAAATATTTGGATTCAATACAGTTTAACCTTAAAGAAGATTACTCAGAAAATAATAGTGATAAAATAATGATTTAAACAAATATGTGTTCTATGATAAGTCAACTTTACGTGTTGGTATTAATTATATAGTTTTTGTTGTTAATTTAATGGTAATTAATGTATAAACAAATAAATTGTGTTTTGTTTGTTATTTTTTTATTAAATTCCAAGTTTAACGTTAAATAACTTTGTTTGTAATTAAGATATTAAAATGATTTAAAATGCATTAAATAGACAATTTATTCCTCTCTAAACCAGTTTTTAAACATATCAAGAAAGTTGAATAATTGTTGCATAATCTTCATTTAAATAAACAATTTCAAAAAATTCTCCAAAAAATTTATCACTAACTTTAAACTAAAATAACTCATAAACTAGAAACATTATAAATCTTCTCTAAAAAGTAATAAATGCTAAATTTAATTACCTTTCTTATCACATTTAAATAATTAAAGTACTATAATTACTTTAGCCACAATTGAACTTTAAACAAAATATTGACCAACCTTTTTCATTGCAAATATTTAACTCTTTGTCATGTTACACAAGTCAAGTATATCACGTAATGCACTTTAAGCTATCATACCATCATCTTCCCCCACCCCTAGCGTGTGTGTCGCGTTGTTTCTCATCATGTAACCACAAAATACAAAGAGTATCGATAACAGCGCGCCGGCCGCCGCAACTTGTTCGTTTACTTTTCCATCGCAGCGAGAAAAGTAAGAGCGGCGATGCATGGAAAAAAAGACCGCGCATGTGACTTAAGTTAAGCGCCTTGGGTGCAAGACTTGCATCTCGGTGAAAGGTTGCGTAATGCGCTCTTTCTCGTCGCGCTGCGCAGCGCATTAAAATGCATTGCGATGCAATAAAGTTATGCGGACGATAATTAAATGTTTAGTTATTAATTATGTCATGTGCACCACATGCAAACAACATGAGATAACAGTGATACAGTCACTGCATGATGAGTGCATTCTGATATTATTAGTTTAATTATGTTTACTCATCAAATTTACGATTTTCAACAGTGTTTTTTGATACGATGGTAATGATAATTATTTATAGTGATAAATAATTGAATTGTTGATAATTTCACGTTAAAATAATCAATTTATATGCGTTAGTTTCTGAGTAATTTAATTGAAAAATTGATTTTGTGTGTGAAAACATTTTATTTTTGTTAAAATTGTAATTAAACAAAAACTAATTATATTTCAAATGCGTTGATTTAATTTGTTAATAACTATGAAACTATCTTTAATTTGGCGTTTAAATCAATTTTCTAACTTAAGTAGTTTTTGAGTAAAAATTATTTAAAGTTTTTTTTCTTAAACAAATCACTGCAGTACTAATATTGATATTTGTTACTTTTCTCAATATTGTAAAAAAACTATTAAAACAAACGAAACAAAATTTTGTACGTTGATTGCCAATTAAATTATCTTTAATTTGACATTTCAATCATAAATCTATCATTATTACTTTTTGAGTAATCAATGAATAACGAAAGTGTAATCTTCCAAGAAAAATGTCATTCATGCATTTCCTTAATTTGAAATCGATTAGAATCGTTTTTATTCGATTTTCATTTGAATGCAGTTTACACTGTGGTTGTCTGTGGTCATAAACATAAAAAGGATGTTAACGAGTCAGTCTGCGGCTCTACTGGCTTAACTTAAGACGACTTAACCGCGACTCGTGCGCTTTGCTGCTTGCCTACTGGCACGAATAACTCGCGTCGTTTTCAGACCGTGGCGCGGCGCGCGCAGCAGCGTTTTCCTCGATCGCGCTCTCTATTTTCTTATTTTCTTTTCTATGCGCCGGCGCGACTGCATTAAAGCATTACGAACGCAAGCACAATCTGTGTACAACCGTTAAACAGTTAAAGAGTTTAAAGACTTACGTAATGAGCAACGACGACAAGACAAAGACTTAAGTCACTTGACTTAACTTAAGTCACACACGACCGAAACAACAGACTTATTTCCACAATTGACTTAGTTTAATCAGTTTTAATATTTGATTCATGCGGAAGGCGATATTATAATTTGTTTGGGTAAATTTTACGACTTAAGTCATATCAGCGCAGATTTAAGTTTTATACGATCATTTTACTTTCTATTTACGGCATTTTAATGCATCGTTAAATCTTTTACACATGTCAAAGCATAAATATGGAATTTCGCATAAAGATGATTACGGCGCATGCGCAGCTGACTTAAACATTATTGATCAGTTTGTAAAAATTACCAATTTGCGGCAAGTCGGTAACGATATGGCGAATATTGTATAAGAATTAAGAAAGTAAGTCAAATCTGATTGGATAACAACAGTAAGCGAGATAAGTAAGTTAAGAAAGTTAAGTAACAGTACTTACTATACAAGTGAGAGTAAAAGTAGCTGAAGACTTGTTTCGAATGACCTTGACATTGAGTTACTTAAATTCGTAAGTAAAAGTTTACTACTCTACTAACCCACAAGTAACTTATTGCATGCAATATGATTTAAGTCTGTTCTGGAGGCCTACTTAAGACTAAACTTAAGACGACTTAAGTTAGGTTGGTACTTATTGTCATTCCTAGATTTACGATGCATTGTATTTGTTTTACATTAAATACTTGATTTAAGTTTTGAAGTAACCTATCTTAAGTAACTGCAATGTGACTTAAGTTCAGTCTGTGTATAAATTTCACTTTCAATTTCACACGAATTATAAATCAAGCAAATCAATAATCATGTAGCAAGCAACAAGTACTAAAACGTAAAGTAAAACGTTAATTACAGGTAAGTGACTTAAGTGAGTTTGAGTAAGAGTAAAGGTACTTGACACACCTTGGCAAAGACTTTCATGTTACATTTATAGTTACGTTAGGGCTAATAACGTAGTAGTGCATAATTCATATTGATTTGTATTGAAATGTTTTAGTTTTTTATTAATAACTCGTAAATTAATTAAGCTATTTGAATAATTTTTTTGGGGTTTATAAATTATTAAATTCTACGTTTATTTGATATTTTTCTGTATTAATGTCAATTTTTTATAAGAAGATACAAAGCAATGTGTTTGAGTTTTTAAATTATTAGAAAATATTATTTTACTTGTTAATAACTTTTGAAAAAATATTCCGATTTTCAAATTTTTTAAATAATTACCCGTGGAATTTAACTGATAATCATCTGTATAAAATTATATCTTGTATATCTTGTATAGTTTTGGTGTAATTAATTAAAATCTACAATAATTCGCTTTTAATTCTAGCTCCAAGCAAGAAAGTTGTAAATATATATGATTTTAACTTAAATTAAGTCTACTTAATCTCATTAGATATAGCAATCACACTAATACCACCTTTTTAATCAACTAGAAACTTAACTAATGTTTGAGTAATTAAGTGACTTACCGATAGACGAACGGCCCCACTTCCTGCAGTTTGGGCTTTTCCTGTTTGCTGAGGAAGGTGTCCGGATTGGTCATGTTGAAGATATACACCTTCGTCAGTCGGATGACACCCGGTTTCTGCCAATACTGATAAGATATCGAACCGTTCCATAATTTCAATTGCTAAATAAATTAAAAAAAAAAAAACAATTAACAAAAATTTGTCATTTTATTAAATTTTTTGATTTTTGTATTTTTAATTTTCGTAATTTTATTCTTATTCTTAAGCCAAGACCAAAGCAAAAAAGATAAGTCAATAAACTTTACTTAATTAAAGGTGACTTTTTCATCTCTTATAATATTATTAGTAATTAAAATAATTGCTTCAACATTAAAATATTATTAATAAAAAATGAAGTAATACGTACCTTTAAAATTAAATAATCAAGCCATGGAATCGACGAGAAAATAATCCCGATCGTAAGAGTGAAAATACCTAATAATATGACAGCTATTCGACCTGCAATAACAAAATCAAAACAACAAAATTAACACACTTTAATAATACTTTATCGGCGTCACTTTTTTTTACATTACATCTAATTTTGTTTTCAAACACATACGAAGCAATATATACTTAAACCCATAACTTCATATTCAAATAATAAATTAATTAATGTTATTTAAAAAAATCTTGAAATCAGCGTCATAGCATCTGATATCAACATTCTGTGACAGATATGATTTAATTTGTTGTTTTCCTGCCGGAGGCGTCACTTGTGTATAATTATGTTAACTAATTATTTTTGTGCGGTTACAGTTTTTGTAATAGAATTATTTAATTGTTTTTTCATGAATGTGCGCGTAAATGTTTTCTTGTTATGCAAGGTTCTTAAATTGTAAAATTTACATATTTTAATAATATTTTTTTAATTTAACTTGAAATTAATTTATTACGTGCCGAAAATTGATTTTTACGTTTTGGCGGGCAGTAAAATCATTTTTCGCTCTAGGGCTACAAAAATATCAATAAACATATTTTTGTTTCTTCTATTTTCAAAAAATAAATATTTAAAAAAAATGTGTGGCCCTAGGGCTGTAAATCATTTAATTTTTTGTTTTACAGCCCTTGGGCTTTAAAAAATTAAACTAAAATTACCTGTGCAACACTTTTTACACCACTTGATAAACTTTGTTTTCCTCTTTTTATAACTAGACTCAATGCGCATGTGCTGATCATACTTCAAAAACAATTCAGTAACAGCCGTATATGTCATTTTTCTTTATAATTATTTAAACAATAATAAAACTTATCATTTTAATAAAAACAATTTCTATTTAAAAATTCAATTCACACCGATGCCAATTTTCTTATCGTTTATCGCCGCGTCGCATCTCACACCGCAGATGCAATTCACCAACTGCACTTTGACAGCGCATCTCATATTTATAAACTGGAATAATTACCAATCGATGTTCGAACGAATTGACGCTGCGTAGGTACATTTTGTGTTTTGTGGCAGTCATTAAGTGGTCAAATATTTACTCACCACCGCTGATTTTTTGCGATATCAGCATCTGTATAGGCGTGCGATGGTCGACGTATGACAGCTGGCTGCCGTTGGAACTAGTGCGGCTGCGCGTTGAACCATTGCTGACTGCGGCGCCACCTGTGTTGGCACCGGTGGGCGGAGCACGGCCGAATAAACGGTCGTGGACCGCAGCGATGTAATTTGTGTGCGTCATGACGAAAATTTATAAATAATGTCCTGAAACAATAAAAAATATTTGGTTAAATTTTTGTGGAAAATTGTGAAAATTTTGTTAAAAGTTTAAACGCTTGTAACTTTTTAATGAAAAGAGATAGAAAGTCACTGTTTTCACTAAAAGAAAGAGAATTTAATCTAGTTTATTATTATGTTAAATTATTTTCAGATATTGTTGTTAAATTGGTAGATATTAATTAAAATATAAAATAAATAATATCTTTCTGACAAAAAATTTCGAAAAACTTTACTAAAGTTTAAATAAAAATAAAAATAAAACTATAAATGTTACAAAAACATGTTTTACATGATTTTTATAGATAATTAAATCAGCTATCTAAATATGTATAAGAATATTCAACTTTTTTACCATAAATAAGAAATATTTAAACTTTTGCGTAAAAAGAAGAAAGAAACAACAACTTTAATTGACCATTTAATAAAACGTACGCAAATGTAATGTAAACCACGATATGTCTTCCAATTATATAAAAATAACGCCAATTACATGCATGATTATAAATATGATTGTAATCGTGTGTTTTGTCTTTGCATGCGCCATCTCGGAAAACAAATGCGACGGACGCGTGATTGATGCACGCAATTATTCGCAAAAATAGCGAATAGCGAATTCAAATGAAACCACAATGACCGGCAACCGAGAACAATAATTACGTCAATTCGGAGCAAGTTCAAAATGCTTTTCGTCAGAATTTAGGTTCAGAATTGGCAAGTCATCAAATTTGAGAGAAATTCGCAACAAAATAGTTGTTGAAGTTCAAAGTTTCACACGCGGTTGACTATTAGAGACAGACAAATGGAATTTTACAGACAATAATTACAGGTAATGAGCTTCAATTTACTTTTTAGAATATTGAAATGTTTGTATATTTAATTTGTTTATTAAGGGAATAAAAAATTGTGGTTGGTGGAGAATGAATTTAAAGTGGAAAATGACGGTCATGTTCAACTCGCTGTCAATTCTTAATTAATTGAGATATTTTTTTCTTTTGCTGTATATGAAAGGTAAATTAATATAATTTTAGAATATTTAACAAGTAGCAGACAAATATTGTATTTGTAAATCAAAAAAACATTTTTTTAAATTTTTTATTTTTTAAAATTATAGAAGTTTCAACAATTAATAATTAATTATTGCATCAAAAATTAATATTTCCGGAAAATTTTTGCTGATAATTATTAACTAGACTAGTAACCTATAATTTAAAGTTTAGTTCATTGCTTTATCAATTAAATTAACCAATTTATATGCAAAATAAGTTGAAAATGCATTTTGAGCAAAATAATTAGAAAAATAAAGTTTCAAGTTTATCAGCCTGCCATTTTTTAACTACTTAAGTTTATGGGGTAATTTTTATTGTAAATTAAAGATAATTTAATGTAGTTTTATCACAATGTCATTTACAACAAACTTGTTAATTGTTAATAGACTAATTTTAAAGTTAAAAATTTTTTCGCGAAAAATTTTCCTATATTTAATATTTTTAAGCAAAAAAACAATTTTCAACTTTAAATTAGTCATATTTTGTTATAAATAGATCAATAACAACAATTAATAAACACTTATAACACATAATAAGATTGTTATTAAAAATAGCGATTAAAACTATTAAAAATTTCACGTGTTTTCGTAGTATTTTCACTACTTCTCCAATTTTCCGTTTTACGCGTGCGAAATAAAAACAAATCATCAAAATTATTAATAAATAATTATTGAACAAACAACAAACATACATTTTACTCAGACGGCGTAAAAATAGGAAGTGACGTACAAAGAGTCAATTTATATCGTTATTATGAATGCATATGCAAATTGTGCAATTGTTATCTCTGTGCGTCATCAATAGACGTTAAATGTTCTGAATATGTACATTTACAATAGTTATGTTGACAATATTATGTATTTCGTGCTAAATTACGCTTGTTATGCATTTCGGTAGAATTTAAGTCAGGTAAGTACCAGAGGTCAATTTGCAAATAGACAGGAATTTTCCAGTAACGATTTGAAGTTGATTCCGGTTAAAAGTTGTAAAACTAAGGTGTGATATGCAAAGTTTCATTGCTTAGCTATTTAGTTATTGTAAATTTATAAGAAAATTTCAAGTATTTCTAATTTTATTTGATTTTTAAAGTGTGTAAAAAATATTTTGGTATTTTTCATGCAATTTTTTATTTAAATAATATTTAATGTTATTAATATGGCAATAAAAGCATAAAGATATATATTTATATAAACTAGAATAAATTATCTACAAACTGATGTAAATATTGAGGGTGTATGTTTTTTAGTTTTTAAATGATCCGCATTTGAATAATGCATTCTAAAATTTAAAATTTGCATTATTTCAAAAACGGTTTTATTTAATTTTTTAACAATAAACACTATTTGCGCTAATATTTTTGAACATATTTCAACATATTCATAAACAATATTAAATTCTTTATCATTTTCTAAAAAAATCATTTACTTATCTTTATTAGTTCATTTACAATTCGACCTTAAACTTCGCTCAAAAAATAAACGTTTACAAAAATGCAACAAAACCACCACATCCACCGCAGACGGTCTGCAAACAGGATTCATGTCGAGTTCAAGGAGCAGGAAGTCTTTGTGTATCAACTCGCTTTGTTCCAAGAACTACTTGCGCACGCACATCTTAAACAGGTTCAGATAAACTCCATACACTTAACTTAAGTCACGTTTTTTTGGATGAGACTCATGTGCGTTAAAATAAAAGACTAAACGATTTACAATCGATAACATCTGTTTTATCCTTGAATCAAATTTATTGAAGATAAACTGATATAAATTAACCGATGCTCTAAACTTATACCGTAAATCAAAGCATTATCCAAACGGAAGTATCGTTTTACTTTTTATTTAATTACAGTTTAAAGTAATTCTTGTCATAAAAGTGTTTATGCGTTCAATTAAATCACTTAAAACGCAATCAAAGCGCAATCAAATCAGATGTGTTAATTGCACACATCGTATTTCCTTTAAATTTCCTTTGAAAACAGACGATTTGTGTTGCGCAACTTTTTATTCAAACTTGATGGTAATTATTACCTGCAAGTGGCGTGTAATTAATTTAAAAACCTCTACAACTTTTTTGTTGTCCTAATAACAACCACGTACGATAAACGATAAACGTACACGCGTTGACAATTACTGAGGAAATTTATTACAAAATTGAAATCAACAGTTTATTAGAAAATTGTTTGTCGTAAACTCAAATGTGTTAGTTTTTTATGTATAACTCGGAAACTATGAGAGATAATTTAAAAATTCTTTCAGATATAAACATTTGCGTAAATTAAGGACGAAATTACATAAAATTTATGTTTATAGCGTTATTAGGCAACAAGTTATAAACAAATAAAATTTAATTTTGAAATTTTGAAAAAAAAAAACATTTTTTTTATTTAAATGCAATTAAATATTATTAATATTGAAATAATAATATAGAATGATATATTTTTGAAAACTAGAATAAATTATCTATAAAAAATCATAAACTTGAACTGCGTATGTCGTTTAGTTTTCAAATTATTTGTACGTAAATCTTAAATTATGAAATTTACAAATCAAAAAAACGTTTTTATGGTAATTTTTTAGAAATTAGCACTACTTGCACTAATATTTTCAAATAAATTAATACACATTCGTAAAACCACATAAATTCTTAATCATTTCGTGAAAAAATAATTAAATTTTCTTTCTTAGTTAATTCATAATCTAACTGTAAACTTCAGTAAAAGTAAGTTGAAAAATATTTTTCATAAAATGAAATATTTTACTTTTTTCTAATAACTCAAAAACCATAAAAGTTATTTTAAAAATTCTTTCAGATATTAATACCTAACATAATAACAAATAAAATTATGTTTATTTAACATTAATAGAATTATTGCGCAAAAAGTTATTAACAAATAAAATTGCACTTCTTAAATTTGCAAAAAAATTATTAGAAAGTAAAACGAAATAAAATTTTATTACTATTACCAAAAAAATTGTGTACTTTTTTAATGTCTAACAATTAAAAAAATAATTACTAATATGTGCAGTCAGGATGATTTATTAGATGAATGCAATTGTTTTAATTACTCTGCAATTTCTGATTTGTGATTTGCGGTTATGTCATGCAAAAATAACGTAACTCGCTCAATTTATAGAATTGTGTATACTGTTTGTATTATTTAACCGAGGTGTGCGTCAATGGCTAATTAATTTCGGTACGCATTCAGTACGCTGATACAGATAACTATTTATTTTATTGCGCGCTGAAATAACGAGGAAATGCATGCAGCAAAATGCAAAATAAAATGCAGCCAGAATGTGGAACGCACAAGTTTATATCACAATTGAATAACACATATTTATAATAATATTTTAATTGTTTTAGATAATTATAAATTTTTTTGTTGAAAATTTTAGTAAAAAATTTATTATTATGATACAAGACATGAGATACCTTGAAGATACGTCGATAAACCGAGTTTAACACATATCGAATAAAACAATTTGCAATTACTGACAATTATTATTATTATTATTGTATGCTGAGCCCACAGATTAGGCGTCTGAAGATAATAGCAGCGATAATAAAACCGACGACCTTCCTATTTCGCGTCTATCTGGTGGAAACCATCGATTTCTGCAGTGTGCAATAAACAGTTGATGCAATCATACTAATACATTAATATTATCGTATACACACGTGCAAATACGGAGAGAATTAAATATTGTTTGCGATGTGCAAGAATTTACCGGTTAAGAGGCATGGAGTAGCGAAAAGAAGAGATGGAGTGTAAATAGTCGCTAAACAATGAGGAATAATTTATACATGGAAAATTTAATTGATTTGTAGTAAGAAATATATTTCTTTGTTTGGTACAAGTAAAAAAATACTGAAAATGTTTTCCTTAACGATATTTTTGGTGAAAATCTAATTGAGTAAATGACAATTTTTTTTTGTTTAATTGATAGCAAAGTTTAATGTTAAATTATGAGAAAACTAATAAAGATATTTAAATGATTATTTCACTAAATGATTAAGAATTTGTCTAAGTTTGCAAATATGTATGAATGTATTTAATAATATTGGTGGAAATAATGTTTATTTGCAAAAAACTAAATAAAAACGTTTTCAAAATTTTCACATTTAAAAAAATTATGATTCAAATTTCATGTATGAATTACTCAAAAACTAAAAATTATACACAGTTCATTTTTTAAGTATATTACAGATAATTTATTCTAGTTTCCAAAAATATATAACTTTTACCTATTTCTATAATATTAATGAGCGTTAATTACATTTGTGTCAAGAATTGCATGAAAATTTGTTTGCATATTTACAAAATTTTTAAAAACTGCAAGAAAGCCTCATAAAGTTGTAATTCATTTATAAAATTAAAAACTATTACTAAAAAATTTTCCACAAATACATATTTAATGATTATTTATAATAAAAATTTTAAAAAATTGCATTTTTCTTTTAAATTCTCAAAAAATGTAAAAATTTAAAAAAATATCAGAATTATTCAAATTCAAAGAAATGAAATAATAATATTACTTTCTATTCTGAAAAATAACAAGATTATCTTGACTTATAACACAATTAAATATTAATATTGCTATTTACTTGTCAGTAATCTGTCATCAGATTACGACCTTCCTTCTGAGTGTTTCCTTCTGCATTCTTACAAAATAACTTAGATAACTACTCAATTATTTCCACAGCACAGCATCGAATAAAACTGCCACGAATTAAACCGTTTCAGATTACATCTAATTATATAATTTACCAATAATAAACACTGCAATCTCTGTGCCAAAAATCGCAAATATAAAAATATTGCAATCATAACTAAATTGCACTCGAAAATCTACAATTTCACAACTTATTACTGTTACATTTACGATCCCATTGCACAAAATGAACTTTTTGCACTTTTAGCAATTAGTTTCAGTCACAATTGACGTCACAACCTTCAAAAAGCTAAGCTAAGATACAAGAGCTACTCGTACTCGCAAATTCAAACTTTACGATACCATAAATAAAGAGAGGAAAAAAAGCGAACGCTGAGCGTAAAATTGAACTCGAAAAAAATTAAGACACCGAATTATAGTAATACTTGCACCGGTCGCACTTTATGAGACACAGTATAACTATGACAAATCATGTTTCAATGCAATCAAGGCTTTTTGATCGTGGCAAACGATGCGGTAAAACCCAAGAAATGAACTGAAACAAAAACTAAATTCGTTCAAAACAACGAATTTTAGGAGTTAGATTTAGATACGGTTTAAATAAAAACTATTAGAGATATAATCACCATGTTTGTGTACATTTATAGAAAATTTATTCTAGTTTTAGAATATTTATTACTATTTATCTTAATATTATGATAAATATAATATTTTTGGTTTAAACTTGAAAAAACAATTTTTTGTACATTTTTTTAAGTATCAACTTTGAACGTGAATAATTTACAAACTATTAGAGATAATAATATGAAATTTTTACAGATTGGTAAGAAATTTAATATTGTTAACAAAAACATATAACAACATATATTTTTATAAAGATTAATTCAGGTAATTTTAATTAAAACACAAAAATCACACCAAAAAATTTCCAAAAATTTTTTTCTCAAATTTAGCAATTTATATAAAAACCATAAATGATAAGAAAATAAAATTTGTTATAATTAATGCATAATTTAATCTAGTTTCTATTTCTGTTATAACATTTGTTGATTAATGATTTTAACCAGGTGTAAACTCATAGAAACCAAACAAAAACCCATTCTGCAAAATACAGCTTACACGAAGATGTTGCAATTTTCCTCACACTTTTCGTTGGAATTACATAACGATTGCTTCATTTTCAACTTTTGTACGCGTTCGCTTTTTTCGTACGCATTTCCTTTTCATTAGTCACCGAATTTCACAACGCTGCACTTTCTGCTTATAAATAAATTGGAAATAAACGAATTATATAACTCTCACTTTTCAAAGATGACCAGATCTTTGCAACAAAAACTCAAATTTATCGAGATTGGAGTGCAGAGAAATCCATGGAAAACATGGATAAGTAAACTTAATTAAAATCAAAAACTTAAGATTAACTATGAGTTGTGGCAGTGATTGAGAGGAAAGTGAAATATAATTCTGTGCGATTGTATGCAATTTGTGCGGAGAAGAAAACTTCGCAACTCGTTTATTCGAGTGGCAAATAACCTGAATAACTCGCACTTGTGAGTGCGCATGCGCGCGCGCCTCAGTCGCGTTTCTAATACAACACACTCGACCGCCGGTATTAATTGCGACGACGTGATAATGTTATAACATTATTAGTGGCGATCGAGCGCGACACGCTTGGAAATCGTTACAAGTTTAAACAATATCAATCAATAATTATTAAATATTATAAATTTTACTTTTGCAATATATTTCTAATAAAATTTGGTGTCAAAATAAAATATTTTATAATGGTTACACCATAACATAATAATATTAATAATTTTTAGCAACTTTTTTTTCATTTTTTTAAAATTTTTTGTGTTTTATTTGTCACAGTGGAAATAATCATATGACTAGACATGAGTAGTAAATTTATAAAAATTACACACACGCTTGAATTACTTCCATTGTCATTATCTCATCATCATTCACCGAAATTCCCCGAAAATAAAAAAAAATAACGCGAAATAAATTCAAGATCAATGATTAACGGACAAATGCGTCACAAAAAATTAAATTACGATAAATTGTATCACAGCTTGTAATTTTTTTGTTATTCACTTTTTAAGGAATAACAAAATAAATAATTTGTGTAATTATCTAATATGACGTCATATTTCTTACAAATTTTAATAATAAATTATTTTTTAATTTTTTTCTCCCAATTGTAATATTTGACAATAGTAGATAATAAACATTATGCAAATCAATGTGTAATTTTTTATTGCAATAATAATAATAATAATAATAATGATCTATTAGATAATTGATTTGTTGTGTTGCAGCAACACATCAAGGTTTAGTTCGATCTTGAATCAAGTTTAATTTACTCGTGGCTCTTTGATAGTTAAAGTTTAATTACTTCTTGCTCTGGTAGATAACATTCAATGATACAATAAATGTTTAAATTAAGTGATATTGTTATTCTTGGTGGGTTTTTTGTTGGTTGTTGTTGTGCGTCAGTATAACCCGTTAATATGGTATTTATTAATTATGTACATTCAGAAATTTTAAAGACATGATTAATTTTATTAGATTTTTTTTTGAATTAGTAGTAGTAATGTTGTATTAAATAATTATTGTTGATATTTTTTGTACTTTTATTTATTGAATGTGGTTTTGTATAAATGTATGGAAAATTTTGTGTTTTTTTTTTAGTTAAAGTTTGATTATTTATTGTTTATGTTAATATTTTTAAAGGTTTTAATTTATTTATATAGCTGATTAAATTTGCTATAAATTTTGTTTAAATAATTTGTTAATATTTTAAATAGTTTTTTAGTTATTAATAATTTAATTTTAAAAATATAAGATTTGTGTTTTTTGTATGTTTTATCATATCATTAACAACATTTACATTAATTTTATATTATTAAAGTAATTCTGGATAGATTATTAAATTCTCAATCTAATTGTTAAAATTTTGTGTTGATAACGTTTATAGTTTTTCTGTAGTCGTAGATTAAACTCCGATAATATAATATTTTCAGGTTATTTTCAAAGAAATTTTGTTTTTATTCATTTAAACAAATTTTTAACCTATAAATATTAAAATAAATTTATATCACTATAAATATTCTAAAACTATAATAAATTACCAATAACATTTACTTAAACATAATTTCTCTATCTCCGATACGCTTCATTTAATTCACGATTAAAATAAAATAAAACGAATTTTCTTTACTAAAATAAAATCTGCACTTGATTGTCCATAATAAAGTGCACAAAAAATAAATATCAAACATGCACAAGAATTGGAGCAATCTCGTTGTTGTCTCAAGCGTGCTATACTTTGCAAAAAATGCAATGAACAACAAAGAAAAAAAAACGCACACCAGAAACGACTGAAAATAAACACGATGTTCTAACGTGGCGAAAAAGTAAAAGACAAATATTTAGTTTTTAATTAATTCCTCAAAAACAAAAAGAGATAAAATAAAATTTCTTTTACTGGTATATAGTCTGTTAAATTATACGTCAAATTATGTAAAAATTATGTTATTATTTTTATTGTAAACAAAGTCATTGTGAGTTAAAATTGACTTTGTAAAAATTGATATATTTGGCTATAACTTTTTATTAAAATGACAGAATGATTAAATTTCCACAAAAACTAACGCTAAATTTAATATAAATTTTAATTCTAAAATAAATTTTAAAAACTATTAATTTATTGTCAAGTTATAGTAAAATAAAGTAATAAAAAATACTTACGATTAAAAGATGAGTCAATGATATGAAATAATTTAAGAAACGTAGTTTAACAGATTAAAAAAGTACTGAAAACACTTTAAACAATTTTTTACAAATGATTTTTAGTTACTATAAATATTATTAAATTTATTAAATATTAAAAATTAAAATCCGTCTTGAATCTTTCCATATTTTTTAAATTTATAATTCACTTCACTTTTTAAAATTTTAAAGGTTTTTTAAAGTTCGCGAAAATTATGAAGACATGTAAATTGCAAAGAAGTCGATCAACAGCGTTAAGATCGTTCAAGATGAAGACGGAGTGGCGCTCGCCGGCGAACTGCGCGATGCGTTCACGAAATCCGCGACTTTTGCGTGATCCACGAGATCCACGAGATCACCGAGTGAAAAACAATCCACCCAACGCAATACACCTCACAAAAACAACAAAAACTCCTAACCAAATAAATTTTACTTTAAATTTAAAAAATTTCAACAAATTTCTTTAAAAAATTCCCTCCAAAATCCAAAATCCTTGATTGAGATTAATCACCTTTTACAATTCCAGCGCGATAATTAAACGATTTTGCAACTTTTCCACTTTTATTTTTCGATTTCCCAACAATTCGTTACAGTTTAGTTTCCAGAATTTAAATTAAAGTCAATGTTCTGCACGCGACACTCGACACGCCACACATTTTCCTAATTTATTTTTCACACGTTTTTGTAATGATTTTTGTGTGGATATTATAAGGTGTATCCATGAATTGTGGCCGCCGTCGTCGCCGAAGAAACCGAAGAAGTCGAAGAAGTCGAAGAAGTAAACACAACCAGGTGTAGTCGTAGTGCATGCAGCAGTAGAGTGAGGGCAATGTGGGTTAGATGCACTTGCACATTACACATTACGCATTGCACACCGGCGCGCAACTAAATCCAGCTGAATTCTACAAGAGTTCGTTAAGAATTACAAGGAAAACACTTTTACTACAAGTAAAACCACCGCATTCGGATGTTGGTTAGGAGGGATTAGATACGGGCCAAATGTATGGACGTCATTTTTTTATATAACCTAAAATATTTGTTTTTGTATGTTGTTTTATGAAAGGATTAGAATTGTTACAAATAAATGTTTGTTTTAAGTAGTTTATGTGTAATAAAATATTTTTGTTGTTTTCCTGATTTTTTTATGGGTATTTCTGTGTGAAATAGTGCAAAATATTAATTAATAATTAAATAAAAAAAATAAAAAGTAAAACATTTTATTTCTTCACTAAAAATATGGATGATTCTTTTAATTAAAAAAAAACAAATGTAAAATATGATAGCAAACGTCAGTTTGATGGAATTTTGTTAAATTTACATTTTGTTCTCTAGTTTTTCCATTTTTTTTAAATTTAATAATAATGCTTCAAGCAATATTAGAACCAAAAGTCTGATGGTTTCATCTTCTAAATCAACAATTTCTGCAAAAATATTTTATTCAACTTAAATATTAAATTTTTGGATTTTTTGGATTGGTTTTTCAAAATTAGTCATCAAAAATCCCAAAAAACTGATTTTTCTTACTAAAATTGATGAATTTTGCTTTGAGTTGTTCTTTTATCTACTTGTTTATTGTAGCAATTTACTTAAGTTACTTATATCTACAATTTGCAAAAAGTTGAATACGCTGATCGAAGGCAGAATGCAAGAATGCGTGAGTTATTATCACGCAGTGCTAATTGTTTACGCAAATAATTGCCACCTTCGAGAAAACCCGCTTGAAATTATATTTTACACCATGTTTTGCGCAAGTACCGCAATTTATGTTATAGATTTATTTCAACAGTTTTAGTCTCTAGATAATGGTTAAAAATTACTATTTTGATAATTTTTTAGGTTTTTTGAAGAAATTTTGTGAAAAAAAAAACATAAATTGTTTAAGATATTAAAAAAACAATTTTAATATAATTTTAATGTCTTAATCACTTAAAGTAATTTGCACTATTTTTGATTAAAAATGTAATAATTAAAAATCAATTAATAAAATTATATATGATTGACTTTGTTTCAAAAAAATGTGTGTAAATTGTGTACGAAATAGTATATCGTAAAATTCAATCTTTATTTATTTATTTATAGTTGATATTTATAGTTTTTATTGGCAGTTTTTTACGATCCAATAATGAAGTGATAAATTACAACGATTTCAGATTTAAACAGTAATAAAATTGACAAATGTAATAAAATAACACTTTTTTAATATAAAACTTTCTTATCAATGCCATGCATAGACAACATGAGCCATTAATAAATAAATTGTTGTTACAATTAGACTGCTTATCATGACTGGAAATCCAACCCTAAAACAAAATTTAATAAGTTAGAAATTTTTAATTTGTTATTGTATTTTTACTAATGTTGAATATACGTACTTGAAGAACTCTATAAAAGAAAATCTATAGCCATGTTGTTCCGCAACTCCAGCACAGATAATATTTGATGATGAACCAAACAATGTTCCATTTCCTAAAATTTTTTTAGTTAAATTTTTATATGGTTTTGTATTATGTCCAGAATAACGGTCTAATTTATAAAAAAATTGTGTTTTTTTTAGTAATTTTGTAATAACTACCAAACTAATAATTGTGTAACAATACTTGATAGTGAGGTTTATTGTGGTTTTCTTGCACTATTCGAATTTATATTAAAATTGAAAAAATGATTAATATTTTAAAAATTATAAACAATTTAACAAAAAAAAAGATTGTTATTTTCAATTGCTAATAAGTTGGAAAATACTACACCTACTATATCTTTTCTTGCATCAATTGATAGAGAATTTAATTTTAATTAAACAAATGAAAACTTCATGTCTCTATTATTAACTGTTCCGGAGTTATTCCCAAAATAAATCAAAAAAGCACAATATTTCTATTTTTAGACCGTTATCCCTCACTAATAAAAAAAAACACTACTTTCACTCACCTCCAAGACACGCTCCAAAACATAACGCCCAAACCAATGGCTGCAGAGGAAGCGCCAAATCCCTATTATCCGATAAATTGACAGCTATCCTCACCATCATAGTAGTTAACGGTATATTATCAATAAAAGCTGAAGCAATGGCCGACACCCACATCAACAGAATAATCGTAACTGACAATCGCGCGTCTGGATCAACAGACATCACGATTGCATGCGTTTGTAGACCAATCCAATCAATCAATCCCAATCTACTCAATGCTTCCATCAACACAAACAGGGAAGCAAAAAATAACAGAGATCCCCATTCAATCCTCGCTAGAATTGATTCAATGTCGTTTCTCTGGCCCATGATCAACAAGAGCAGAGCACCGAGGAGTGCAGTCCATCCAAGTCCTAGTTTACTGAAGGCTGGTATGGTTTGTAGGAAGAATACTACTATGACAAAACACAGGGTGAACCCGCATTTTATCAAGAGGACTTTGTCTCTGATTGGGTATTTCCTTTCCAGTTCTTTTATGTCGAGGATTATTTCGTTGTCCATTTGCATTTGGACTGGAGAATCATCGCCTTTGTTGTTGGATTTAGTGTTTAGTTTACCAACTAATCTGGAGGTGCGCTTCATTAAGGAGTCTTTTACAACGTCCTCGTCTTTGCTGTAACTGCTGAGGGATGCTGCGGTTCTTTGCCAGACTGCGATTTCACGTTTAAGGTCTGAAAAATAAAGGCGTAGTTTTGAAAGCTAATAACTTTTTTCTGGAGCATTACTTTTAAAAGCGGTAAAAATACGTGTAGTCTTAAATTTAATTGTGTACAACATACTAAAATTTGATAATATTTGATTAATGAACTTTTGAGTTGCAAGGGTTTTTATATACAAAAACATTGAAAAAATAATTTTTAAGAAGAAAAAGAGTAGAAATCAAATTTACACGCTTATAACTTTTGCTACGATAAACGTTTTTTAAAATTTTGAAAACATATTGGTCAAGAATTTAATTCTTAATAACATATTAAAATTTAGTAATAATTGACTTAATAATTCTCATGATACAAATTTTTTTGTAAAATAACTATTTTTTTAAATTATTGATATCAAACTGATCATAACTCTCATAATATACAAAATTTTAAACTTTTCTTGAAACACATTCATAAACAATTTAATTGTTAATAACATACCCAAATTTCAACTCAATCCATCGGTTTATTTAAAAGTTATTCAAACTTTTATAAAAAAAAATACTAAAATTTCTTACCTTGCACATCAACCGGCTCGTTATTCTTCAATAAATTAATATCCCTGTACATGTACCTCAATTGCAAATGTACAACAATCATGGATAAAAACACACCAATACTCATATGCATCGTAAACATAGAAAAATTAATCCCTGCCTTCTGCACAGTTGGATTAGACGCAATAATAACATTCGGCGGATCTCCAATTGGTGTAAGTGCGCCACCTATATTCGAGTAGACGATCATATTGATCAACACCGGAACTGGATTGAGTTTCATAACCTCACACAATCTAATTGTCACTGGTGTCATCAACAAAGCAGTTGTAACATTATCCAGAAAACAGGATAACAACGCCGTGAAGAAACTTAAAGTGTTAATCAATGGCCATATTTTACCACCGGTTAACTAAAACATTTAATAATTATTAAATAAAAGTATAAATAATAATAATATAAATACCTTGTATGCTAAAACAGACATATAATCAAATATGCCGGTTTCTGTAAATATGGCGACCAAAGTCATCATGGAAAACAGCAAAACCAATGTTTCCGCGTCTATCCATGAGATAATCTCGGATAGAGTTGGTCTGTCATTGAGAGCTGCCAAGATGGCGACTGCCATGGTTGATACTAACATGGCGGCCAATGTACGATGTACCACTTCCGATATCATTAGGACATATAATAGTAAAAGTAATCCTGTGGCGTAAATAATTCCGTGGTCTTCGTTGATTGGTTCAACGTTGTAACTGATTGATAGTGGTAAGTTTGCTTTGATGTTTGTTTTAAGTTTTACTTTGAGGAAATAATGACTGTAACTTTCGCGTGTTTCAAGGTCGTATAATTTGTAGATTTTGCGATGGCGCACTTCCGGTACTGTTCCTATTAGTTTACCGGAAACTATAGGGATTTTCCAGACTTCTGATACGTTCTGTTTGTAAATAAATGTTTATCAAAAAATGATAGTAAAGTTTTTTTTATGTGGAAATGGTTTTTAACTTACTTTGACTGATAAAATATCTGAACTTCGAAGGTTGGAGATGTTTGAGGGTCGGAATGATGTTTTGATTAGTTGTACCCATACATTCATTGTGTGTGATGATAAATTGGCATAATATGATGGTAAAAGGGCACCCTCTAGGCTGATTTCCATGTTTTGGGTTACTATTGCTTCTGAGATAATATAACCTAAAAATTATTTAAAAAATTTAAATGCCTGTGTCTTTTATAAAAAGTTTTATTAGTTGTAACATACTAAAAAAATCAAATTTAAATTCAATGATACAACTTTAAATTATTTTAACTGCTGTTGAAAATAAATTAAACTAGTTTTTTTTTTTAAATTATGTTATAGATATTTTAATTGTTAATAAATTACTTTATTTTCAATAAAATTTGAAGAGTAGTTTCGGAGATATTTGATATTTTTTAAATAGATTACAAAAATTAACCGACTTTTCTGGAGTCAAGTTTATACTTAGGTTATTTATCTAATAAATAAAATATTTGAAACAATTCGAAATACACTTTATAGATAATTTAATTATCTATAACATACCTAAATTTCAGGCCACAATAACAACATTTACAGGGTGATTCCAATAATTTAAAAAAATTGTTTTTTAGTTTTTTTGTTTTGTATTTTGAATTTTTTAATAAACTTAGAAAGAATACTTACCTTTAGTTGAATCCCTTGGTATACTAAGATGATGCCTCACATGTACACGTTCGTTTTTCATCATCAAAGTAGTACTGCATATTAACCAGATAATAACCAAAATCGTGGTCTTTATATGCTCTATTGAAGCTCTACACCAACGTCTTTTGGTTTGAGTTGTACTCGCTTGCACAAAACTAATTTAATAAACATAATAATAAATCTCATTAATATTTTATAATTATTGAAAGACATTCAGTAGATAACTTACACGTCATCGTCAGAAGCAAATAGACTGCCTACTTCTTCGTCGATAGTTGGATGCTTTCTGTGATTTGGGGTGCACATTGAGGCAGCTGGCCCCACACAAGGAGGGCATTTTACAGAACCTTGATTTGTTGATGCCTGTCTAAAATATCAATTGTTTATATTGATTAGTTAAAGAGATAATTGAAATGTTAATGTGAAAATTATATAAAATTTTGTGTTTTACTTTGCTTTTTGTTTAATTTCTTTGAAACTAATTAAAATAAAAGTATAATTCCAAAAGAATTTTATAGGTAAGTAAATGTTCTATGTAGTATAAATTTTATTGTGTCTTTATATGTAATTTTTTGGTTGTTACGAAGACTTAAATGCATAACTATTTAAATTGAAATAATAAAAATGTGTTTTTTGGTATATTTTCATTCATTATTAGAAAAATAATGAAGTTAGGTTAATTATCTTGTTATAATTAAAAAAAACAATTAATGAACCTATAATATGTTGATTTGACGCTACATATTAATTATTAATAAAATGACAAACGATTGAAAATGTTCTTTCTAAAATTTTAAACATTTTATTTTTTTTTATAATTACTTAAAATCCAATAACTAAAATAAATTTACTGCAATTTATAATAAAATATAAATAACTTCCTAATTAAACACATTTTACAAAATCATTTATTAATTAAAACTTGGACTTATAAACTTACGTAATACATAAATGTGTTTAACTTACTTTTCACTGGTAAAGGTTTCCATCAAATTCTTCACTACACTGCACCTCTTTAACATTCTAACAACAAATTGATTAGTTAATAAATAAACATTAAAACAACAATTAAAATATATAATCCTCAGAAATAAAATGAAAGAAACACGTGGAGACTGCACTAGCTGCCAAAAACATCTGAAAATAAATCATAAAGAGAGGTCAAAGATTACTTTCTTTTATCTGAACCACAACTACAATCTAATATCAAACCAAAATCAAAATCAAGGTGAAAATTCACATCAAATCCAACAAAATATTTAAATTATTACTAAAAATAAAACTGTAGTACCTTAACGTATACAACCAAATATACAAACTTCGTTAAAATGGAAACATAAGTTACACAGTAGAATATTACTTTCACCGCGCTTGGATGGATCAATAAAATGAACTGTTTTATTATCTACATCCTGTTTGCAAACGAGTATTCATGATTTTATATTTTATGACGTACTAAAGTAATAGAGAGTTTTTTCCTTAGTGAAAGACTTAAAATAGACATGTTTGCTAATAGCTCGGTGTGACATTTAAAAGTTGGCTGACTAAAGGGCCATCGGGAGTAAATGCCCCTTTTAGTGGCTTCGTACGAGTTGATATCGTTGGCCGATATTAAGGACGATTAACCTTTTGCTGCGCAGTGCTTTATTTATGTCGCGGCGTGTCATTGAGTCATGATTTGACCTTTGTGATAACGACCAGGTTGTCAAACAGCGCATTTTCACAATTAGTACATAGAAACATACATTTTTGATATATGATTCATTATATTTATTAAATAATTGATAAAAGGATATTTTATTATCGTTAATCGAGTATAAAATAATTGAGAAATAATGGTTTTAAATTGATACGTTGTTGAGATTAAAAGTTTCTTGGTTTTATTTACAAAAATATTAATAACTCGGAATTTGTAGGCGTTATCTTAAATTTTTAAAAAGTATGTGATAATATATTAAATTATCGTCATAATAGTTTTTATTTGACTTAAAAATTCAATTTAACAAAAAAGTTAGAAGCATGTAAAATTTATAAAATAATTTTAGCTGAGTAAGAAAACACGCAGCCATAAAAAGTCACATAAATTAAACAATTTTAGCAATATTTCTATAAAACTGCACCTGTTAATTAAGAACTAAATTCTTGACGTAGTGCTTTTTGAATTTCTTATTTATTTTGCGTAATTTCTGAGTTACAAGAGTTTAAACTACAATCTACCAAAAAAATTGTGTTGTTTTTGTTTTAATAACAAAAGTATAAATAACTCATTATTTATTAGATAAAAATAAACAATATTTTCAAATATAATAAAAAATTAAATTATCTTTTACATAAATTTTAAATAATTCAAAAATATGAATTCAAAAAAGTTATAAGCAATTAAAACTTCAACAACTATCAAAAAAATATTCCTCAATAAACTTACATTTGTATACGCAATAATAACAAATTACATAATAAAATAAATTGAATGAAAGTAAATTTTCAGGAATAATTCATTGAAATAACACTAACTAAATTGTTATGACATTGATACCAATAAACCAAACATTATGTGTTACCAAACCTTCAAAATAGTCAAATACCAAGTATTGTTAAAATATGAAATAACAACTATAACAATAATCTGTGACAATAAACAGGATCATGATGACACCTCTATTAAACAATTAGTTATTCATATACATACTAGTATTTCACGTGAAACCTTGTTCTATTATCATGATTCTAACTAATTTTAATTTGACTTTTCATGTTAGAATTTTCGGTGCGTGTTAATTCATGAATTTTATTGGAAGGGAGCTGAAAAAAAGTATAAAACATCCAGCAAACATTATCAAAACATCAACAGTTTCAGTTCCAGTTCCAGTGGAATAATAAATAATAAACTAATCAAAATGAAAGTTTTCCTGAGTGTTTTCTGCTTGTTTGGAGCAGTTTTATATGCCCAGGTAAATCAAAATCAAAATTTATTTCATTTTTTATTTGTATTCGAATAATTAATTCAGCATTTACATTTTTTAAAGTTTTTATTTTTACGTGAATTGAATTATGATTTGTTTTGATCCTCGAACGATGAAAACGAAAGAAAGAGTATCTGATGTTGTCCTAATCACAAAACCTATTAAAAATCAAATTAATTAATAATTAAATTCACGTAAAAATTAAAAAATATTAGAAAATCAAATATTATCAATCAAAAATCAAAAATTTTCTTTTTTTTTTTCTTTTTCACCTTTTTTCTTAATAATTAGGCGTTCCATGATGAAGCATCCATGTTAATGATGGAAGAACCTCTGAAGAAATGCGGTGAGCAGTTGAAAGTCGACATTTCTCCATTCAAAGCCGGACAGAAACCCGATTTGGCCACAATCAGCCAACCGCAATACAAATGTCTTGCTAAATGCATCATGGAGCAGTTTGGATTAGTTGATGATAGTGGTAAATATTTACCAGAGAAACTTAAGGAGTCTTTCCCAGACATTCCGGATGTAGTCGTTGGACATGTTAATGATTGCATCAAAGAAACCAATGAGGCGGATTTGTGTGACATGTATTCAAAGGTTCAACTTTGTATCATCAAGAAAAAGATGTAAAACATCCAGTTTTTTTGGATGTTTTGACAAGTTTAAATTCATTATAAATTATAATTGTGTGAGTTAATAAAGGTTTTCGTTCATGGCACATATAGTTGTATTATTATAATTTGTCCTAGTAGTTTTTAGTAAAAATGGATGAAATTTTCTTTTATTCAATTCTTACTTATACTTTTCTAAATTTAAATATAAAAGATTTTATTTATAACGATATTTTATCAAAAGTTACAGAGCAATTTGTGTAAATTATTAATTTTTGTAAAGAAATCAAAATTTGATTGTTTATAACTTTTTGAGTAATAAAGTTATCAACAAAATCTTTATGCATCTAGACGTAAAATTTAATATAGAATCTATTTTATAAAAATTGATTTTTTGATAATAATAGTTTCTGCCTAATTAAGAAAAGAACTAAAACCTATCTATTGTTTTAGCATCCAAGTATTTTAATTATTTATTTACGAATTACTTTAATGAAGATATATAAATAATAGTTTTATAGATACACATGGAAATATTTAAAAAATGAGAAATGATAATAGTGCACTTTAGCGCCATCTCTGATTTAATTATTTAGCTATAACGATAATTGACTCTCAATATCAATTTTCATTCATTAATTTAAAACTCTTTAAATAATTATTTCTTATATTTTAATATATCATAACCTATTCCTATTAAAGACAAAGCTAAAAACACAAAAATTATAAAAATTTGTTCCATCGTTCTTAAGTTATAAATCGTGTAACTAACACGACTTTGTTTATATAGCTAGAATGGGCTGGTTTGGTACTTAACGCAATACATATCTATCGTTTCTTATACAATCTTTTAGTTCACCGCTCTTTGGTTCAATTTTAAAGAAAATTAACACTACAAATCATTGCAATTAATTCACATATTTATTAAAACAAAGCATTTTTAAACAAACATAAAATCAGGACTAGGATGAATCTGATCAACTCAATTAATGCGTAAATTTATCCATCAAACATTTGTGCACACCCATAAATCGCGTACACAAATCATCCTCAGTATGTTGCTTAACACAAGCATCACTGATTGCAGTAATTTCAGCAGGTAAATCAGGAATAACCTCTTTCACTTTCTCAGGCTGATAATTACCACTAGCATCAATAAAACCAAACTTCTCCAAGAAACATTTTGGCAAACATTTGTATTTTTCATCATCCATTATAGAAAAATCAAGTTTTGGACCAGGTGTCAATGGAGTCACATCAATACCTAATTCCTCACCACATTTCTTCAGATTTTCCTGAATTAATTGAGCGTTTTCTTTGGTATGTAAAGCCTGTAAAAATAAAATAAAATAAAATAAATACATAAATATTAATATAAATTACCTCAGCATAGACAACTGCAACAATCATAATCAAAATCACTTTCATTTTAATTGTTTTTTAATTTAATTTCAAATTTTATCAAATTTTTTTCGAATGAAAAAATTAATATTTTAGGATTATGATTTTTTATGACATTTATTCGAAGTTATATAGTATATTTGTACATCCCTTCCAAAACATTTTTTTCTGTAAATAGTAAAAACGTAAATAATAAATAATAAAGTAATTGTGATCTAGGCGCAAGGTTATGATCATGGAAATAAAATAATTCGTTTATTTGTCATAACACATGTACTCAAATAAAATATAATTTAATCTGTTTGCTAAAATATTGTTGAATGGTTGTCTCATGGCCAAAATAAGTGATTGATTCACATATAACAAGTTTTCATTCAAAAATAAACTTTTTATCATTACAAAACAATTTTTATTTTTACCGGAAATAAAATTTGTTCCAAAACTTAATTATTTTACAAATTTACATCAAATTAAACATCTAAAAATGATTTTTTTTTTAAATTTTCAAATTTTTTTTCTAAAATTTTTGAAATTTTTCTTTAAAAATTTAAAAGAAATTATGATGAACAGAAATCATAACACACCAAAACAAACAATATTAATTTTTATTAGACCTGCTTGTACTTGTATAACCCATGATTCACTTATCTTATCAGTTATCCCATTATCAGTATATCACATCATATAATCAAACAAACAGCTAGAGAGTAGAATATGTTCTACCGCACACAAAATCATTGCTCACTAAACTTTGAGTTTGAGTTTGTGCGTAATTAGTATTAAACTGGTCAAAATGGGCCTAATTACAGCAGTTAATATCCTAATTATATTATCATTAATATCAAAAGCAATTACGCATTCATCGCCGATGTGTGATAATTGTACTTGCTTGGTGCACGATGACAAATTTATCTTCGACTGCTCACATTCACCATATTTAGTGGTAAATGGTAAGTAATTCGTGTATTGTTTAAAAATATATTATTATTATAATTTGTTTATTAATATTTTGTGTAGAACTCTATCAGGATGCTAATTTTGTGGACATTTCAAGTGATAATCAAACCTTGTATGACATTTATTACTTAAATATGACTGGATTACCAATTGAGAATGTGCATACTATTTTACCAAACAGTAGTGTGAAAGTACTAGATTTGACAAATACAATGATTATGGATATAACCAATGAAGCGTTTAAAAATCTTCAACAGATGGTTGAATTGAAATTGAGTTATAATTTGTTGGATGGGTTATCGCCTGATTTGTTTAAGGTAAGTTTAAACGCGTATAACATTTTTAATTTTTAAGATATTTTAATTCTGATTGAAACAACTTATAGATACTCTAATTAGGAGTAATATATACTTTTTGCTAATTTGTGAAATTATTAGTTTACGAGTAATTAAAAAAATAAAAATTTATTGCAATTTTTAGGAATTTTTAAAACTTTTTTTGAAAGACGATTAAAATTTATACTAATAATTATAAACAATTTTTACTTTAAGAATATGAAAGGGTATTTAATTAGCTTTCCATTAAAGTAATTATAATTAATATTGGTTAATTATATTATGAGTAATTGACAATGAAACAAAGTAAATCAAAACATTTATAATTAAATAAAATTTTGCAATGAGTCAAGTTTGATTGCTCATAACTTTTACACGAAACGAGTTATCTCAATGATATTTACAACATTGTATAAACAATTTATCTATCTTTGTGATAGTCATTAAACAAATAGATTTCAACATTTCTGTTGATCATCAATTAAGATTTAGTAACTTTTTGCAAAATAAACACTAATTTAAAAGTCAATATTTTAACAATTAATAACTTTTAAACAATTAATGTTAAAACATTGAAATTAATTTTATTTAGTAGATAAATTAATTAACTATCCACCATAAAATTTTTAATGATGTATCTTGTATGGTTCTCTAATATTTTAAACTTTTTTGAATATTTTCAGGGATTACAACTTGATGGCAAAGATTATCCTCTCAGATCTTTGAAAATCCTGCGTTTGGACCACAATAGACTGCACACAATCCACAACGATGCCTTCCAACATATTGAACAAACAATTGAAGAACTATATCTACAAAACAACCCTTTAAAAATCATCGATTTGTCCACTTTGCAAGCAATCCACGGAATTTTAAATTTGAGAGTCTTAGACTTATCCAGCACTGATATAATTACATTACCGCCAGATTTTCTACACACTCCTGGAAAACTCGAAGAGTTATATTTGAGCAACAATTTAATTACTAACGTTACTTGTTTAGGATTAGGCATGGCGCACGTATTGAAAAGATTGACTTTGAGTGGAAACCCAATTATTAACATCACAGAAGAAACGTAAAATTAAAATTTAAGTACAAATAATTATTGTTTTTAAATAATAATACTTTTAGTGCTTTTCCGGAAGTACCTACTTTGGAGTTTTTACACATGTGTAAAATGCCTGAGTTGGAAGTAATTGGTGATCACGCATTGTGTGCCTTAACAGGACTGAAAGAATTGCATATGGCTTACAATCCTAAGCTACATTCTATTAGTGAGAGTGCTTTGACACATGTGGAAACAGGATCAGAGGCTCCTGTTATCTCATATTTGAAAAAAGTATGTTTTTGTTGAGTTATGACGTAATTATATAGGGAAGAGGAAATAATTTTGTTATATTTTTAGTTGTATTTGAGTAATAATGCTTTGACAAGATTGGAATTGGCAATGCATTGGAGTGCTTTAGAAGACTTGGACATTAATGGAAATCCATGGACCTGCGAATATGAAAATCAATGGATTGTTGATACATTACTGCCGGTTTATTGCAAGATAAATGAAAAACGATGCAAAGAATTAAAGTAAGTAAATTTTGTGATTTTTTAAATTTTTACTTTTAAATCGATAGTTATATGGTTTTGAGACACCAAAAGTGGTACTTTAAACACGGATGGCCAAAGTCGTGACTAAAGTGCTTTAGTCACAAACTTTAGTCACATTTTTCAATAGTATTCGATCGAATTTCAATGATTTGAAATTAAAAAAGTTCAAATAGAAAAACCTAAACGTGAAAATAAAGTAGAAATAGAAAAAAAGCAGCACGTGGCTAAAAATTGTTATACAATCCATTGATTAAACACTCGATATGCTAGGCTTAAACAATCTTATAACAAAAACTATATTACTTTGTTATTTATAATTCAATCTACTAATTTTTTGTTAAAATTTTAAATTATGACTTTGTTAAATTAATTTGTTATTGTTTTGTATATAATTTTTAGATGTGCTGCACCTATTGAAATGGAACAATATACTTTCTATGAATTACACGAGAAGAAGTATAAGATGCGTCGTTTGGATCAATATGGTAATCATCCGGAAAACGATGGAATTATTCTTGTTTGTTTCATGCTGGGTCTTCTGATTGGTATTGTTGTTATCTTGTTCGGTGTGTATGCATGGAAACGCCACTGGTTTGGAATCTTTGACAAGTCGCCGGCTGCTTATTCCAGGCAGTTTTATGGTAGGACGACGACCCAAGATGAATACATTGAGTGAAATACGTAAATAGATTAAAATATTTTTGGAGCTGTTTTTTTTATGGTCGTATGAGTCAGATTTTATTTAAAATAAATATTAATTTATTTTAAGCTAGCTTCTATATGTGTAGGTTTTAATAAACTGTTGCATAAGTAATTGTTTTCTCTAATTTTTTCTTTTTTGTTTTCGAAATTTATTCATGTTTATAATTTTATAGTATTAATACTAAAATATTTGGACAATTAAATTCAGAACTATAATTTAATCCCTACTCATATTATAAATGCGAAAGTCCTGATGTTTGTTACACTTTTACGCAAAAACAACTTAACCGATCATCATGAAAATTTGTACACATATTCTTAGTGGTCCCCGAAAGGTTATAGGCTACTTTTTATTTAATAAAAAAAAATTATTTTTGAAATAAAATAAAGAAATTGTTTAGCCAATAACACCTCTGCATCTGGCTATTTGACTACTTTAACGCCATCTAGCATTCTAGCAATGAAGCTCAAACCTAAGTACTATAGTACCATCACACTGTATTATCACACTGTATTACCGACAGCTACGTCAACATCAAATCCAATTGACTACACTATGGAGACTGTACACTATACTTTCAGCCATTTTAAACTTTCCGCCATTCTACTTCATTGTTACTTCTTCAGTGACTACAGACGCGTACGGCAGTAACTTCATTGATTTCTAATATTTATTTGATGGATTCAACGCGAGCGAAGCCGCGGGATAAAGCTAGTACTAAATATATTAAGTATCAAGTGGCTAAACGAGAGGCCTTGAACTGGACCGTAGGCAAATGCTCAGGCGCAAGCTCCACCCCGTGACTAAAGTACTAAAGTAATTTTTATATATAATTTAAATATGTAAAATTAGTTTTTATTTAAAAAAACGAGTCAATGACAAAAATAACAACCACAACGATAAATATAATTATTTAAAACTTTATATTTTTATTCTAAAACAATGTTTGTGAATAATTGTCAAGCACAATATTGGTAATACCGCAATATTTTTTCAATTTGTTAATAACATTCAACTGACATTTTAATTTAAAACTTTTTAGTGCTGTACTTATCAAAGATGCCACTTCCTTTGTATTTTCTAATTTTGTTTTTTGAGAATGTTTTTCCTCTTTAATATACGTATCATTGTTCAAATGTTTTTTATTAGCTAGCTTAACATCAGCTTTATTTCTTAACAATTCTTGGATAATTTCAAGATGTCCTCTACAGGCTGCCCATATTAACGCTGTGTCTCCATTTTGATCAGCTAGATTCACATCTGCATTGTTTCTCAAAAGTTCTCTTACTGTTTCAAGATGTCCTAAATATGAAGCTATTGTCAACGCTGTATTTCCTTGTCTATCCATTAGATTCACATCAGCTTATTTATTTTATTTTTTATTTTTTATTTTTTAATAATTCTTCGACAATTTCAAGATGACCTCCACAGGATGCGCATAACAATGCTGTAACACCATTTTTATTACCAAAATTTACTTGGGCGTTATTCTTTAACAACTCTTTTACTATTTTTAAATGTCCTGCACCGGATGATAATATTAATGCTGTGTTGCCATTATTATCAGTCTGATTAACATCAGCGTTATTTTTCAGAAGTTCACGTAGAACATCAAGGTGTCCTCCATATGATGCCAACATCAATGCAGAGTTGCCATCTTTATCAGCCAGATTGATTTCAGCGTTGTTCTTCAATAATTCTCGAACAATTTTTAGATGTCCTCTACCTGAAGCCCACATCAACGCAGTGTCACCATACTTATCACCTTGGTTTACATCTGCTTTATTTTTTAATAACAATCGTGCAATATCAAGATGCCCTTTGTGCAATGCAAGTATTAATGCAGTGTCGCCAGATTTATTAGCATGATTCACATTTGCTTTGTTTTTCAATAGTTCTCGGACGATAGGAAGGTGTCCTTTATATGATGCCCAGATTAATGGTGTATTGCCGTTTTCATTAAGTTGATTCACATCTGCTTTGTTCTTCAATAGTAGTCGTACAGTTGTGAGATCTCCTGTTCTTGATGCAATCAGTAGCCGGGTAGTCATTTTGGATCCGCAATAAGTCTTTAAAGAAATATAGAAGAAAGTTTAGTAAGTATTTTGTAATTAGTAAAAATATTAATAATTTAATTTTTATTAAATATCTCACCTCCGTTCAATATGTTCAGGAATCCTAGGAGTATTAGTATGGAAAGGCTCTATTCACAATGATGCAATTGTTTGATGCATTATTAATTTATAGCAATTTGTTATCATTATTCAAGTGACTACTTCCGAGAAGTTTACTTATGAAATATGTTTTGAAAAGCTGTTTTGGGAACTGGTCGATAAGACTTTTTAAATTTTTAATTAATTAAGAGGAGTTGCGTATTTAATGACGCCGCAAGCTCCTTGATGTAATTGTCTCCTACGTCATTAATTTACCTAGAATCTCATTAACAATTTCGTGCAAACTATTTGTTTATCTTTTTTATTGTCGGCAAATAGATTTCAACAAGGCTTCTTATCACCAATCAATTTACAAAAAATTTAGTAACTTAATAATTAATATATCATTGAAAAGCTGTTTTGGAAACTAACTGATAGGAGTTTTTAATTTTTTTAATTGGTGAAGAGATGTTGCGTGTGTAATTAATGACGCCATGATCTTCTTAATACAATTATCCTACGTCATTAATTTACTTAGAATACTATTAATTATATCGTACAAATAATTTGTCTATGTGTTTTATCGTAGGCGAATAATCAATAATACACTTCTACAAGTCTATTGATCATCCATAAAAATTTAGTAACTTACCCTTTAACTAACTATAAATTGAAAATTGAATATTTTAACAAATAATTACCTTTTTTCTAATTGTGCCAGTTTATTCACGGTTTTTAGACACAAAAAGTGGTACTTTATATACGGACAGCCAAGCCGTACATAATATTCATTATTTACTTGCATTATGCACGGGACGGAGCATGCGCTTACACATTTGCCTGCGGAGCAGCACAAGGCGGTATAAAATGCCACGCAACGTCAGACATACACACCAAAGCACTTATAACCTTACAGTTTGTATAAGTGTGGGAGCAAATTTCGATGATTTAAAATTCAAAAGTTGAAATACAAAATCCGCAACGTGGAACTATTTCCCTAATACAGCATTTTTTTCATTTTTCATGGGTTAGGAGTGATAACAGGATGATTACCTTTTCTATTTGAGTAATTTCCTCACCTCCAAGGCTTTACTAGTAGTGTCCTAAAGTGCCTATCAAAATTAGTGTTGTTTCAAACATTTGATAATATACTGGAGGAAACACCCTGTATCCCGTTAACTACTTTACGTTTTTAAAGTATTTTATCAACATCTTAAGGTTCAAGAGTTGCCCTACACAACGCATACCATTTGAATTTTCTAACCCTTCTGAAAATCCCCTAAAAAGCTCGTTGAAAATTAGCATTTCTAAGAAAAATTGTTATTATAGTGTGGACCTGGTAGCTCGTGAACTAGCTAAGTTTTTTTAAATTTTTTTTTGCCATATAAGAGTTCGAAAAGCTTAATATATAATGAATACCTTTCCAACATTCTAACACTTCCGTAAGCACCCTAAAATGCCCTTTAAAAATGGTTATTGGTCACAAAATATAAAAACACAGTATGGAAAGCACCTTGTATTTGGTGAAATAAGTAGGTTTTTTCAAGTTTTTTTACACCAATGTTAAAGTTCGAAAGTTTCTCTACACAATGCATACCTTTTCAATCTTTTAGCCTTTCCGGAAGTGCCTTAAAACAACCAATAAAAACTGGCATTTATCAAAAAAATGAAAAACATGGTATAGAAAATACCCTGTATCTTGTGAACTATTTAATTTTTCTAAAATTTCTGACCGTCATATTAAAGTTCGAGAGTTTCTCTACATGACGCATACCATTTCAATATCCTAGCCCTTTGGGAAGTGTCCTTAAACGTCCTTTAAAAATTAGCAATTTTCAAAAAAGTTGATAACATGGTGTGAAAAACACCCTGTATCTTATGAATTATTGGACTTTTCTAAAGTTTGTTACCGCCATATTGAAGCTCGAGAATGTCTCTACACGATGCATACCGTGTGAATCTTCTAGCCCTTTAGAAAGTACCCTAAAACGTCCTTTAAAAATTAGCAATTTTCAAAAAAGTTGAAAACATGGTGTGAAAAACACCCTGTATCTCGTGAACTATTGGACTTTTCTGAAGTTTCTTACAGCCATATTAAAGCTCAAGAGTGTCTCTACACGATGCATAACGTTTCAATCTCCTAGGCCTTTAGGAAGTGCCCTTAAACGTCCTTGAAAAGTTAGCAATTTTCAAAAAAGTTGAAAACATGGTGTGAAAAACACCCTGTATCTCGTGAACTATTGGACTTTTCTGAAGTTTCTTACCGCCATGTTAAAGCTAGAGAGTTCTTCTAGACGATGCATATTTTTCCAACCCCCTGGTCCTTCCAGAAGTACTCTAAAATGTACATCAAAAATACCTATTTTTGTCCCAAAAAATTCATTTTTTGGTCGAATAACAGGGTCGAACTTTTTTGTAAAATTTTTTCTGGTCGAAAAACAGGATCGAATTTTTTAAAATTTTTTTTGTCAAAAAACAGTCGAATTTTTCTCTTAAAATTTTGTTTGGTCGAATAACAGGGTTGAACTCTTTTCTAAAAAATTTTTTGCTCGAACAACAGAGTCGAACTTTTTATTAAAATTTTCCCGTCGAAACATTAAATTGCCATTATCTCCAAATCTAAAAGTGCTGCAAAAAAACTTTATTTAATTATTTAATTTAAACACTCTTCACCTAATAGCAGTAAGGAATTTTCCTGTAAATCTCATTAAGTGAAATGTGTATTCCTATCGAGACTTAAAATTCAATTATCCCAGGAACGAATTAAGCTAAAGAAAAACCAAAAACACCCTGATGTTCAGCATCAAATCCTAGATCAGATAACATTTAAAAATTTGAAATAAAACATGTGCCCAAAAATTTTCTGCCGCGATTTTCTTAGAAAGTAATAAAGATAATAAAAACTTTCTTCATTTTGTTCATGCCGTGATAAGGATCTATAAAATGGCAGATTTAGTTTTTCAATTTTCCAAAGTTGACCAAAGACCACTCAAAAACATCAAGAGGTTACACTTGACTCTTTTTGGACTTAAAAAATTTTTTTTCAGCTAGAAGAAAATGGAAAACGCTAATCGACGGAGTTTTCCAAGGGGATGAAAGATATCAAGTCAGTTTTCCGATAAAATCAATATTTCGCTCTTTTAAATGCGAAAAACTGTTTTGGAATAACCTATTTTCTGAAATAATGATGTTATCGGAAAACTGACTTGATATCTTTCATCCCCTTGGAAAACTCAATCGATTAGCGTTTTCCATTTTCTTCTAGCTTAAAAAATTTTTTGAGTCCAAAAAGAGTCAAGTGTAACCTCTTGATGTTTTTGAGTGGTCTTTGGTCAACTTTGGAAAATGGAAAAACTAAATCTGCCATTTTATAGATCCTTACTACGGCATGAACTAAATGAAGAAAGTTTTCTTCTATCTTTATTATTTTCCGAGAAAATCGCGGTAGAAAATTTATTAGGCACATGTTATATTTGAAATTTTTTAAATGTTATCTGATCTAGGATTTGATGCTGAACATCGGGGTGTTTTTGGTTCTTGTGTAGCTTTATTAGTTTCTGAGATAATTGATTCTAAAGTCTCGATGTGAGTGCACATTCCACTTAATGAGACCTGCAGGAAAAATTTTTTTACGGGGAAATTTTAAACAAAAAAGTTCAACCCTGTTATTCAACAAAAAAAATTTAAGAAAAATATTTGATCCATTTTTGGCCAAAAATTTTTAAACACAATTCGACCCTGTTCTTGGACTGAAAAAATTGGAACAAAAAGTTCGATCCTGTTATTCGATCAAAAATGAAATTTTTATGCCAAAAATAGCTATTTTTAAAGTGCATTTTAAGGCACTTTTAGAAAGGTTAGGGTGTTGGAGAGAAATACGTCGTGTAGAGGAACTCTCGAACTTAAAAATGGCGGTAAGAAATTTAAAGAAAGTCCACGAGATACAGGGTGTTTTTCACACCATGTTTTCAACTTTTCTAAAAATTGCTAATTTTTAAAGGACGTTTTAGGGTACTTTTCAAAGGGCAAGGAGATTGAAACGACATGCATCATGTAGAGACACTCTCGCGCTTCAATATGGCGGTAAGAAACACCAGAAAAGTCCAACAGTTCGTGAGATACAGGGTGTTTTTCACACCATGTATTCAACTTTTCTAAAAATTGCTAATTTTTAAAGAACGTTTTAAGACACTTCCGAAAGGGCTAAGAAATTATAAAAACATGCGTCATATAGAAGGACTCTCGAGCTTTAACACGGCATCAACAAAGTCTAAAAAAGTTAATTAGTTCACGAGATACAGGGTATTTTTCACACCATGCTTTCAAATTTTTCTTTAAATGCTAATTTTTAAAAGGAATTTAAGGATACTTCCAAAAGGGCTGGGAGATTGAAAAAGTATGCATCATATAGAGGAACTCTCGAGCTATAAAATGGCGGTGATAAACTCTAAAAAAGTTGATTAATTCACGAGATACAGAGTGTTTTACACAACATGTTTTCAATTTTTTTGAAAAATGTCAATTTTTAAAGGAAGTTTTGGGGTACTTTTAAAAGGGGTAGAAGATAAAAAAAGTATGCGTCGTGTAGAGGAGTTCTCGAGCTTTAACATGAATGTAAAAAAATCGAAAAAACTTGATTAATTCAGATGATACAGGGTGTTTTCCATAGTATGTTTTCATATTTTGTGAAAAATGTCAGTTTTTAAAGGGCGTTTCAGATCACTTACGGAAGTGCTAGATGGTTGGAAAAATAGGCTATGTATAGAGAGTTTTTTTTCATTTATATTGCAATAAAAAGATGCCAAAAAATTAATTAGTTCACGAGATACAGGGTGTTTTCCATACCATATTTAAATTTTGGTGAAAAATGCTTCTTTCAAAAATAATTTTAGGGTATTTTTAGAAAAGCTATGGGGTTGCAAATGTATGCATCGTGTTGGGGAACTTTCTAACTTTAACTTAGAGGTAGCAAACTTTAAAAAAATCAATTAGTTTGTAAGGTACAGGGTGTTATTTTGCATACCATTACCAAAACGACATTTTGCAGTAGTATGATAAATTTCTGGCAAAAGCAACGTGCCGAAATCAGGGATTGAACCAGGGACCTTTAGATCTTCAGTCTAACGCTCTCCCAACTGAGCTATTTCGGCTTATTCACAAGCAATTATTGCAATTGTACTATACAAACAATTGTTTTTATACAAATAAGAAATTGAAAAACAGTATTGAAAAACAATAGTTTTGCGAGAGGGTGAGTATTAATAACAAGCAAAGTAAAGTAAACATTTACTGTACGCTATACCCTCACAATATCGTTATGAAAGGGATACTTACGGTGCAGTTGGTGCAATGTTTGAGAATTTTAAATGTACGAGTATCAATTTTCATCAATTTATCAATATTTGACATTTAAATATTACAATCTTCAGACAAAAAGTCATCTATTTGTTTTTCTTGTTTTTATAATCTTTTTCATCCTGAATGGAATTCAAATTAAAACATGTTATAATTTGTATTTTAAATTTTTATTTTAAACTTTACAAGAATATATACAAATGACGTTTAATGCTTAATTTAACTATTACGTTGAATATCATAATTCTTAAATTTGTATCACTATGAAAGAAAAAAATAGCTACAATAAAACCCTATTTATTTACATATACATTCGAAATCATAGTTAATGCTCATGAATAAAACTCTTTAGTACCATATCGTATTAGCATTATCACTACTTTTCTTAATATAATACTGCTTCTTAATCATTTTATACTGACGCTTCAACGCCGCAAGAATCAAAGACGAAATCTTCTTTGAAGCAGCAACTAACTTGGTATCATCCAGATGCTTCTCAAATTCCTGAGCAAGACGATGACTCCTTTCACGCTCTGACCACGTCTTTGACTTATCAATATTCTTATCTACTCCCACTTTTTTCTCATCAACAACAGTATTCTTCAACAGATCCGGAACAACTTTCTCATAAATATTTTGCGATGTAACCACATATTTCTTAGACTGATTAACCTCCGCATTGTTCTTCAACAACTCCTGTATAATCTTAATATGTCCTTTATCAGCAGCCAACATCAACGCTGTCTTCCCTTTCTTATTAACCACATTAATATCAGCTTTATTCTTCAATAATTCTTGAACAATATCAAGATGTCCATACCGAGATGCAAGAAGCAATGCTGTATTATCATCTTGATTAGCATGATTCACATATGCTTTACTTTTTAGCAATTCTTGAACAATTTCAAGGTGACCTCCACATGATGCCCAGATCAAAGGTGTATCGCCATTATGATCAACAAGATTAATTTCAGCTTTGTTCTTCAAAAGCATTTGAACAACTTTAAAATGTCCTAAATATGATGCTACTATCAACGCCGTGTTTCCTTTCTTATCAATTTTATTAACTTCAGCGTTATTTCTTAATAACTCTTGCACTATTTCCAGATAACCTCCACAAGATGCCCATAACAACGCCGTGTCACCATTTTTATCCACTGCATTTACTTTTGCATTATTTTTTAATAATTCTTGAACAACTTTAAGATGTCCATTTCGTGATGCTAATACCAAAGCATTATCACCGTCATTATCAATTTTATTGACTTCTGCTTTGTTTTTCAGTAGTATTTGGACAACTTCCAAATGTCCTCCACAGGATGCTGATATTAAAGGAGTGACACCTTTGTGATCATCAAGATTAACTTGTGCGTTATTCATCAATAGTTCTTCAACTACTCTTGGATGTCCTTCACCTGATGCTAAGATTAACGCCGTATCGCCTTTTTTATCACCTTGATTCACAACAGCTTTGTTTTGTATTAATTCTTGGACAACTTCAAGATGTCCTCCTGTTGATGCCAGTATCAATGATGAGTTTCCATCGTTATCAGCTACATTTACTTTTGCATTGTTTTTTAATAATTCTTGAACAATTTGAAGATGTCCTCTACCGGATGCCCACATTAGTGCTGTGTCTCCATAATTATCACGTAGATTAACAGCGGCTCTATGATTGATTAAATTTTGGACAATTTCAAGATGTCCAGCACGTGATGCTAGGATCAATGAAGAGCTGCCTTCATGATTTATTAGATTAACTGTTGCTTTGTTTTTTAATAGTTCTTCGACTATATGAAGATGTCCTTTTGTTGATGCTGACATTAATGGTGTGATGCCATTTTTATCAGCTTGATTCACATCTGCGTTTTTCTTTGATAGTTCCTGAACTATTTCAGTGTAGCCTTTATTAGTGGCGAACATTAAAGCTGTGTAACCGTTTTTCTCAGCTAGGTTTACAGCTGCTCTTTTCTTTAACAGTGCTTTTGTTATTTCAAGATGTCCGTTGGATGATGCCAACATTAAAGATGTCATGCCTTCTTTGTTAGCTGGATTTACTTGTGGATTATATCTTAATAATTTTTGGACAATTTTAAGATGTCCTTTTGATGATGCAAGCATTAATGATGTATTGCCATCTTTTTCAGCTGAATTAACAGCTGCTTTCTTTTTTAATAGTTTGTGAATGACCTCTAAGTGTCCTTCAGAAGATGCCATCATCAATGATGTCATGCCATGTTTATTAGCTTGGTTTATTTCTGCGTTGTTCTTTAATAATAGTTCAACAATTCCTGCATGTCCGTTTCGTGATGCTAACATCAATGCAGTGTAACCTTCATTATTACCTGGATTTACTTCAGCTCCATTTTGTAATAATTCTCTGACAGTTTCAAAATGTCCTTCGCTTGATGCTAATATCAATGGGGTGTCACCATGAATGTTAATAATATTCACTTCTGCATTATTCATCAATAGTTTTTGGACAATTTCGAGATGTCCTCCGAATGATGCCCAAATCAATGGTGTGTTACCATATTTATTAACATGATTGACTTCTGCGTTGTTCTTCAGGAGTTTTCGTGCAATATCAAGATGTCCTTTGTGTAATGCAAGTATTAATGCAGAGTCGCCGATGTTATTGACTAGATTGACATCTGCGTTGTTCTTTAATAGTTCCAGGACAATTTTAAGATGTCCGTTATATGATGCCCATATTAATGCGGTGTTGCCGTTGTCATTGGGTAGGTTGACATCTGCTTTGTTCTTCAATAGTAGTCGAACTGTTGAGAGGTCTCCTTTTCTGGATGCAATCACAAGCCCATTAGCCATTTTGGATCCACGATAAGTCTTTAAAAGATCATAGAGAAAAAATTAGTAAGTATTTTGTTATTGGTAAGAATATTAATAATTTACTTTTAAGTAATTAAATATCTCACCTGTGTTCAGAATGTTCAAGACTTTTTGATGTATTAGATTGAAATGCACTATTCTGAATGATGCAATTGTTTGCTGCAATATTAATTTATAGTAACTTGTTATCTTGATTCAAGTGACTATTTCCGTCATTTTTAGTATTAGATAATTATGAAATCTATTTTGAAAAGCTGTTTTGAGAACTAGTTGATAAGACTTTTAATTTTTTTTTAATGTTGAAGAGGTGTTACGTGGTTAATTAATGACGCCGCGATCTCCTTGATGCAATTGTTTCCTACGTCATTAATTTACTTAGAATCTCATTAACTATTTTGTACAAACACTTTGTTTATCTTTTTTATTGTCTCCAAATTATCTATAAGAGGTTTCAAGAAGCTTTTAAGCTTTTATAGCTTAAAAAATCATAGATATAAGAGTCAATATTTTAATAAATAGTAACTTTTAAACAAATAATTCTTAGAACTTTGTAATTTTTTTGTATCTTTTATGAATGTTTGGTAATTTAATATATTTTAAGTTTTTGTAAAATGTAAGGGTTTATAGAATGATTGTAAAAGTTATCTTCTCAAATCTTTGAAAATTCTTAATTTCAACCACAACAGATAGGGTACAATTTATAACAATGTCTTCTAACATATCAAAAAAACAATTGAAGAACTATATCTACTAAACAACCCATTAAAAATCATTAGTTTGTCCAATTGTCTGCAAAATTCACGAAGTTTTTAATTTGAAAATATTAGATTTATCCCGCTCTGATATAATTACATTACTACAAGATATTTACACATTTCTAAAAAACTCGAAGAGATATATTTGAACAAAGATTTAATTACTACCGTGACTTGTTTAGAATTAGGCATGGTACATGTTTTAAGAAGATTTAACTCTGCACATGGAAGGCATGAAACTGGCTAATTCATGACCTCAAACCTTCAAATCTAGATTAAAAAAATCGGTTAGGTAAACTAAACGCAAACTCAAGCACCGATTTGTTATGGATGTTCTTGGGCCACCTGGCGAAGTTTGGAACGCCCATTGGCTAATTGTATCATGTGCAAAACCTGCGAAAGGAATATGATAAAGCATGTTCTCATCTTGTGCTTGCATTCGCTGAAGAAGAGAATGTGTATGTTGTTGATGATAGGAAGCAAGAACAACCAGCAATTTGTGGCGAAATATTTAACCTGATAATTAGAAGATCAGAGAGTCGATACAACGCGGACCAAAGGACGTGAGTCAAAATCAGCCAACAGCTAAAATGTTTAATAACTAATCAAAGTGTTAAAAAATGCAAATGGTGCACAATTCCAGTCTAAAATGATACGTCAATAGAGGATATTTTTAGTATGAAAATCATTCGTGCATTTTTCAGATTTTTCTCGTCCCAAAAAGAATGACAGTAAAGGGCAGTTACTTTGATGTTTATAACTAATGGTATTTGAATAATAATACTTTGACTAAAAGTTAAAAGTTTTTATTTTCATGTAATTATCAACTTTAATTTTAATTTCAAGTTAAATTTCTTGCCCTGCTAGTTTTAATTTTACAAAAAGTTATCTTATTCTAGTGCAAACATTTAAAGTGTTTGCATTGTTGTCATAGATTTAATGTACTTATATATTTGTTTATTTTAGTTTAAAGCCTTAAATCAATTCAGATAAAGTCATATAATCTAACACATATAATACTTCACAAACAGTTTATCAATTTTATTACATGGCACTGGCAGTTCTACTAATTTTTTTCAACATCTTAATAATTTTGTTTTGACTTTTCAATGTCAAACTCCTCAACACTCTAATTATCAAAGACGTTATCTTCTTGGCATCAACTAACTTCTTACCGCTCAGGAATTTCTGCAGTTTTTGAATAAGAACATGACTTTTTTCATACTCTGGCAGTACCCATGCCATATCATCATTTTCATCCACTTTCTTCAAATGTAAATCTTCCTTTCTCAATTCAGGCACAACCTTAGGATCACCATTAAGCAATGCCTCTGTATTTGTATCAAAATAATCCGCATCTGCCTTACTCTTCCATAACTCTTGCAAAATCTTAATCTGCCCTTTTTTCGACGCCAACATCAACGCTGTCTTCCCATCCCTATTAACTAAATTAATATCAGCTCTATTCCTCAACAATTCTTGGACAATTTCAAAATGTCCTCCACAGGATGCATACATCAACGCCGTATCCCCATTCTGATCAGCCACATTAACATCAGTATTGTTCTTCAAAAGTACATGAACAATTTCCAGATGTCCTAAGAACGACGCTGCTATTAACGCTGTGTTTCCACCTTGATCAACTTGATTTATATCTGCTTTATTATCCAACAATTCTTCAACAATTTCAGGATGTCCTCCACATGATGCCCATAGTAACGGTGTGATGCCTTTGTTATTACCCAGATTTACATTGGCGTTGTTCTTTAATAATTCTTCTACGATTTGTAAATGTCCTCCTCCTGAAGCTAAGATTAATGCTGTGTCGCCATTTTTATCACCTTGATTCACATCAGCGTTATTTTTCAATAGTTCGTGTAGAACATCAAGGTGTTTTCCACATGATGCTAACATCAATGATGAGTTGCCATCTTTATCAGCTAGGTTTACTTCTGCGTTGTTATTGATGAGTTCTTGAACGATTTGAAGATGTCCTCTACCAGATGCCCACATCAACGCAGTGTTTCCATGTTTATCACCTTGATTCACATCTGCGTTATTTTGGAGTAGTTTTTGTAGTACTTTAAGATGTCCGTTGGATGATGCTAACATTAATGATGTTTTTCCTTTTTTATCAACGTGGTTAATATTTGCGTTGTTTTGTAGTAATTCTTCTACAATTTCAACATAACCTTTATTTGATGCTAACATTAAAGCTGTCCAGCCTTTCTTATCAGTTAGGTTTACATTTGCTTCTCTTTTCATTAGTTTTTGGATGACCTCAAGATGTCCTTCGGAAGATGCCATCATCAACGATGTCTTACCCTCTTTATCAGCTTGGTTTATTTCAGCGTTACTCTTTAATAATTGTTGAACAATTTCTGTATGTCCGTTGCGTGATGCTAACATCAATGCAGTATAACCTTCATTATTAGCCAGGTTTATTTCAGCTTCGTTTTTTAATAATTCTTTGACAGTTTCAAGATGTCCTTCTCCGCATGCTAATATCAACGGTGTGTCCAAGTTATCATTCTGAATATTCACTTTTGCATTTTTTTTCAATAATTTTCGGACAATGTCAAGATGTCCTCCATGTGATGCCCATATTAGGGTTGTGTTGCCATATTTATTTGTTTGGTTGACTTCTGCGTTGTTCTTCAGCAGTTCTCGTGCAATAGAAAGATGTCCTTGGTACAATGCAAGTATTAAAGCAGAGTCGCCGATGTTATTGATTAGATTTACATCTGCGTTGTTCTTTAATAATTCTTTAACAATTTTAAGATTGCCGTTGATCGATGCCCACATCAATGGGGTATTGCCGTGATCGTTGGGAAGATTCACATCTGTGTTGTTCTTCAATAGTAGTCGTACAGTTGTGAGGTCTCCTTTTCTAGATGCAATCACAAGTGCATTTGTCATTTTGGATCCACAATAAGTCTTTAAAGAATTATAGAAGAAAGTATAGTAAGTGTTTTTCAATGTGTAAAAATAATAATAATTTATATTTTTATATGATAATTTACCTTTTTAGGACTTCTTAGAGTATTAGATTGCAATGCACTATCCTGAATGATGCAATTGTTTGATGCATTATTTATTTATAGTAGTTTGTTATCTGTTTTCAAGTGATTACTTCCAATAATTTAAATTATGAAATATATTTTGAAGTGCTGTTTTTGGAACTAATCGATAAGAATTTTTAAGTTTTTTAATTGTTGAAGAGTTGTTGCGTGTGTAATTAATGACGCCGCGATCGCCTTGATGCTATTATGTCCTACGTCATTAATTTAATTAGAATCCCATTAACAATTTTGTACAAACAATTGGTCTCTCTTTTTTATTGTCGCCAAATTATCTATAATAGATTTCAAGAAGCTTTTAAGCTTTTACAGCTTATAAAGTTATAAACATAAAAATCAATATTTGAACAAATAATAACTTTTAAACAAATAATTGTTAGAACATCGAAACATTGTTAGAACAACAAATCGTTCACCTTCCATTCCCCGCATTATTTGTTTATTTATGCCTTTGGTGTTAATCAATGCCTGCTTCTTTGGTTTTTGAAAAAAAAAATAGTTTGGTCTATTACTTCTTTCTGAGACCATAAGCTTTAGATTATTTGCTTCATGATCTTGCGCAAAATCTGAAATACTGGTGTATTACAACATGTTTCAAAACATCAACATTTTATTAATTTTAAAAGCATGTTGTTGTAATCACTGTAAACTCGACTTGACAAGTCACTATATAAAATTTTATGAATTACTATCTGTTAGGATAAGTTTCGGCTTTGCTCGCGTTGATATTTTCTTTAGAATAGGTATAAGTGGAATCGGTTGTTTTAAAAAATTGTCATAATTGATTAAGTGCAAAATTCTCAAAAGGTTGATGCATTAAAATATATCTTTATTTGAACTCTATTAAAAAATGATAGTGAGATACTTACTATTCCCAAGCATACAGACCTGTTACATTGACTATTTTACGCTTATTACCAAAATATTTTCATTGGTTAATCAAAACAGGAGGGTGGTGGGTGTAATTTTTTGAACTTACTTAAGGAGGCAAGCTTATTATTTCATATTCACCTTGCAACGTATAAATTATTTTTTCAGGTGGGGTTATTCTTTCATTTATTAATGTGGTTTAATTTTTATATTTTATTTTTCCATGTTCAATTAATCTACGAATACAAATCAAACAATACATGATTATACATGGTTAAATATGATTATTTATCAGATATAGTAAAATCAATTAGTTTACAATCTAAAATCAAGTTCAGGTACTCGTATAGCTTCCCAATAAAATGTTGAAAATACTACGAGTACTAAATTAATCTTCTAATTAGTTTATAATGACTTTTTAATGATCTAAATATCAAAGATGATGCCTTTTTCAAATCCAACAACTTTGAATCGTCAAGATGTTTTTGCAGGTCTTGTAGTATTTGTTGACTTCTAGGACGTGATGGCAGTAGTGAATTCCTGTCTTTAATTTTCTCCACTTCTTTCACATCATTCACATCATTCTTCGTCAAATCAGGGACAACTTTATCATTGCCATTATGCAATTTATCATTCTTTGTATCAACTTGATTAACTTCTGAATTATTCTTCAATAATTCTTCTATAATTTTAAGATGTCCTTTATCAGCAAGATTAATATTTGCTTTATTTTTATCAATTCCTGAACAATTCCAAAATGTCCACAACGCAATGCAAGAAGCAAAGCTGTATTACCATCTGTATTAACAATATTAATATCTGCTTTATTTCTCAACAATTCCCGGACAATTTCAAGATGACCTCCACATGAAGCCCATATCAAAGCAGTGTCCCCATTTTGATCAACAAGATCAACTTCAGCGTTATTTTTTAATAATTCCAGAACAATATGAAGATGTCCTAAGTATGATGCTACTATTAACGCAGTGTTTCCATTGATATCAACCTGATTCACATCTGCTTTGTTTCTTAATAATTCCTGTACAATCTCAAGATGACATCCGCGTGAAGGTGTATCTCGTAAAAATTGTAAATGTCCCCCACCAGAAGCTAATATTAAAGCTGTGTCACCATTTTTATCACTCTGATTCACATCAGCGTTATATTTCAACAGTTCTCGGAGAACATCAAGATGTTTTCCACTTGATGCTAAAATCAATGCAGAGTTGCCATCGTGATCAGCTAGATTCACTTCTGCGTTGTTTTGTAATAACTCTTGAACGATTTTAAGATGTCCTCCACCGGATGCCCACATTAACGCAGTGTTATAATAATTATCACGTTGATTTACATTTGCTTCATTCTTTATCAGTTCTTTGACTGTTTCAAGATGTCCAGAATGTGATGCTATTATTAATGCGGAGTTGCTATTATTGTCAATTTGATTTACTTTTGCTTCCTTTTTCAATAGTTCTTTGATTATATGAATATGTCCTTGTGATGATGCTAACATTAAGGATGTTTTGCCATTTTCATCAACTTGATTTACATCCGCATTTTTCTTTAATAGTTCTTGAACTATTTCAGTATAACCGCCACCAGATGCCAACATTAACGCTGTTTCGCCAGTTTTTGTTGCTAAATTTACAGCAGCTTTCTTCTTGAGCAGTTTTCGTGTGATTTCAAGATGTCCTTTGGAAGATGCCAACATTAAGGAAGTCATTCCTTCTTTAGTAACAAGATTTAGATCTGGATTTCTTCTTAATAATTTTTTAACAATTTTAAGGTGTCCTTTTGACGATGCTAACATTAGGGATGTATTGCCATATTTTTCAGCTAAATTCACAGCTGCTTTCTTCTTTAATAGTTTGTGGACAACCTCAAGGTGTCCTTCAGAAGATGCCATCATCAAAGATGTCATACCATAGTTATTGGCTCGGTTTATTTCTGCTTTATTTTTTAAGAGTTCTCTTACTGTTTCCAGATGATCTTCACGCGATGCCAAAATCAATGGTGTGTTCCCATTTTGATCAACTGAATTCACATCTTCGTTGTTCTTCAATAGTTCTCGTACAGTTGAGAGATCTCCTTTTCTGGATGCAATTAGAAGCTGGTCAGTCATCTTGAACTGAAGATAGGTCTGTAATAAATAATGAATAGTTTAGTATCAACGTATTTTGTAATTTTGTAAAAATATCATTATTAGAGAGATTCTTGGAATAAATAATTTTCTAATTTTCGAATAGAATACCTTGGATTGATAGAAGAGTAGTTCAACTATTGTGTGATGTCTTAGTTGATGTATAATTAATTTATAGTAATCTGTTATCTTCATTCAAGTGACCTCATCCGTCAATTAAAATTTTTGAATATATATTGAAGTGTTGTTTTCAGAACTGCTCGATTACACTTTTATTAATTGGTCAGTAATTATTACGTTATGTTGTTATGATTTGGCGCCGCGGCGGTATGCTTAATGCAATATTTATTTACGTAACTATATCGACTCTTCTAAGATGATTAGGAGTTTTTGTTGTTTTTAATTCCTTTATGAAGTGTGTTGGAGTTAAGTTATGGTTTGTGCGTCAGGTTTTGTGAAGTCTTTATATTCCATTCATCCATGTAAGGCTGAAGGCTGTTGGAGGATTTATTGTATAGAGTACTATTGCAAAAGTTCATCAGTAGTAGCAGTAAGATATCTGCCAGAGTCATGTATATCTAATATTTCTGATGAGAAAATTAAACCTTAGAAAAACAGAAATTGTCTTATCTTGGTTCTTTCTTAAGTAAAATTCATCTGCGGAGGTTTAGCATTCCTGTTGGCGACTGACCATAACAATACTCAAAAATATGATTTCACAAACATACCGAAAATTTTATTTTATTTTGTCTATGCGTAAAATAAGCTTTAACAAATGATGTTGATTTTTAATAAATGGCTGCATTTTCTTAATTTAAACTTTTTTATGTGATTAATCAGTGACAGGCTTTGTGGCTTCTACTTGTACATTATTGAGGACATTGAGCACTTGGAGGACGTTGAAACCGTTATGTATGAAAAACGAGGACATCCTTAATGAGCACCGAGCGCCTGAAACGCACTCGACTTGTGTCAACGACGCCCGAGCGCTGCAAGGGATGACGATGGTTTCCAATTATCTAGTCACCCGTTTTGCGATTTTTTCTGCTATACATTATATTTTATAAAACCGATATAATCATTTGCGATATTAAATAAGTTAAACATTGAATTTTCTAATTATTTACATCAAATAATTCAATATCCAAAATAGTAATTAAAAAATACCCTGTATCTCGTACAAAAATAGACCAATTTGTGTTGTTTTGAATTTGTCTAATAGTTTAGGAATCTGTTCACATACTGTATATCTTCTTTGCTTGCAAAACTTTAAAAAAGTATCATAAAACGCCTATCAAAAATATCGCATTTTTCTCAAAATTGCAAAACATCGGTTATAAAACGCCCTGTATGTTATACATCAATAGTGTAATGTGAGATCTCTCATTGTTATATGGTAAACTATAAGCCTTTTTACTCTTTTGATATTTTTTCCATCTCCTAAACCCCTTTACAGGGCTCTAAATTATTTTCCAAAAACGACAATTTTTCCAAATGTTTAATTTTTCATTCAAAAAATATCTGGTTCTTCTTGTACAAATAGAGCAATTGGCAAACTTTTGTTTTAACATTATAGTATTAGAGACCCTTTGGTACATCTCTCCATTTTCTACCCTCAAAAATATTTAGCAAGTACCCTAAAATGCCCACGAAAAATCGCATTTTTTTTTTCAAATTAACGAAACTTAGGGTAAACAACGCTTTGTATTTTCTATCCCAATCAAGTAATTTGAAGTTTCTTATCATTATATTGCAATTGAAATACCATTCTATAATATTTCGCTCTTTTTTAAACAGTAAATAATAAAACAGCCAATTTTAGAAATGATTAAAAATTAAATTTTTAAGATTTTCAAAAACTTAAAAAAATTGATTATATTGTAATAACCATAGCATAAAATGCACACACCCTCCCCGATACCCTCAAAAAGCACTTGATCCGTAACATCCCTTATTACAACACATAATACATTCAATACCATTCACACACCCCCCAATGAATAGCGCCTAAAATGCATTCCAACTCCACATATATTACAAACTCTTGTCACGCTAATAAAATCAACTTCAAAATTACAGAGCATTACAAGCCCGAATCAGATAAGAAAGAATGTTATCACAGCATATGTGCATAACTTCCTTATCTCTTATCTCTTAAAAATGTGTCACCTTTTCCATTTAAACACAATCCACGCTTCACATCCGTGCACCATACACCAACACCAACATTACGTGATTAAGTGGCCGAAGCAACATCGCCGCATCAGTGATAAAACGATAAAATAACCGGCGTTTTTTCTTTCTCTCCGAACGCACTTGTCGACGTGTTTGTGCGTGTGTTTGCTTTACTCCGCTCTCAAATGTTGCACAACAGCGCAATTAAGCGGCACAAAGCTCGGCGAAAGGTTGATTAAGCACGTTCGGGCCCTTGCAGAGTGGTGGGAAACTGCGACTTGCTTTAATTGGGTGCAAAATGAGGTTGTTTTGAAGTTTAAACCACGTTTACAACCGACGAGACATTCTTTGTAGAGATAAATATTTGTAAATATTTATTATGTCGTTTCTAGAATGTTCGAGGCGAATTGTAAATATCATCTAAACATCATTAATGTTTTTATTTTTTATAAATGAGAAAGGAATTATATTAAGTGTTTGATTATAGACATTATAGACAAGTGGTTTAATGCATTCAATGAATTTAATGGCGTTTAATTCGTAGAATTTGAAAAATTGTTATTTGGGTTGCCTACATTTTTTCATTGCGAGTTAATTATCACTTAGAAAATAATAAATACTTATGTAATATATTTTAGATAATTAAATAAATATTCACTATTAATGTTATCAATTATCTTTAAAGAATTCAATGAATTTCATGCATTTTAATTCATAAAAAGCAAAAATTTGTTTATTGGGTTGCCTATCTTAATTCAACGCAACTTTTATTCTTAAAAAATAGAAAAATGATTTTTTAAGTCTTTATCATTTATTTTTTACCAATAACTACAAATATCATTTATCACCAAAAATATCAATTAATTAATTAATATTCCACAAAAAACGCATTTTTTTTAATTCCCGCTAATAAAATCTTAAATAATCGGTAATTACAAATCCTAATGAAATATTACACTGCATAAAAGTTAATCCGACGTGTAAATCTCTGAAATCTCCGATTATGCGACCGTATGCTTGCGTAACACAATAAAAAACACTGTAATTAACTTCCCCAACGCAGTCGCCCTTTCGCCGTGCGCGCGCTGAGCGGCGTAAAAGATTTAAGGGATGTTAATACTTGCTTTTGTAAACATCTAAGTACGTGTCAAAAAACACTGTGGGGCGATGGCTGACTGGCGGTGTGCATGGAGGAGCTGCGGCACTCGAATGCGTCGAGTACAGCGAAGGGCGTAAGGGTGAATAGCGCTGAAGAGCGGACGTGAATCGAGGGAATCAAGAGGTAGCTAAATGAGGACACGTGTCTGATGGACAGCCGCACGATTTCACTAATTTCGTGTAACTTTAGAAGCGCTTAATCAAATTTTCAGGTTGTATATGGGAGAAAAATTGTTTTTTGGGGGTTTTAGGGATATTTTAGGGTTTTTGGGGAGGTTTAAAGGGTTGAAGTTGTAAATATATGTATTGGGCATGATTTGATGCTGAAAAAAAATAATTTGTTTGTTGGTTTAAGAGATATAGGGTGTTTTGTAAAAAAATTGGGGGAAAAATGAAAATAAATTGAAAAATCAATCATTTTTGGGTAATTAAGGGCACTTCTTGCTGATTCGCAGAGTGTATAAAATATGGAAGTTGTAAAGGGTTCTTTGGAGTACATTATGTCATTTTAAAATCTTATTCTACTCTATCGGTTTAGTAGATACAAGGTGTTTTCCACCCAAAAACTTACAATTTAAAAAAAAAATCAAAAAAATAATGTTTAGAAGCCATTTTAATGCCCTTCCGGTAATATTAACAGTTTAAAAAAATTACTGTGGTAAAGGGACTATAAATCTATCATATGTCGTTGAAAAATCAGTAAATACTCTTGTGGTTCAGGAGATACAGAGTGCTTTCTAAAAAAATGCAAAAAAAAAAACTAATAATTTTTTTTTAAATTGAATTATTCATATTGGTACATATATAATTTTATCAAAATCATCCGTTAAATTATACCTACTCCTAAATTTAACAATTTCCATACCATATGTACATTTAAACTTTAACTTCCAATCAGATAAGAAAAATATTCCCTGCACTGCATTTAATGCATCACAAACTCAATTTACCAGCCCCTCAACCCTTAGATAAAATATCCACCGTTCGTATAGTCGCCTCTGTAATAAAATCATTTACGATAATTTGCTTATTACCAAAAAATTACGAGCGAGACGTGATTCGATTTGCGTGCAGCGAAATCAAAGAAAACCTCCAAACGGAATGAAAAATTGAATTAGCAGACACACGACACATGCATATACAGTATATCGCGCCTTTGATACACTGCTATCAACGCATGAAAGTAGCAATTAACGCGATTGTTATCTTCATCTACAATGAAGAGGGGTTATATTGGACATTTATTAAACGCACGCACCCTTTAATCGAATAAGCCAAATTCGAGTAAATATTTTGCTTCCCCTAAGGAGAAGAGGAACAACAAAAGCATATAGGTATTGAATATGTGAAGTTGAAAGTGTGGGGGAAGTTTTATATTGTTTTTATAATTGTTGTTAAAGTTGTTAAATAATAATTAAATTTACAGTTAAATGAAAGAAAAATTTTTAAAATATAAATTTTACGAATAGAATTACATCTTTGAGGTTCAATAACTCTTAAAATATTTAAGATAATTAAATTATTATTTTTTACTCTAAAAGATAATTTAATTGGCTTTAAAGTGATGCTTATAACCTATGATATTTTGTTTGTAAGTTACATTGCATAAATAAAAAAAATTACATATTTGTCAAATATAAATATGATTTTGAGGTTAAATAACGTCTAAAATATATATGTCTATTAAAATATTATAAATTATTCTTATAGATAATTTAATTATTTATAAATCCATGTTAAATTTATTTAAATATCTGATTTTGTTCATAAGTTACAGTGCAAAAATGAAAAAAAAAATCAATTGTGAAAATTAAAATATAATTTTGAGGGTAAATAACGTCTAAAATATATAGGTCTATCAAAATATTATAAATTATTCTTATAGATAATTTAATTGTTTATAAATCTATGCTAAATTTATTTAAATATCTCACTTTGTTCAAAAGTTACATTGCAAAATCAAACAACTCATTTTTGCAAATAAAAATATAACTTTGAGGTTAAATAACCTCTAAAATATAATAGCCAATCAAAATATTACAAAATATTCTAATAAATAATTTAATTGTTTATAAATCAACGCAAAGTTTATTTAAATATCTCAATTTGTTTAAAAGTTACATAGTAAAAACCCAAAAATTGCAATTTCACAACTTAAAACATACTATTTAATCAATTCAATCAAATTCCCCTAAAAGGACCATAAACAACAAAAGAAGATATTTTATCTACCTATGCATTGAATATGTGAAGTTCAAACTGTGTGGGCATTGTCACCTTTTGTGATATTCCCTATTCCCTATACTTCTCTACACTTGTATTGGGGGTGCGTGCGGGGCGTGTTTATTAACTCACACGGCGGGTCGTAATTAATTTAACAACTTTGCCAGAGGGGTGTGCGGATGATTCCACCTTGTTTGATCCTTGAGCCTGAAACTAGCGGTAGGTGAAACAGCGTGAGCAGTTTTTAATAAAATTCCTCGTCGAATGCGCAGCGTGAAAAGATGGGAAAGAATGGCGGAAGGATAATAAGCGCTGATAAAAGATGAAACGACGCTAAACGACGACACGTGGCTACCAGCCCTGTAGGGGTAGGTATTTTTGATTAAATATTAAATATTTCTTCTTGGGATGGTGTACGGAGTTGTTATTCAGAAATTGTTGAATAAATTCTAAGAAAAAAGAAATTTTGAGGAAATTTTTGGATTACCTTGTATAATATTGTCTTTATTAACAATTAAGGTATTTATTTTTTATTTATATTGTGAATTGAATTGTTTATTCTACAATTTTTGTGAATTTTAAAATGAAAAATTGTTTTTAGTAGTAAAAATGACGAAAAATCAGTTTTTTTGGCAAATTTTGATGATTAAACCATTTTTAACAAAATATTTTTTCAAAAATTTATTAGGAATTCAATTTTCTGTTAAATTATAAACATTTTTATGACTTATTAAATATTGTTAAATAGTTATTGTCAAATTAAATATTAATTTTTACAAAAATAATATTTTTAGAATTAAAATAAAAGTTTAAAGTTGAATAACTTCTCAAATATTAGAGCTAATTAAAATACAAAAACATATTCTGATAGATAATTTAATTGGCTTTAAAATAATGCTAATATTAATAACTTATATTGTCTTATCTTATTTTGTTTATCAGATATATTGCATGAATTAAAACTTTTGCAATTTTCTTACTAAAAAAACATTTTTTGAGGTAAAATAATTTCTAAAATATTTAAGTTTTTTGCAATATTACTGATGTTTCTGATAGATAATTTAATTATCTTTAAAACGATGTAAAATTTATTTAAATATCTTATTTTGTTCATAAGTTACATAGCAAAAATGAAAAAAATATTCAATATTGCTACTAAAACTACAAGTTTGAGGTTAAATAACCTCTAAACTATAAAAGCTAATTAAAATATTACTTAAATCACTTATGTAGAATTTAATAATCTTAAATACAATATAAACAATAATAAAATACCTCAATTTGTTAAAAAGTTACAGGGCAAAAACTAATCAAAAATCATTTAGTAACACATACAACATGTTTCAACGTGTAAAATTGTGACAAATAAAAAATCAATTTCTACGTTTGCCTCCGATGTCACACACAAAAAAAGACCAACTGGCCAATTTATCCGTATTATCTCGATGATAAAGCGCCGGCGTCGCGACGCCCTTGCCCGTGTGCGTGCCATCGGTAACCTGCGCCTAACCTGGAGATTAGTAACCATAACAACCCCATAAAGCCGCTCGATCGCTGGCAACTCGAGCGATTTTATCCCCTGAACCCACTCTGGGCGTACACCAACCCCCAGGACCAACCAATCCCGACACAAAACAACCCCTAACGCTCGGCGCTTCCACCAATCACCAGCCGGCAGCCTCAATCGAACAGATGACATTTCTTTCTAACATTCGACACGCGCACGAAACAGGGGATGATTGCATCCAGGGGCAGGCGCCGCATTATTCCGTCTGGGTTATATTACATCCCTAATCTCCGGTGTATTGAAGCAAATTGGGCATTTAGACGGCAATATGCGGTAGATTCAGTTAGAAGTAAGTTTTGGGCTGGTTCATCCCTCTGCGCGCACGAATAAAATCCGGCGGGTGTGCAGCAAGTCGTAATTGAGTATTAAAGCTGCAAATTGACATGATTAGATCGTTTTGTGTGAGCAATTAGAGGGCGAGATGTCGTGCGCGCAGTCTGGAAATTCTGGGTGGTGGTGTCCGAGGGGGTGAGGGGTGAATTTAGTCGTGAGAGAGAGTCGCGAATTAATTGAGCGCTGTTTAAACGGGGTTAATTTATCTTGCTAATTTGCGAAATTGTTTGTTTGAAAGTTTAGTAGAAATTTGTACAACTTTGACACCGGATTACATGTATAATAAGGGTGGTATTTATATTTTGTAAATAATATTATGAAAGGGTGTTTATTTAGCTTTCATTTAGTGTAATAATCATTAATTTTGATGTATTAGTTAATTAGTTATTGCAAAATTTGTAAAATTTGTTTTGAACGCTAAATATTATAATTTTTCATATAAAGTCAAAGTTTAAAACATGATAATTTATAAACTATTGAAGATAGCACCATTATTTAAAAACTAGGTGATGTAGAATTTATTTGGCTATTAATTTACAGTAAGTTTAGTAAATTATAATTATTGGTTTAAAAGTTATCGCTAAAAATATAAAACATTATCATAATTCACTTATGACTTAACTACAAAAATTAAAGCAAATTTTAACATCAAATTAAACAAAAACTATTAAAGTAATAGTATTAATTCAAACAGTGTTCAATTGCAAATTTAATTATCTTTAAACATAATTTTTGAATTTTGCATTTTGAGCATTTAGTTTAGGAGTAATCATGAAAAAATAAACAAGTTCAATTAACACCAGTAGCAAAATTTAAAATATGAATAATAGACAACTTTGATGGCTTATATCTTTTAAACCATTTGAATATTTTACATTTTATAATAAAATATCAATAAACAATTTATCCACCTTTAATTTGACATATTAATCATTAAAATTTATTAATAACTTTTCATTTTATAACAACAAATGCAAATTTTTACATGTTTCAATATTTTTCATACATTTCTTCTTTTATATCCATTATTTAATATTTATATATTCTACAGAATATCCTTATAAATCTTTGGGTTTGAGACGGCCATTTTGCTTGTTTCCATTGAGGAATGATCAGATTAGGGACGAGAATGTGGCTTGTAAGTAGATATAATGAGATCGTCGACGAGCAGGCGACGCCACGCTGTATCAAAACTGCTTTCCGCGATTTAAGGGTCGCAAAACGGGGGCGGGATCTGCCTCCACCCTCCACCACCTTCAGCGCTGTCATACACATATCCAACGCAATCTACAACAGTCGAACGCAACCAGGCACGCAAGTCAGCAGAAGAATCATTCGTGCGGTTTTAAAATCATAAACTTTTGATAAAAGTTATAAACAAATGTGTTAAACTAAGTGTTGTGATAGTTTAAAGTGTAAACATGGATCACCTAGATGACCAACCCTTAAGACTCAAAGACTATAACAAAAAGGACGTGGAATTAACTCAAAATTATCAAAACAAAACTTCTTTTTTGATTGAGGATATTTTATCTTATCACAAATCAGACCCCGAGGATGAATCTTTTGTGGATCAAAAAGGTCTTCGTTAAAATCACCTTTGAATCTCCCTATACCTATATCCACTGGTTATCCACCTGTGAAAAGTCCTTGTGGGCAGAAACCTTCCCCAGAAGGTCTTCAAAACCCTTCGGAAAGAGATAAACCCGAACGGGAAAGGCCCAGAGAGAAGACCTACGCATATTTTCAACAAAATCCTATTGTCAACCCAAATTCAAATATGAACCCTCAAAGTTTATCGAGTTATCATCATCAACCTCAAATGCAGCCGGGTTTGCAACATGGGCATCCAAGTTCACATCAACATGGTCAAGAAGGGTATATTCAAGTAATGGGTGCGTTGGGTGCTTATTTGGGTTCACCTTATAAGTCCATCACGGATCCGTATTTCCTGACGCAAGGGATACCCTTTCATCATGCCCTTTTTGGGTCTTCGCCGAGTGAGATCTCGTTGAATGCGTTGAAGCACTGCCGCCGACGGAAGGCGCGCACGGTTTTCAGTGACCCGCAGCTTACTGGATTGGAAAAGAGGTTTGCAGCGCAGAGGTATCTGTCAACGCCGGAAAGGGTGGAATTGGCGAGTGCGTTGTCGTTGAGTGAGACCCAAGTGAAGACGTGGTTTCAGAACCGACGGATGAAGCATAAAAAACAACTGAGGAAAGTTCAGGATGACAAAGGTGACAAAAACACTTCGGATAAACAACAAGGTAGGGGTTAATGTTAGTGTGTTGGATATCATTTTAAAGAGGATTAAATTATCTATTAAATGGTGTGTAAATAATTAAATTCTGGGTAATGGTGTAGATTTTACAAGATGTTAAAGTTGAAAGTTTACAAATCTAGGTTTAAAATGTAAAATTTTATAAAAACTTGATTTTACTATAGATCCCTGAAGAAAATAATATTTTTTTATACACCAATCAAAAGAGAATTAAATTTCTTAAATAATGGAGTTTAAATTATTTATATATAGTGATTTTTCACTAATTTATCTTATCCTAAAGTTGAAGGAAAGAAATCATTAAGAATATTTTTACAAATTTATTTATTTTCTTTTTCTACGTCAATAACACTTGTAATTATTACAAAACTTTGATATTTTAAAAAGTATGTTAATAGCTAATTAAATTGCCTATAATTTGGTGTACAATTTATTAACAATACTTGTATAGTTTAAAAGATACAGGGTGTTTAATTTTACACAACAAAATTTTTTGCACTTTTATTATTTTTTGTTTAAACTCAAATATTACAAAAACTTTTAAATATATTTTAAATATTTTAAAATTATCTGAAAGATTATTAAATTATCAATCAAATACATTTTAAATAATTTAAAAATCGTTTTTTAATGATAAGTTATAAGTTATTAAACTTTACTTTCCACATTAAACTCAAAACTATCACATTTCTTCCTTTACTCACACAACTTTCAACTCTTGAAGACAGTCAATATCATCAATAAAAGATCGAAGCATCTTGTCAACCCGCCCCCTGATACTTTTACGCCCGCCAACGTTGAAAAGCTTGCAAATTGAGTTCAATCTGAATCGAATTAGGCGCCATTCAAACTGCAGAAATCTCGCAGACCTTTCGGTTCTCTTTTCGGTCGTCGGTTGCCATCTTGGCCGGTCGTAACGTCTTGGGGTTGTTGGGTTGTAGCAACCGGTTGAAGTTGGCGGAGGCGGGGGGCGACGACGACGGTTAGGGTCTTTTTGCGTCGCAAACGCAATTTCCGAAGACGGCGGCGTCTTCGTCGTTACGGACGACGATCGCGGCGTAATTAATCGAGTTAGGCAGCCGAGGCAGACATCTTAGAAGTTGCCCCAACCGAGTTTCCGACGTCTTTAGCGACCCCTTAAAAGACCAGAATGCCATTTAACTTGGTAACAACACTGCGACGAAGAAATTTTGCATTGGGAAATTTAGTGCAATTTTAAAGTTCAATAACTTTCAAACCAACAAAGATATTTACATCAATTTTTAACTAAATTATAGATAATTTATAAATTGAAGTAGATTTAAGTTTAAAAATAGGTGTTTCGTTGATTTTCATTGTTATTTTGTGAAAAAACAAAAATAAATTTTTTATTCTTATTTTTTTTTGTATCTAACTTTAACACCTCGTATATTTGGCTTAACGTAATATTTTTAATAACTAATTTTATAGTTTGAAAGAATATTTAATTAGCTTTCATTTGATATATAACAATAATAAATTAAATTATCATATCTTAGTGAAACCTTGAATTTAAACAATAAGTTACTTCTTTTTAAACACAGAAACAAAAAATATTATTTTACTCATTTTTAAAAGCTTATAACTTCTGTAATAATAAATATTTTACTAAAATTTAAACGTAATTTCATAGATAATTTAAGTGTCTTTAAGCTTCATTTATTTTAAATCAATTTTATCTTTACATTTGTTGATAATTTAAAATTTACAAACTAAATAATTTTTATTTAATTTACTTTAAGGCCCTGTATCTTATTGACCACAATGACTTTTTAAATTAAGATTATCAATTCCAATAGAGAATTTAATCAGCTTTAAAATGACATATAACAACCTAAAAATATCAAACTCCTTGATTGGATAATTTGTCCTTAAACCAAAAAAATTACTTATTTTATTCTTAAATTTAATTGTAGATGGTGCAATTGACTTTTCGGTATCACAACAAATGTCCTCGTCATCATCATCGAAACATAACCATCCTGGCCACCTTCACGGTACCCTAGGATCACTCCAGGACAGTGATGAATCCGACGCTGATAGCGACATCGACATAGTCGGCGATGCGAAAAGTTATTACAAAAATTAACAAAATAAACGCAAAAAACTAATAACAAAAGAACAATAATAGCATCTTGAACGTAATTTATAGCACAGATAATAATCAGGGTAAAACATGTAAAAAGCAAGCGTAGGACTAAAATATTTTAAGCCAAAAATTAAGCCAAAGAGCAAGCATGTACTAAACTAAACTAAACACCTTGTATTAGCTTAAGCATATTTGTAAACACGAAGTATACAATAAACACAACTTATTAGAGATGTTCATCGTCTTGCAAGAGCCCAAGACGTTTCTTCTCCTCACGTTCCGCCTCGCGTTCAGCAGCGATACGCGCATGCTCCGCCGCAATCTGCGCGTAAAGATCAAAATGTTTTTGAGTTTTCTGCTGAACAGCTACAGTATCAACCGGGACAAGAACCACACCAGGTTGAACATGTTGTTGAGCAGCTATTTGGTTATATCTTTGTAGATGTGCTTCCTTAGCATGGGCTACAGCAGCGGAATCACGAGGGATGTGAATAATACCAGACTGGTGTTTTTCTGCGATGGAATGGTAAAGATGTTCGTGTTTTGCTTTCGCTTCAGCCACTGCACGTGTGTCAGTCGGGGCAAAGTTCAACGTAGGGTGGAAACCGTTTTTATCCGCGGTGTAATCAACAGTACGCACCTTGTTAGATGGATCTAGATAACTATAGGAACCTAGAAACAAATAAAATTTATTAATATTGAATAGTAGTATGATTTGTACGGATTTGGAGCATTTCTCCCCGAGGGGGAAGCTTGTAGCGACACCTATCAACGAGTGAGTGAACTAAACTTATATGTAGTATAATATCTAAATTACAGATTTCTTCTCGAAGAAAACGCAGTAGTAGCGCAGTCTATTAACGTATAACCAAACTAAATTTTTAATAACCTAACTAAAACGCCACCTATCGTCAGTTTAAGTGAATAAAATTAATAAATACCTTGTATAACACCACTGCCATCACTTATTTCAGAATGTGTGCGATCCACGCTGCCTGGATATCTTCCAGCAGCATAACCAAAAGCATAAGGTCTTGGAGGCGGTGGAATTGTGGTTGTTTCAATCTCTAGTTTCACTAAACCACATAAAACTACTTCCAGCACTGCAAAACTTAATAAAAACTACAAAAACAATAAAATTTTTATTTAAAACAACTTTAACTTACATATTTAATCATTTTTAATCGAAACACACAACTTATCGAGTCAAAATTCAACTAAAGAATGAACTGGATCGAAGTGGACGCGAGTAAATCCCCGAAAGAGAAAGTTTCTTCGAAGTTGACTCCAAGTCAAAGACAAGAACGAATATAAAGCGTTAAATAATAACAGACTGCGACTTTAGAATGAATGAAATCGTGTTTAAAAGTTAGATAAGTAATTTATTCAGTTTCTAATTAAATTAACGTTATTGTTTTTGATGCCAAGATTTCAATATTAACATGAAATCCTTGAATGGAAGTAAACAAACGTGTTTATTATGACATTGAACTTTAACACTTGTTAAAATATACAGGGTATTGTAGTTTAAATATTTTAGTCGATGTCTAACTTTTTGAATGTTCCTTCTACACCGAAAATTTCTCCAGGATTTTTTGGTTTTCCTGGACGAAGTTTCTCATTGACAATTTGTTCTTCTTCAGCGTGGAAATAAGCGGCGTTGTCTAACATACACTTTGTATAATTACGCTGTTGGGTTTCTACTGATTGTGCGAGACCTCCAGGGAAATCTTTAGGGAATAATTCCTTAGGGATCATTTTGTAGATTGTTTCCATTGTTGGATGTGTATGCAACTAAAATTTTTAAATTATTTTTTTGTTTTTTTTTTTGTTTTTGTTAAATTTGTTGTTTTTTAATACTTACCACTTCTAATAATTCTTTCTTCATGAATGGCTTGATTAATACCAATATTTTGTCCATGACATTCCCAATGTTGATGAAATGTAATCCTTTGATTTTCAACGGCATGCAATCTTGTAAATAGAACATGAATTTCTTTAACTGTAGAAGATTCATTTTGGCGACGTGTGTGAATGTTACGCCGGTTAAGTCAGTGATGAATATCACTCCGTTGGAAGGTCCTTCTTTGTTCAGGACAAGCATAGTTGCCATGTCGAATAGTTTAATTTGGTCTGAAAAGTGCCACATATCTGGGTTGTAATCTATTAGGCGAGACATCAGGATTTTGTCACCGGATGGTGTTTTTTTCTCGAATGGGAAGTACATTACGCTAAAAATTAAAGTTTTTTGTTAATAACTTTTAAAATATTAGTGATATGATAATAATTCTTACACAAGTAGATAGTAGTTGGGTGAAAGTATAGTTATTAACAATTAAAGTTGATTTTGAAGAAAATTATAAATTTGATATTAATTCGTTAATAACTTTTGAATGTTCAGTGTTATTAAAAGTTTGTTTTTTGTATTAGATTGGCAACTTAACATTAAATATAATTTCAAAAAAATATCTCAATTAAGTAAATTATTGTGAAAATTATTCATAAAAAACTACAAATATTCAAAGGTATTTTTTGCGCTTATTATATCCCGGTACTAATTTATTAATTACTCAAAAACTACTACCGATATTTTAACAATTTTTTAAGTTACTGTTTGCCAATTAACTTTGTTTTAATGTACTTTTTAAATTTTGCCAATTTTTTTATTAGTAAAAAAGTTATTAACAATAAAAATTTATGTTTATCAAATTTTGAATTTGGTGACAAATTTTGCTGTAACTCTTGATAAGAAACTGTTATCAACTCAAACCTTAACAAAATAAATATAAAACTTCATAATAAACAAATTACCAAAAGAATTATTAAAATAAATCAATTAGTTTTTGAGTAATCAACAAAAAACCAACCAATGCTACTAAAATTTCTATCTAAAATGCACTGCACTGATTAAACCACAATAAAATTAATAATAACCATTTCAAATGAATTTCCCTCGGATTCCTTTTAAGGAAAAACTCAGGACAGTGTGTCCTCACAGTGTAAAAATCATCAATGCATCGCTTCGCTGCCTCATTACTAAAGTTATTCGAATGTAAAAAGTTAATCATCTGCATTTCTAAAAATAACACAAATCTAATTAATTACATCATTAATAACAACCATAAAAACAACTCACCAGTAATTTGCGGTAGATATTTTTGCATTTCACACCATTTTAACAAACTCTCCACGTCAGACTTTTTTAATCCGTTGATTTCCTGATATTTTGACGACGGATCACACAAAACTAACGCCATTTTTATTTTATGTTTTGTTAACAACAATCCAACACAAACTAAAATTGTTTATGAATAGAAACGCATTTATAACTGAACATTGCACACTTTTTTTGTGTAACAACCGATGACAGTTGTAATACACTATAATTTTCTACGAAACAGTAATTGCGATTCATTATACCAGTAGTACATTTAAGTATGTTTATGCTCCGCCCACTGTGACGTACTGAAGGGCGGAGCTCTGGTAACATCATTATATAATATGCGTGACTATTACTAAACTAAACAATGCCATGATAAATTACATATTATGTAAATATTGTAAAAATAAATCCAAATCCATAAAATATAAAAAATAAAAATTAAACTAATTTTAGAAAAAATTAATTAATCAATATCTAATTTTTTAAATGTTCCCTCAACGCCGAATATTTCCCCAGCGTTTTTGGTTTTCCTGGACGTTTTGACTCGTCAACTTGCTGTTTTTCTTCTTCTGCATAAAAAGCACTATTAGCCATAAAAGATTCTCTTGATTTATCTAAAAATTTACTTTATATTACTTAAGTACATTACGCATGCGTATTAAACTACCTTGTAATGACTTAACACTGAAACTAGGATCGCCGCCTTCAAAATCACTCGGAAAATAATCCTTGGGAATAAATTTGTAGATAGTATCCATAGTTGGGTGAGTATACAACTAAAAAAAAAAAAAAAAAAAAAAAAATAAATTTTTGACATTTTAAGGTCTTTCAGTTTAAAAAAAAACTGGTTACTCACGACGTCAATTAATTCCTTCTTCATGAATGGCTTAATCAAGGCAAGTATCTTGTCCATGAAATTACCGATGTTTATAAAATGCAGTTGTTTTATACGCACTGGCATACATTCCTATCACCACAACACAAAAACACAAAATCAAGGTTATTGTTATTCAAGGTAAGTGTGTTGTCAAATTATGTAACATGCAATAATTTACCTGTAAATAAAAGAAAAACTTCTTCAACTGCAATAAATTTAATTTTGCAATGTGTGAAAATGATAATCCTTTGAGATCATGTATATAAATGACACCTTCAGCTGGACCATCCATGTTTAACATAAGCATTGTTGTCATATCGAAACATTTTATCATCAGAGGGAAGTTAAAACGGTCTGGGTTGGTGTCAATTAGTCGTGCGTAGATTATACGGTAATTTTCAGGTGTTAGTTTTGGGAATGGACCATACATAACCCTGAAATGTAAAATTTTAACCTTAAAATTAAAAAATTAAAGTTTTTGGTTTATATTAATATTACACTTGAGTATCCACTGTTTTAGGATCTCTATTGTGGAAAAATTCAGGACAATGTGTGCGTACGGTGTAAAAAGTATCAATACACTTTTTGCGCCCTCGTTGCTAAAGTAATTCGAGTGTAAAAAGTGTACAACTTGCATTTCTACAAAAAAATTAAAAATGATAAAGTTTAGTATTTATGTTGATTTTATTAATAAATATTACTAACCTGTCATTTTTGGTAAATGTGGTTGACATGCTAACCATTCTTGAAGTTTTTTTACATTATCCTTTTTGAGATCTTTTAGTTTTTCATATTCTTTAGACACATCTCCAACAATTAACGCTGCCATTGTTTTGTTTTATTTTTATTTTTTATTTTTATTTAATTGCTTGTTTTATTTATGTGTTTAAATGTGTTTGTGAGTTTGTTAGTGTCAATTGGTTAGTGTGAAAGCAATTTGCGGAGTTGGTCGAGTCGACACCGAGCACTCACTGATTGCAGGTGACTGAGGTGGCAATCCATTTATTCACGTAGTCAGGTAGCACAAAGTAATGTGAAGCACTTTAGGAGTAAAGTTATAGTAAAGTTTGTAAACATGTGAATATGTGCACATTGAAAACCAGTATTTGACCATGCCAGATGTTACATAGTTTTTGTGAAAAGATTTTTTTGTTTTTTATTTGTCTCACGCTTATTAAAATGATTTTTTTAGTTTTAATATTAATAATGATGTTAAAAGTGAATTGAAAAGATCTTTAGTGTTTCAAGTATGTTTTATACGAAATATAAGTGCTTTTAAGGTTGGTAAAATATTAAAAATTGTAAAAAATATTGTTTTGGGTTTAAAATATTACTTTTGCATACTCGTGCTTTAATGTACAAGTTTGCACACTTACTTTTGATTAGAAATCTTGGAGATACTAGGAAAATCAGTATTTTAAGTGAATTAAGAAACAAAAAAGTATTTTGAGAATAATTAAATATCAAGAAGTGCAAAAATGAGTCCTTTGAGTTTAAAAAATTACATTTATGTACTCATGCTAAAAAGAACAACTTTTAACACCAGTTATTAAGTACAAATCTTTACAAAACTATGGTAAAAATATCTTTTTATGAGAATAAAGTGATATAAATGTGTTTTGAACTTGATAATATATCAAACACAGCAAAATTGTTTCTTTTAAGTTTAAAAAATTACGTTTTTGCTTTAAGGTGCATTTTTATACTAAGAGAAAATTTGGTTTTAAATGAATAAAACAAAATAAATGTATTCTAAAGTTAATTAATTGCCAAAAACATAAGAAATTTTTGGTTAAGTGTTTAAAAAATAGCTTGTGTATTGCAGTGCTTAAAAATGCATCTTTACACACTCATAATATCACTATGAAAATAGTAATTTACGCAGCAAGAAAAAATCACACTTTAATTTTCATAAAATGAATTTTATATCAAATAAACTCATCTTTAACTCATCTTTAACCTTGAAATACCTATTTTTCACATTGCCACTGCACGCAATCTCATTTAATAATAATTTACTACCTAATTAATAATAAATGATAACAATTTTCATCAATCAGCATGTACACATGATTATTTTAATGTTTAACGTTTTTTATCGCATTGTTTTGTATTGTATTATATTGTATGCATTGTAAGTTTGTAACCTTGAATTTACCTACATCGTTGAAAGAGAAAGATTTACGCTTGAAAATTGTTCAAGAACACGCAACAGCCATGAATTAATGATCTCTTCATCGATTTATCTGAAGAGTATAGTTACGACGCTTATACTTAACAAATGAAACGTTTTTATTTTTTGCTAATTACTCAAAAACTATAACTCCTAATGGTATAATTCTTGAAGTATGTTGTTTACAATTATATTTTGCATCAAAATATGTTTACACCTTACTGATGTTGTTATTATTCAAATAGTTATTGATAATTAAAATTAAGATAAAATAATAGTACAAAATATAGTTAAATTGGTCTGCAACTTATGATTAAAAATAGTGATCACAACGGAATTTATTTTCCTAGTCATGAATTTAATACCAAAACAATTTCTAATTAAATAATCAAAATAACTGTATTAGTTTCTGAGTAATTAACTAAAAACTAACAAAATGCACTTTAATTTGTGCGTCTGGTAAATGCAACACGACTATATAGCTCATTCAGTGTGGAACGAGCGGAAAGCAATTTAAATCGTTTAAATATTAAAAAGTAAGAAATAACTGGTTTAAACACTGAGAATAATGTACAGTTGCAGTCTTGACTTACCTTTCATCTACCCAACACTAAAATAAACTTACAATTACTTCTTCTTCAAACTTTATCACATTTTTGACAAAATGGTGCTAACAATGGAGAAATGGCACGGAAAAGTTGCAGTTGTAACCGGTGCAAGTACAGGAATTGGTGAAGCTGTGGTCAAAATGTTATTAAAACATAAAATGATTGTAATTACTCCAAAACAATATCATTTCATTGCCTAAACAACAAAATTTTATTTTAAGGTTGTTGGACTTGCAAGACGTCCACATCTCATCGAAGTTTATAAACAAGACTTACCAGAAGAAGAAGCATCAAACCTTCATTCTATAAAATGCGACATGCGAGTGGAATCAGACATTTTGTCTGTGTTTGCATATGTTTTGGAAAACATCGGACCTGTTTCCGTGTTGATTAACAATGCAGGTATTTCTCATCAAACTACCCTCTCTGATGGCGATACGGAAATGTGGCGGTCTGTTTTGGAGACAAATGTGCTTGGAGTGTCGATTGCTACAAGGGAAGCTATCAAACAAATGAAATCGAATAATATTGATGGGCATATTGTGCACAACAGCAGTGTTCTCGGGCATTATGTGGCGCACATTCCTAATTTGAATATGTACAGTGCATCTAAGCATGCTGTGAGGGCTTTGGTGGAAACCCTCAGGCAGGAGTTACTTAGAAGTGGAACGAAAATACGGATTACTGTAAGTAAAAATTAAAAATTAGTAAATTCTTAGTAAAATAACGGTTTTAAGAAATTTAGACAAATTTTTTTAAGTTTTCATTTTTGTAGCGCCGTAACTTGGTTATGAAAGGTCAGATTTTAATCATTTAAACTTTAAATGATTGATAATTAAATTATCTTTATGATTAGCTATACATTATAGTAAAATATTGTCTTAGAATGCAAAATACTCAGTTATTTATGAATAATTATTTTTTAAATGTTTTGTTCTAGTTATTTTTACGTTTTTGTTAATAACTATTAAACTAACTATTCAATTGTAATATAATTTTGCAACCGAAAAGAGTAATTAACACCGAACAAAATGATATAAGACTCAAAATATTCCGATTAAAAATACCTGAGTAAATCTGCTTTAAAGTTGACTTAAATTTAAAGAACACTTTACCATTTTGGGTCACCATTGCATTGAGGTAAGGAATTTCACACTCACGCCACCTATGCCACCCAAAACTATAACTTTTTATCTTTAAAATAAGATATCATCCATATTTTTATCTGAGAAACTAAAAAAGATATTGCAAATTAAAAAATATTTTCAGAGCGTAAGCCCAGGTCCCGTCGACACAGCTTTTCTTGATGACATCGGCGCAACAGACTTTCCCAAACTTCAACCGGAAGACGTTGCTGATGCTTTTGAATACGTCTTGAGCACCCCACCTCATGTCCAAGTACATATACAAACAATAACTAAAAATATAAATTTAAATAATTAATTAATTTTTAATTTTAGGTTCAAGATATCATGATACGTCCTTTGGGAGAACCCGTCTAAAAATCTTAAACAAACTTGTTTATTATTTAACAATAATAGTAGATTGTACAAATAAATATTTCATATAGATATTTATATCTATGCACACGCACATATATCAACAATTGATATAAAAATAAATTGTAGGTTGAATATTTCTCTAAAATATAACATTAAAAAAATAGCAGCCATTTTGTTTCTAACCAAGAATATAACATTAAATAGTTTATCATTTGGTATCCTTGTATCAATATTGTTTTTAACAGGCACTTTAAATTTTCATTAAAACTTTAGAAAAATTTGCTAATTTTTGCCCTGGTAGATTAATCATGACTCGTTTTCTGTGAAAAATGTCAATTTGGCAAACATAACGGCGTCGTGCACACGAGGAAACACTTGAAAACGTGTTCCTTTATTTGCTTCAACGTCGCAAAGTCTTAACGTTTCATAAACTGGACCTGAAATTAACAAAATAGGTTAGAAATGAGGTTATGTTATTTTGGTATGTTAGGTTACCTGAACATCCAGCTACATAAAACTCTACATTCTTCTCTTTAAACTCTGTTTGTACGAGTTTAAGTTGGGTGACTCCCGAAGGATCAATAAATGTCAAGGCTGCCAAATCTAAGATGATACATTTAGTTGGCATTAGTTTTTCGGCGTTCTCTGCGGAATCAACGCTTTTTCTCGAAAATTTCTGCGGTTCCATTTCTGTGGTTTTCATTAATAAATGTTTGAACATTGCTTTCGTAGCAAAATTCAAGGATCCGCAATAGTGGAAGATTTTTATACCCGCAATTTCTTGGGCCTAATAATAATAATAATTATAATAAAATAGAAGTTAGTCTTTTATAATTTTTTTTTTAAGAAATGAAAACTTACCCCTTTAAATCTTTTCATATCTAAATAGAGATCAGTGTTTGGTACAGATCCAAGTAGGCAAGTGTACGGATATTGTCCGTGGTAGAAGAGATTGATAATGGAGAGGAGTACTCCTGCACCAAGGCCGATATCGATGGCGATGGTGGTGGTTGTTACAAATGTCAGTAACCACAGGATTCCGTCCCATTTACTCATGCGCCAAAATTTGGGTAGATTTTGGACTTGCATGTAGAGAGATTTTAATGCTACGACGATTATACTAGCTAGAAAACACTGGAAAATCATTTAAAACATTATTGATTGGAGTAATAGGTTACTGCGCAGTTTATAGACGTTTAGAATCATTTTTATGTAAGGAAAAGGAAGAAATATTTGAGATAGACAGAAGAAAAAGCGAAATTGGAATGCTTCGAAAAAATTAGAGGAAGATTTAAGGAAACGAGGAGTAACTAAGAACAGAAAAAGATAAAAAAATGAAAAGGATAAAAAAGTCTCTAGGAATCAATGAGAGAGAAAAAGTAGTCGGAGTGTAAAAGAAAAAAATATATATTTAGGAAGTGGAGAAAGAATGGAAAGAGACGATAAATTAGTAGATGATGAACAATGCCGATAAAACATAAAGAGCAGAACATATGAAGAAGGAAAGTCAAGGAAAGGAAATTATGAGAGAAGAGGATACAAATATAGGAACAAAGAAAGAATGAGAGGAAGAACCGGTGAAGAAAATGATGGAGGAAATATGAATGATGGAAAAAAAAGAGGAGAAAACGAGGAGAGAGAAAAGGAAGAAAATGAAAGGAGGATGAGGAAACAGAAAAGAGAAAAGAAAGAATAATATACAAAATACTCACTTTAGGCAAAAACGAAAACATGGGACCAATCCACAACAAAACACACATCAATATCAGGCAGGAAACGACCGAAGCCAGTTGAGATGCTCCACCCACAGCTTCCTGAATAACTGATCTCGATAACGACGCCGTTATTGGCATGCAAGAAAACATAGAACCTACTGTATTCGAAATACCCTAAAAATAAAAATAAACAAAAAACATTACATAGTTCATACTTACATATAAATCTTAATTCTTAAAAACTTACCAACGCTAGCAGTTCTTGATTACCATCAATCTCATATTTGTTCTTCTGTGCCAACATCAACGCCATAGACATCGTCACCACATAACTAATAATGGCGATCATCAAGGAATCCGTAAAGATGTGACGTATCAGTGAAAATTGAGGCAAAGCCGGTTCTGGAAATCTTTTTAAAACAAAATGAATATGTCAATATCTACGAGTACATCATATTCTACTATATAACTTTCTATACTAGTATATTAAAATATTATAGCAAAAATATTTTATTTAGTTTTTGATTTGATTTGAAAATAGAACTTACATAGCTTACCCTGTAGGCAGATGACCGACAACGGTTATATTAAACACTTCACTGAAATTTCCAAAATATGATACTGCTGTACCAAGGACAACAGCGAGAAGCTCGATTGGGATTGGAATTTTTGTTTTCTTTGCTACTATTGGCTAAAAATAAAAATTATAATAATTACACACAAATAATACTTATTAACAAAATGAAACTCTAAATAAATCTCTAAATTTATCTGCTGTTGTTTTTGAAAATCACGTATAATTTTTTTTTAATATTATTTCTAGAATAATTTTGAAGAAAGAGGATAGGAACTAAATTGTCTGATGTCGTTGGTATACTGAATTAAATAAGATTGTGTACGAGTAGTCCTCACAGTGAATCTACTTTTATCACCCTCGTTATTATTCGTTGCCATGGTAATGCCATGCAAGGGGACGCAAGCTCCGCCCCCACAAGGAACACTTGTTTGACTTACCGTTCCTGCTCTCTTTCTTTCAACGCACAACTCATAATACTAGTCCCATCAGTAAGAGCAAGAAAAGAATAAATGCAAAACCGAAGTTAAAAACAAATGAAGATCAAATATCCAATCTGTCAAGATTATAAAAAATGAGGAGAGATTATGCAAAGTCATGCAGTTTGTGACACAACCTCACGTTACCCAGAACAGTTTCTTTATCTTTATAATTACTCAGAATGTTAAAAGAATAAATAAAAAATAATTTTAATTGAGTATTACCTTAATTATCTCGTTGTTTATGACCATACAAACAATACAAATTAACGACATGGAGACAGCTGCTTTGTTTGCTAAAGGTAATGCCATTACTGAATCGTAAAGTGTCTACAAAAAAGGTAATTAAACAAATTTTTATTATTTCCTACGCAATAATATTTTATTAATATTTACCAGTGGTAAAGTGAAATATCCACGACGTTTGGCAATTGGGAGACCAAACAAATCCTTTAACTGAGACCCTACTACGTGAAAAGCACAGGCACAAGTGAGACCATTTACCAAAGTCTCCGAAAGTAGGTTTGCGACGATTCCCAAGCGGAAAATGTACATCACAAACTAAAAAATAATTTATTTGTGATTTTAGGAAGATAAGGGCAGGAATTAAAAAATGCTTACGTGGACCATCGCTACAGTAAACGTAATAGTAACAGCAACTTGTAGATTGGTGTATGATTCAAAATCGGGTCCGAGTTCAGGATTGTGAGTGACATTGGTGTTGGCAGCTAGGAACTCGTCAGCTCCGTAGTAAGCTACAACTTTTCCTGTCATCAGGCAGACAATTCCAAAGGTTCCCATTGATACATGAGGAGATGTTCCAAAAATGGTGTACATTAGTACTGGGAAGAAGGCCATGTATATTCCTACTACAGGGGCGACATTTCCTAAGAGACCATAGGCCATACCCTAAAATTAAAAGAAGGATTTATTAGTATGTGAAGGTGAGAAAGATAGAAGTGGGTAAAAAGGGGAAAAAGACAAAAGTAAACAAAGAAAAGAAGAAATAGTTTTTTGAAAAGAAGGAAATATATACAAGAAAGAAAAAGGAGAGCAGATGACAGATTTGCAGAAAGGATAGAAGAAGAAAGGAATAAAAGTGAAAGGATTGATGGGTGATCAGAATGATGTGGGTTTGTATAGTATAGGGTGTCTTGATTAACGAGAACTGTATTGACATTTGCTCGCTCTTCAAATATTACATCTATGCATTAGAGCGAGATCACGTAATATAGTATGTTATGACAAGTTCCGAAACCAGTTTCCCCCTTTTTATTAGGGTGAGAACGAATGAGTCATACTTGTTGCATTTTTGCAGCAAAAGAGTCTCCAAAAGACTTCAAAAGTGAAAGAAATTGCTAAATAAAGATAGATGAGCAAAAACATAAGTAAAAAAAGACACAAAAAGACAAATATTGTATGGGGGAGAGAATGGGAACTCATAACCTCAAATTTGTGCTTGTGAATCGTATACACGTTTACTTTACATCAAACAAAAACGCGTATAAATTTAAAAAGAAAGAAAGAAAGAAATCATAATTGTGGAAGTGATAAATATAATTACCTGAGGAATATTCATAATGGCAACAGTAATCCCAGCCATCAGATCACCGGAAATACACGAGCGCCATTTGTATTTCGGCAGCCAATAGAGAATCGGAATCGTTCGATACAGGAACGCCAACGGATTGCATTTACATGCACGCTGCATTGTTTTCCTGACTGCACACAAATTAACATAATACAAGTAAGTATAACAACATCATAAACTTAACTTTCACTTCATACAATAATTAATCAGTAATATTACTATTAATTATACATATTTTCACTTACAAGTGTGTTTTGGCTTCTCATACTGTATAGCAGTATTCAGCTCGCTCTGATGATAAAGCAATCTCTGCTCGTTGGTGTTTCGAGGGATATCCGGTGATGGTGCCACGATACTAAAACAAAAATGATAATAATTGAAGAAAAATATGCGAATGTAAGTATTAATTGCATTAGGGAGATGATATGGTCACGTCGAGAGTTGAAAATTAACACTGGTTGTTGACTGCTTGCTAATATTTTGTATTTTGACATTTTGACATTGAAAACTGACAAAACTCAATTAATCAATTAACAAATTAACTTTCGCATAAAAGGTTTATATTTCTTCACTATTTTTTTGGACAGAAAGTCGTATTTTCAATTTTTTGCTTTAATTTTTATCAAAAAACTAAAATTTCTTGATTTTTAAAAACTTTTAGAGAAGATTTTTCTTCTTTTTGACATTCACATTAACTTTAAGAACCTTTTAATTGTATTTTATTTGATTATCAAACACTAACATAAAAAGAAAGCAATTTTTAGTGGTTTTTCCATTTTTAGGACATTTTCCGACAAAAACACTTTTTTTAACAGAAAAAAACATAAAATTTCTACCTGTAATAATGAAATACAAAATCATGTGCATCTGTATCATGATCCTGATGTGGTATCAATGGTTCACGTTCAACATAAGATCTTCTCATTTTTAGGAGTAATCACAATCACAACTAACTGCACTAAACCTAACCACTAACTACGTATATAGCACAAACGCAAACAACTTTAATCAAAGTTTAATATAATATTTACTACTTTATTTACAGAGTTCACGTGAATAACAAACACTCAGCACTCAACTTAGTCTCACAACGCTCACTCTTTAACTACTGACTTGATTCTGCTACAGTTCACAAGTAAATACTATTTATTTATTATGTATTTATTATTGTTTTCATAACATAATTAATTAATGTTTTATTTTTTATTTTCAGCGCGATGACGATGACAATTAAGCTGATTGTTTGCTTATGTCTGGACGAATCACAACTGACTGCTATACATGAATACAAGTGTATTGCGATACTCGATAACTAATAGGAATGTTCATCGTTCATTAAGTTAATTGAGTTTCAAACCAGTGTGTGGTAATGGTTGTAAATTGTGGTGTAAAGTAAGACCGATGGAAGTTGTACTCATACTTTCACATCAACATAAAGAAAATGAAAAAAAAAATGAATGTAGGAAGAAGCACGAGTAATGCAAGTCACGCGAAAAAGTTTTATTTAAATTATTAATATTTTATGTTGTTATGACGCTACGAACTTTGACTGATAAGAGATATCAAAAAGTAAGTTTTTACTAGATTTGTTATCAGGTAAGATTACTACTGGTAATGTTTTTATTTGCTTTTTGTTTTTTTTTTCTCATAAAAAACGTAAAAATTTAAATTTAAATTAACTTACCCAAATTTTACAGCATCTGTAAGTTGTTCCTTTTCAGACACCATTGTTTATGTATTAATAATATTTAAGTATGTTTAAATTACGTATACGTAAGTAATTAATTTAATATTCACAAATATTCACATGGATTTATTTATCACAATTCATTTAAATTTTAAAAAATAATTTTAAGTTTATAAGTTTAGTATGAAATCACATTTGTTTTAATTGTTATTTTATATTTTTTGGATATTTTCTTGTCTAGTCTAGTCTAATTTGACAGCCGATCAAACAATAAGCCTGGACGTGGTGTGTGATCACGATTTATAAACGCGGCCGAAATTCAGCTATCAGCCGGAATCAGGTGATCAACAAAAAACGAATAACCACCGGAGATACGAGGATAATGGAATTTAAACGCTGCGAAACGTGCGAATCTGAGCGATTATTTCATAATCAACGTGCGTGTGTGTATGTTTATTACACTCCAAAATTTAAATTTGGTTATATTATTAAGTAATAGTTATTAAAATTGTATTAAAATTTGGGTTTAAGTGTCGAGTTGATTCAGCATAGTTTCATGGTCAGTTTGGGTTTTATATAATAATTAATTATTATATATGTTGCAAAATTCAAAATGTTTAGGTGATCCAAATCTGAAATTGAAAAAATAATTAATTTTTATATTTAGAGTAAAGTTTTATATATTAGGTTAGCTTTTTAGTAGTGGTATCAAGAAATGCAAGCAATTTAGCCAAATTTTTATTTGTAATTCATTAAATTGTGAAAGTATACTTTATTTTTATGGTTAAGTTACCTCGAAAGCTTTAGCTAAAAATTATAAGGAATTTTTTTATGAAAAAATAAGAATTGGTCTTGTTGTACGCGATGTCAGATATCAAACTGTTAAATTAACTGAGTTTCACGCATAAATAGTGCAACAATGAATTGTGGACTTAAGTAAACTGTGAGTAATTAATGCTATTAATATGTATTGTGCACACAAAGCAAGCCTCAATTTAGTTCAAGTCAAGTTAAGTCAACTCCAGTCAAACCAACTTAAATCAACAAAAGTCCTCATAAATTTTGCAATGTCATAAAATGTATTAAAATACATTTATTTATTCTTAAGAAACTTTTACTTGAACTTCATTCAAGCAGATTTTTTGTTTCTTAAAACTAGTATATACCGTAGGCTCTAATAAGGGTTTAAATTTAAATTTTAATACTGCAATTAAACGCCACCTAGATTCAAATTATTTTACTATAGTTATGAACGAATCTCCATATAAACTTTAACGCCTTATTATATGCTCTTTAAGTAATAATTTCATTACCAAACTTTACAAAAGCATACACAAAGCTATTTTGAAGGTTGTCTAAAATTTTCATCAAAATCGACTTAGCTGTTTTTGAGTTATTGAGGAACATACAAACATACATCAATTGTTATATATTCAGGCAGATTATTCTGGGTTACACTGTAATTACACGTAGACATATCAAACTTTACAACCGGTTTTATTGTTAATAACAGTGCAACGCAATATTGACTTAAGTAACGTATAAGTCAAGTAAAGTTCTTTTCTCTTAGCCACTAAACGATTCTTTGAATTTCGAAATTATTTGCAGTTTGCAAGATTCTGCGAAGTTTACGAAAACATGATGTCATTGTAAATCCCCATACTTAAAAATTTATTTATTCATAAAAAGAAAAGAAAAATTAACCTCAAAGCATAAAACAGAAATATAACAAACAGAATTTATTATTACATAAAATGTAATAAAATATCAAATCGAAATTATAATAATATAATGACATTAAATTGCATTTATATTGTCATTATAATTTGTTACTAGGTACTCACAATAACAATAAACTTTGATGTATACTACTTGTTCGCTTTGCCACGAACAAAAAAACGCAAATATATTCATATCTGAACATGAATGTTATCACGCTATCAAACAGATATCAAAGCTTAAAAATGCCATTATATATTCGCGGAATGTACTTGTACACTTATCGTGTACACTCCATACTAAAATACATAAAAATAAATAAATTAAGTTCGATCACGATTCGAAAGCAATTTAAACAATTGTTCATACAAGTGGTACGCAAAGTGGCGCACGACACATCTTTGATACTTATCTAATTCTAGGATTAAAAATATAAATTTTTCTTAATAAGAACTAAATAATTAATAAGTTATATTTAAACTTTAAGTGCGGCAAACAAATATACATTTCCTATTCGTATTTGATGCATATGGATGTATATTATCGTAAAATCGAGTTATGAGTTGCGTATGAATGTATTTCGATAAATGTTTGATGTTTATTCATGAGAGATAAATAATTTGACCGTAATGTGAAACATGTGGCGTTATTGCAACGCGTTGCTCGGCAATAAAATTGCTTTCAGAGTCCAACCGAATTATATCACTCTCACACACGCTGCGATAACGAAACAAAACTCATTAGAGTGATGATTAGGGCACTGGCCAATTAGCACTTCAGTTCACATATACAAAATAAATATGCATGGCATATTATTTGCCTTTTTTCTTGTATAAATGATAATCAATACTAATTTTTGCGTGTTTGTCGAGTTTTTTTCATTGTGAAGGTAAATTACGCAAAGAATGAATTGTTTAGGTATAATGTGACATGTTGGTATAGCTGAAAACCAATTACTGATAACGAGCATTCATTTAAAAAGTAAACTTTTAAGTTATTAGCTATAGAAAAAATTTTCTTAATGGTTTTTGTGCTATGTGTAGTTTACCGGTCTAAAAATAGAATTTTATGTTATTTTATAGTAATTTAAATGTAAAAGTATTAATTTTAAGTTAATTTGACAAATTCTTTTATAAACAGATTCAGAATTAAATTCTGCATTGTTTTATCTAAAGATTTTGTTGATATGTCTTTTGCAAAAATTTTATTGATTGTTAAAGTTGACTTAAATTAATTTGATAAATTTGTCATAAATTAGTCTATAACTTATATTCTAAAACTAATATCACTAAAATCTCTGGTCAGTAAATAGAGAATTTAATACTAATTAGATTTGTAAAAAGATAATGGTGATAACTTATTTAGTTTCCAAGTAATTAATTAATTAGTAACAAAAACCAAGTTTTCTTCCCATTTTAGACCGCTATTACTCATATATTACATAATAACTTACAAAATAATCTGTTGAATTATTGATGAACTAATTTCAGTTCACTGCATCGAAATTTTCCACTTTTTAATGACTTGACAACAAAACAAAACTTACTTTATACACAAATTAAATCAAGTACACTATCAATTGCACTTAAGTTCACTTTAACCCACTTTTTACACTTTCAAGTCCAAAATTCACTTAAAAAACTATCTATAACGAAATTTGCTTGTGTAAAAATGTATTTGCACACAACTATGTAAAATATTTACTTATGCAAATCAAATAAAAATGGCACGATAAATTTCGCAGTGTGCGCACATGCCGAACGCCGCAAAATAACTAGCAGGCGATGATTCTCGCGAACCAACTGAAACCGAAACCGAACAGACACAGAAACAGAAACCTTGCAAACCATACAAACACATAACTATTTTGTGCTTGTTCAGACTGCTGCTTGCTGCAAAACCGCTAAATATCTAGAGCTAGGAGTAGACAGTGCTAAATCCCTGCGGTGCTGTGGTACTTGAATACTACTGAAGCAACAATTGTTTGTCTTACTCACACACATAAAAGTTTTATAGTCATAATACTGGTATCATGTGCTCCTATATATGGTGTATATGGTTATATGACATTGTAGACTTGTTCGTAGACGTAATTATGGTATTATCCGGTTGTAATTGTTGTATTTGCGTTCTTTTTACAATGGTGTTGTAGGTTGTAAAAATTATAATGCGGTAATTTAGTTTTTTATTAATTACTCGTAAAGTAATTGAGTTAAGTGGATGATTCTTTCATATTTAGTATTAAATTTTGGATCTCAACTTAAAATATTTTAGTGATAACGAATTCTTATCAATAGTTACAGGGTATTTTTTAACATGTAACCAAATTTCACTAGACCCAAATTTAATTCATTATAACTAATTAAATAATAATAATTTCTAAAAAATCTAGAAGAATTTATTTCTGAATCTACTTCTGAAAGAATTATTATTCTAGAGTAAATGGTTTCTGAATTATTTAAGAATTTCATCTCAGAGCTTTTGCTTGACCTACGTATGCAAAAATTATAGTGCAGTAACTTAGTTTTTTATTAATTACTCGTAAACTAATAAAGTTAAGTGAATAATTCTTTCATAAGCCTATTTAATATTAAATTCCAGAGCTAAATCGAACAATATTTTATTGATAACAAATTTTTAACAGCTACAGACTAATATCAGTCAGGTATCTAAATTTTTACTAAATCCAACTTTAATTAATTATAACTAATTGTATAATAATTATAGCAAAAAATCTATACATACATTAATGGAGAATTTAATTTTCAATCTATTACTGAAAGAATCATTATTCTAGAGAAAATAGTTTCAGAGTTATTTACGAATTTCCTCCCAATTTCCTCGCGTGACGTACGTACGTAGGAATTGTACTAAAATGCTTCAGTTTTTTATTAATTACTCGACAACCAATTAAGCTACATCTATGGTTTCTTCCGTAATCAATTCAGAATTAAATTCTAAATCAATCCTGATAAATAACAAATTGATTAAGCTTCCTAATCAAAATTTACAGACTAATTTCTATCAATTTTGTATTTAATTTATATCTCAACTTTAAGTGCTTATTACTTTAAAACAAATTATTCTACCAACATAAACCTTTTAACACTTGGCGCAGAATGTAATTCAAAATGCATTTCTTTTTGAACCACATCTCTACCTTCATTAGTTTTCGAATAAAACAAAAACTAAACTTATTAGACGTTGAGTCACGTGTCAGGTAAGAGCGTCGCGTCTACCACACTTAACATAAGCAAACTTGAACGGAAAAACACACATGTATGTTTTACGTTTAAAAATAACCTTCGCGAGCCGTCAGCGAAACGAATTTACATCGGGTACGTGTTGCACGTTCTTGGCTTTGGCATTCACGAATAACAACAGCAGAAAAACACTATCACCTTCACGTATTCCAATGCAAAACCATGAAGACAAAACACACATCCCAACAAAAAAAAACCAACAAAAGTAAGGTTATAATTATAACACAATGTCACATTAAAATAAAATACAAATACAAAAAAGTTAGGTTAGTTGAGGTTAAATTTCTTAAGTTATACAACTTTTTATACACGTATATAAAATAAAATCATAGAAAATACGTAAATAATTAATTACTTACAATAAAAATGTTAGGTAAGGTCAAGTAAATCCATATTAAGTAATTTCCTGGTGTTATCACGCAAATAAAATCACAATTTAATCTCGAAATTTAAAAATTCCTGCTGTGGGAAAATTTTTATTAAAACTGGAGTAATTTATTATCTAATTTGTTATTTTTTTGTGATTATCACAGTACTGGCGACGTTTTGTCGACGCCGACGACTAAACACGCGCGATTCCTGCTGGCCTGCTGTGTGCGCACGGATCGATGACGGAACAGCTGGTTGCGAGTCACGACGCCAACCTATTGCAGCGCAAGCAGGAAAACTCACATGGCTACACATCGCATAACATCACAGCTGGTCACATGCATGCACACAGTGACAAAATGGTTGAACTGCGCAGGAAAGTTCATGCATTGTGAAATGTGACACAGTGTTAGACGTATGAAATGTATCCTGCGAATAAATTTAGTTTTTAAATTGTTTTTCAGAGAGAATTAGATCAATTTAAATAGTATCCTGCTGATCCTGTTGAATATTTATAGATGTAGGATGATTTGCATATTTAGTTCAAGGATTTTGAGTATATTTTAACATTTCCCAAGTGTATTTCTAAAAAGCAGCAGGAATATTACAGTTTTGGTTAGAGGATAGAAATCTGTTTTTCCTGCTGAGTATTTACGTCTGTATACTTACTTTCCTTTCCGTTAGATGACGCTACATTAGAACTTTGTTATTTTTTGTAGAAATTTGATGTATTTTTAAACTATTTTGCTAATATTGTTAAATATTTATAATAAAAATGATTTTTATATTTAATTTAAAGCTTCACTGTATATTTTAACATTATTTTTAGCGTATTTCAAAAAATTAGCAAAAAAATTACAGATTTGGTTGGAGAGTAGAAATCTGTAATTCCTGCTGTAGATTTACGTCTATATACTTTCTCTTTTCTGCATTAGGTGGCTCTATGTCTGTAGGTTGAGTATTTTTGCAGGAAAAAATTAGTTTACAAAAATTAGTTTATTACTTCTTTAAAATCATTTCTTACAATTATATGACAACTTATTGGTATTTCGTCCTTAAATAAATATTAATAAGTTAAAAACATCGCATGTAACTTTACTTCTTCTTTTCTAAAAAGAAGAATAAAATTATCCTGTTATTATTACAACGCAAGATTGGCAATTAACACAGCAGGATTTTTAATGGCTTCCGCTACATCCTTGCTAGGTTCTGGTGTAACTATGGCAACATCATCTTTCTTTTCTTCTACCTTCTCTTCTTTCTTATCTTCTTTCTTCTCTTCTACCTTTTCTTCTTTTTTCTCTTCTTTAACCACATCTTCTTTCTTCTCATCCTCTGGTTTTTCTTCATTTACAAGCTTCTCCATAGCATCAATTTGTTTCGCAATCGCACGTTGTTCCTCCTTCTCCATTTCAAGGACCTGTCTATAATACCTGCGACTAATCGAAGTTCCAGTCACTTTATAACAATTTGTCAACGCGTCTCCATTGTATCCTGGCGGGCATGTACACACGGCAAGATGGCGTCTTGCCATACAATCAGCATTGGAACCACATTGTCCTGTACAAGGATTCTGACACCTTTAAATAAAAAAGAAATCAAATCTAATTTTTTTAAAATTAAATAAAAATATTTACTTGTAATTGAAGCATGCTTGATGATCAGGACAATGAGTATCTTCCGTACATTCCCCACGTACACATCCCCTCAAAGGATCTCCTTGATATCCAGGCAGACAAGTACAAACAGGACGTTCCTCATGCAATTTATCATAACCAGGTTCACATCGAGCGTTTTGCCCACAAGGATTAGGTTCGCATAGGTCACGTTTCTCAAATGGACGACAACGTACAAATGGATCACCGGTCATGTCCTTTGGGCAGGAGCAAATTGGTGTAATGTCACGTAATTCACAATTAGCTCCAATACCACAAACACCATCACAAGGGTTTTTACATTGGTTATAGAAACATGCTGGTTTGCTACGTGGACAATCTGAGTGTGAAACACATTCAGCTTTGCAAGACGCGTAAGGATTACCAAAATAACCCTAAAAAATTTTAAATTTAAAAAATAAAAAAATTTTTTTAAAAAAAAAGATTTTTAGATTAGTTTTAGTTTTATTTTTACTTACCCTAGGACATTTACAAACAGCAGCGTTGTTTCTAACTCCTTCACAGTCAGCATTAACTCCACATTGAGAATGACAAGGATTCTGACACTTGAATTCAATACAAGCTAAATTCGAACCACATTCACTGCTTGTTTCGCATTCATGACGACATCCAGCGATAGGAGAGCCATGATATCCTGGCAGGCATTTACAAGTAGGGATACCATTAACCACCTCACACTGGGTGTTTTGCCCACATGGACTTGGATGACACAATTCCTCTAAAAATAAAATTTTTATTAAAAATAATTAATTTTTTGTTTTTCATAAATTTTTAATAAGTTTTACCTGGATCAAATCTTCTGCAATGAGTAAATGGATCTCCAGTATACCCTGAAGGACAACTACAAACAGGCACATGGTTCCTAGTCTCACATTGTGCATTAGACCCGCAGATTTCTATGCAAGGATCAACACAACGTTCATTTCTACAATGCTGATGTCCACGACATTCTGAATTGTCTAAACATTCAGCTTTAGTGCAATGATGAAGTGGATCACCCATATAACCCCGGAAACAAGAGCAGACAGGTCTTCCACCTACCATTGAACATTGTGCATTGCTCCCACAAGTTGATCCTGAACACACTGTTGAAGGAGCATCAGCTATAACAAAAATAAAAATTTTAATAAAAAGAAATAAAAATTAAAATCAAAGTTATTAATTATATATTAAAATTAATAATAAAAATTAAATCAATTTTATTTGATATTCTAGAAGGGATTAAATCACACGTTTAAGATTTTAAGCTGGTTTATCATTGGTCATGGGTTGGGTCTTAGGTCTTGGGTTTCTGTTTGAACCTGAATATCGCGCATAGGAGTGTCGATCCACATACTGCCGCCGGTACTGCGCGTCCGTGGTCACTGTCGTCCTGCCGTATTTATCGGTGATGTAGACTTTGTCGTCGTGATAAGGATAAGACCGTACTGGTTGTGGTTGGTATTTGACCACTGGTTGTGGGTAGCTCACAGGAGCGGTGTAGCGGATTGGTGTGGTGGTATACCGGTCGGAGTAGTAGCGGTAAGGGTTGACGTAGACACTCTGCGCGGGTTGCACGTAGGGGGTGTAGTATTGGGAGGAGTAGGAGTAGTATTGCGGGTCGTAACCGGAGAGGATGCGGTACTGACGGTACTGAATCTCACCTAGAGATCCTTGCCCAAAGAGGGCTAGCGTCAGCAGGAGTATGCAGATACTGCTGAACTGCGTTGACATTTTGAGTAAAGATTATTTGTATTTCTGGTAGAGAAAAAAGAAAAGAATTAAAATTGTTATAAAGACATTTATTATAGAAATTATTACTGTAATTTTACGAAATAATTTTTGGAGAAAATTGCATAAAAATTTTAATTATTTTTCATATGAAGAATTAAACAATACTTTGGATCAATATTTATTAACATTTTAATATTTATTTTACCAAAATTACATTCTAAAGGAATAGATAATTTAATTATCTGTAATTTTGTGTTTTTATTGTTTATTTATCTCTATTTTTATAGAAGTTATGCCAAAAAAACTAAAATTTTGTAACTTTTATGCAAAAAATGGAAAAAATTGTTTTTTGTCAAAATTATTGTAAATTTAAAATAGAACTATAATACTAATTAAATTATTTATCATTTTTGGTGATTATTATTACTTTACCATAATTATTAATCATTTTTTAACAAAGAAAAGTAAGAAAATGCATTTTACGAAGAAAAATTATTAAACTAAATTTTAACTCGATATTTCTCAACAATAAAAAAATATTTTTACTAAAATCATTAAATAATCTTAAAGATAATTTAATTATCTATCAATTTTTGTTTTTACCAACTTTGTATCTCAATTATTTCAAAAGTTATAAACAAAAAACAAAACTTTTTCAACTTGCGCACTTTATTACCTTACAATCTAATTAATTTTCACACTTTCGTTGATAACCACACTCACGAAGAGCACTTCGTCGACTGATCACTCCACGCCCGCTGTCCGTCGTTAAATCGACATTGTGGTTCGACTTGAGATGACTTCTTTTGGACACACGACAAACTCATGTATTACCTGTTGACCGCCACACAATTAAACGCACACACGAATACAACTGAAACGCAAATATGTGACATTGGTTGTTGTATTCGTATTTTCCTGCATCAGATTACAATACAGATTATTCATGTTCAGCGTGAATCCAATGTCGAAAAGTAGATTCAAGGCGAGTAATTTATCGCATTTTTTCTTCGTCGATAAATTTGTGTTTTGGTTATGTAATTGTTGGCAGAAAATTAGCATAGGATTATGTGATGTTGACGTCGCCCCAACAAAAATTATTAATATAATCGTGTACATTTAGTAGTGATACAAACGAAATCGATTCGTGTGTTTCTGATTCGTCGAGAATGTGGGCGTCGTTTGATCTGTTCCTAACTGTTTTCTAAGTTTAGCGTTTTGTTGTTATATAGTCGTGTTGGTTTTACTGGAATTTTTGAGGATTTTTGTAGTTTTTTGTTTATAACTCAAAAACTAATAAAGTTATTTCAATGATTCTTTTAGCAATTGATTAATTAATAAATTCTATACGTTTTCTGAGAATTTTTATTGTTTGTGATAACGTTATCATTAGTTATGACGTCATTTATATTAAAGTAAATTTTTTTTTAAATAACTTTTTGGTTATTTATACGATTATCAAAATTTAAAAAGAATTTGAAAGAAAATTTAAGTAGAAAAACTATAGTAAAAGAATAATAACAGAATAATTTATAACTTTTGAGTAATTTGTAAATTAGTTTGAGAAACGCAGTTAAATAAAAATAATAAAATAACATTTTAGTATTTTAGTTATAACTTTAGAAATAATCAATATATTTTGATGATTCTTTCATAAATATCTTCACTACTATTTTGTTTAACATATTAGCCTAATATTTAATAAATAACCACTTTGTAAAGGAAGTTATACACCAGTTTTCTATCAATTTCATAAAAAAATACATAAATCTATTTTAATTGTTAATAACTACTAGAAAAACAATTTATATAAACTAAATAAATAGTCTATCTAATGTATAATTTAATTATAAACAAATATCTGAAAGAATCATCAAAATATCTCAAATAGTTTTCATATTATTAAAGAAAAACTAAACAATTTCATTATTATTCACTCGCTTAGTAAGAGCGCTGCCACTATATAACTTCCCATATAATTATCGACTTTAACCTTGAACGTTGAATTTCCTAATTTGTCAAAATCCGTATTCTTGTAGTTTTTTTCTTATTTACCAACAGACATATTACTTTTAACATCTGAACTTTAAGGTGTGTATGTATTAATGTATTAATTTCGCTTTAAAACAACAATATATCGTTAGTAAATTGTTTTTGTTCTCCAAACCAGAACGCAATTGTTTACAACATTTAAAGTGGCAAATTAAGGCGTTTACTGAATGACTGCATCACGCGTGGCTTGCATAATTAACTAACTATTAATTTATTTACTTAAGAACCAACAACGCTACTTAAATTTAAAATAAATCAAAATGTAATTCTATTGTTGTTAAATTTCACTTTTCATTGTTAATAAATCACTGCTAAATTTATGTAATGAGCATCTCCTTTAATAGTCGTCCTTGAAGTACCAAAATTTTCACGCGTCAAACATGGCAAGGACGTCGAATTTTCTAATTATTTAAATCATAAATATATCGTCTAATAATTAATTCTAGCAACTTCTGAGTAACGTATAACTTATTGCTATTTAATCAGTGTATTTTTTAGTTATTTATAAAGATGTTTGTCACTCGTTTGACCCCGAAAATGAGTGTGATTAGTTCTTGATAAAAATACAAACAATTCTTGACCTTCAATTTCGCGCTGCGCCCCGCAAAATACGCAAATGTTATTTATGTAATTTATCAGTTTAATTTCAACCAGATTATTCCGCATGTCAATGTGTTACCATAACAAACTTTTCTCGCTACAACTGCAAATCTACTAATTTCAACCCTGAAACAAAAATTGCGTTTTGAGAGTTCAACGAATTCAATATTTCGACCCTCGATATTTACTTGTGTATGTCCATGTACGTGAGTCTAATCACGAGGCGCAAAAACGGAAATGCGTTATCATATTTATTTCTTATTTCAACAAACGTCCATGGCGACTGTGGTAAACAGACGCGTTCGGATGTTTGCGATTTGATTTTCTTGATTTTCAACTTTGTAACTTGGTGGGCGATCCAAGATTGGCATTGAATGAATGCTTGTGTGCTGTGTAAATATAAGCAGTATGATGTAAACACAAACTAAATTTTACACAAATAAATAAATAATTTGTGCCAATTATCTATGATGTAAATGAAACGGATGTGATCACGTGTGTCAATAATGGTGCAAAACTATTGAGGAAGTTTGACGGATGTTATCATAGAGAAATAATATTTGGGGAAAAAATTATTTAAATAAAAGTTGTTAAGAATTTAATTATTTATTAAAGTCAGTTTTGATTTTTAAAATATCTTATATCATTCAAAAGTTATAAAAGTTTTTATAAAATATTTCCATAAAAAATATTTTTTGGATGTTTTATTCAACGTCAAATATTACAATGAAATATTACTTTTACATAGAAAATATTTTAGTAAAAGTTGTTGTAAATATATTTCTTAATATTATTTAGTAATTATTTTAACTTAATGTTGGTTATTTTAATTGTTATAATGATTTTTATAACTAATTTCAATTCTAAATCTTTAAAAATATAATTTTATTTTACACTAATTTTTCTATTATTAATAATAATATGTATAAACTCAAATATTTACAACTTATACAATATTTATCTATCTATAACATACTTTTTGAAAATACTCCGTATCTCAAATACTTTCCAAGTTATTGAACATTTTCTTGCACATTGCATTGTCTAACATGCAACACGCACATGTTCGCTTCTCCGCACGCGAAACGTATAATAATATTTACATTTCGCACACTTACGAGCATTCTTTTCTTTTGCTTGCATCTGAGTCTCTCATCTACGAGTTTAGCCTGTTATCAGCGCTTTATCACCACGCCGAGTGCGCCTCCACCGCCGCCGAGTATAAAGCAGCTGTCAGCCGGCTCGCATCATTGATAAGTGAGCAAAAATTCGTGCCGCACGTATCGTCATCACTAATTAATCAATTAATTCATTAAGTATTAAACATTTCCAAGTGGAAAAGTTAATTAAAAATGAAAATCGGTTAGTTTGATTTAAAATAAACTAAAACTGTGTGTACTCATGGATAATTATCATATAAGTTGATTAAATTAAAATTTAGTCGTTAATATTATTTGTTTAATATTTAAATATATTAAGTAGTTAATTAAAAAGTTAAATTTAATTTTTTGAAGTGTTTGAGTGTAAAATGCGAGGTGAGTCGATAATTTTGGAAAAATTTATTTTTGAAAATTTATAATACATGTAAAAACATTTAAAAATATTAATCTAAGGTTGAATTTATGTTAAAGATCTAATAAGAAGTTACAAAATGCGTTTGAGTCGTAAACCATCGGCGTCTGATAGTGATGCAGAGAGCCAACCGCTCACGAGTTCCATTTCTTCAACTGCAAGTTTTGGGTAAGTGACAAAAACTTTAACCTAAAATTACTCTAAGAAATAATTACTTTAGAACAAAATTATTTAAGTAAAAGTTGTTTATTATGAAATTATTTATCATAAACAATTATTATTCTTAAATGTCAATAATATTTTGGTAGATATTTAGCAGGAAATAGAAAAAAATTGAAAAATTGAAAAATTTGAAAATAAAAAAAATAAAGTTTACTTTTGTGTTAACATTAGAAATTATCCTTTTATCACAAAAATATTTAAACAAAAGTTATAGATAATTTGATTAGCTATCAACTAATGATATTTGTTAATTTTTAAATAATTAATTGTTTAATTTATAAACATTTTTGTATGACAACAACATGCAAACATGCTCAAAATGTTTATAAATTATTAAAATTAATATTTCGACTCGAATAAATAAGTTAACATAAAAAATATTTTAGTAAAAGTTGTAGAGGAGGAAATTTACTTCAATACAAAAGTCAAATTAGGCCATAAAACTGTGCGTAACAGTTTACAATAATTAATAGTAATTGTTATCCAAAATTTAATTTCAAAAAATAAATTTTTTTCAAACTTAATTTAAACAGAGAATTATTAACTTTACATAAAATTTATTTTTTTAAAAATTGTTAAGAATTAATCAAACTATTCAAATATTACTAATCATTTTATGTGATCTATGTTTTAGGACTGTTAATGAGCGATGCATATTTCCTCAAGACTCGGACATGACCGACAACGAGTTCGCCAATCAACGCCGATGCATGAGCGATCAAGAACTGCAGAATATGGCCCGCTTTGGGAAATCAACATCGCCCGACTTTTCTTTCCTGCAGCAACCGTCTCACAACGTCTGCAATCGTCTTCAGTATTTCTACAAAGGCTCCAAGAGTGTCATCATCGACGATTCACTCGTAAGTCACAACACATGATAATCATATTTAAAATAAAAAATATTGAATAAAGTCACAATCAAACAAGTCTGGAATAATAAGTATCACGCAATATATTATGCAAAGGCAGCAGGAATTAAATCATCTCCATGAGTTCAATCTATCGGATGATTTTTATTTATATAGTTACGCTATACTTGATACCAATACGGCGGTTATTCTTGATAGTTTTTTGGGAATTACACGAAAAGTATTAGAGATAGGAGCATAAATTTTGTATAAATTGATTCTAGATAAAATTGTATATATTATTCAGCAAAGATTATGTTAATATAGTTACAAGGCAAAAAGTTATTAACAATTTAATACAAATTTCATGATAATTTATAAAATTGACATTATTTGTACTGTAACTTTTGATAAAACGGTGCTATCAATTTAATCTTTACATAAAATGATTCAGAAATTAATATAGAATAAGGTTCTAAACAAATAATTAACAATAATTTGTTATTACTTTAATTATTAATGTTTTTCTATGTTATTGACAGTTTTGTTCGCTAAAAAATGACAAAACAATTACTTTTGGTTATAACTTGCTTATAAATTGCTTTAGAAGGATGATTCTTTCAAAAATACAATCTTAAATAAATTCTCTATCTAATTGTTAAAACAGTTTGTTGCTAAAGTTTTTACATAAAAAGTTATTGTCAATTAAAATTTGATTTAGAATTTTCTTGACAAATTGAAATAAATTGGTCTGTAACTTTTAACAAACAATTGTTAACCATAAAATCTTTACTAAGCAGATGTAGAATTTAATACTGAATAGAATTCTGAAGAAATAATTAAGATTCGTTAAGTAGTTTTCGAGTAATTCACAAATTACTAATTTATTTCTCTCTATTCCGGGGATGTTTAGAAAAAATGCATTTCTATTTACATTTTGTGATTTACGATGACTAAATGATAAGAGCAAAATCAGAAATTCGATTTGCATGTGTTTGAATGTGGTGCGCTGATATGACAGAACCTTGAACTTTGCTTAATGTTTGCTCTTGCTCAACTTGTGTGCGGTGTACGCGAAGCAAAGCTGGAAATGCGTCGCGTCGCGAACTCAATTGATTAAAATCGGGTCTAAGCCGATGTGCCGACGCATTTAAACACGAGAAGAGAATGGAATAAAAAATTGTTTGCGGCTTTGATTAATTGCGCGGCGCAGATGCAGATGCTCCAATTTAAGCCGCGGAGACGGCTGATGAAATTGCGAGTCTCGCAACAATTGATTTGAATTCGTTGGAATGATTTTCGTCTGGGAGCGAAGAATTTTTGCGACCCAGTTCGATAACGACTTTGGCGCGCTCAAGACAAGAAGTTTGATTGATAGACACGGTCGAGACCTAATAACAAACGTTTTTACGACTCAATTTCTGTGATTACAAAGGAAACGGTACGAGAATTGTGTGAAAACATCAAAAATATTTCAAGAACAAATTTAAGGGTGAAATTTTTTTTTATTTAAAAAATATTTTAGTAAAAGTTGTTAACAGATAAAGCTTTTATAATAATTAGTTTAAAGTTTGTTGAAACGATTATTACTTTGGAAGTTATCAGCAAATAAAAAACAATTTTGTTTTTTTGCCTGATTTTTTTTAAATTTATCACACTTTACATTTATTAATAATTTTTATGCAAGAGAGTTATTATACAGTAAAATAATTTTAGTAAAAATTATTGACCATTAAATATTTTATCATTATTTGTTTAAATTTTAATTTTATGCCAATTAGTTAATGAGTTATCAGCAATTAAATATTGGTGATTAAATTTTTTCATATTTTTTATTTATTAATGTTTCAGCAATAAATAGTGCATTTCACGGATAATTATTTTAGTAAAAGTTGTAGATAATAAACTGGGATAATCAAATCAACTTAAATTATTTTGATATTTCTTATAGTTTATACGTTATTAACAAATTTAATTTACAAAAATAAAAATTAAATTTTGTTAATTTATTCAAATTGAAAAATTAAATTTACACAAAAATTATTTAAGTAAATATTATTCACAATTAAATTATCTATGATATTCTGTTTAAATTTTACTGCTATCTTCATTATTTTAGGAGTTATAATCAATTAAAGTCAAGTTTTTTTTTTTTGCAGCTACCAAGAAAATTAATGACGTTCCAAGACTTCAAAGATGCTTCAAAAATGAAGAATCTTTTGAACATGTCACCGTAGAAGAACCAACGCAAAGCTCGCTGGTTACAATGTAAGTATCATAGTTTATATTAAATTTATTTGGGCCTAAATCGCATACTGTTATTACATTGTAACGCGTTTCTCAAAGCGGGTGTCAAGCGGCAAGTTTAAAGTGCGTCAAACGCGTCAAAGTGCGTCAAAGTGCGGCAAAGTTCAAGCATGATGAAACAACTTATCGGCTTGCATAAAACTGCATTGATTCACCAACAAACAAAAATATTAAAGAAAAAATACGTCACTAAATACGGGAAGTATCGAGTACGCATATTGAGATCTAGCGAGTGAAAATGCGAAAAGTATTTCTGGGTTATCGGGTCAAACAATGGTGCGTAACACATTTTAAACATGCGATTTGTGTTTGCTTTTGTTGCAGTTTTGCGATATGGAATACAATCATGGGATCGTCGCTGTTGGCGATTTCCTGGGGGCTGGAAAAGGCCGGTCTCGTGCCTGGTATTATTCTGATTCTGCTCATTGCTGCCATTTGTCTGTACACTTCTTACGTCATACTGAAGGTCAACGAAAGTTACGGTGCGTGTAATGAACTTGTTGTTTTTTCCTATCTTGCCTCGCCGAGTACACATAAACTTATCGCGTGCAGATTTATTTTTAAATTTAGATACGCGTGATTTAACTACAAACTATATTACTAATGTGTGATGTTTCTACATGATCAAATTTTAGTTAGGAAAAAATGAATGAAAATTAAGAGTAATTGAAAAATTGTTTTAGGAAAAGATGTTGGGAATTTAAGTAGCTTTTAATAACTGTTTACAATTTGCAAATATCTGTAATATTGTAGGAATTATTGACAATTTAGTTTAAGTATGTTTTGAGAAAAATTGATTTTTGAAATTTAATACTATTAATATTTCACTAAGAAATTTCGGGTGTACATAATTATTTTATAGAAAAATAATTTAAGCAAAAGTTATTAGAAATAAAAATATTAACAAATTAGTTAGAATATATTTCAAAGAAAATTAAATTTAAAATTTTTGGAAGATTTTTTTTCTTTTCTAATTTTTAGCGTAACTAATAATTTTAGGAAAAAAATATTTAAACAAAATTAATAAACAATTAATCAAAGCATTATGTGTCGTTTAAATTATTTTAATATCTTTAAAATTGTAGATAATACACGTCTTTAAAAATGCACTAACAAAAAACTTTTAAATTTTCCAACGCAAACTTTAATTAATTTTAATTTAATTGTTGTTATTTACAGGCATTTACAGAAATAATGAAGTACCAGATCTCTGCCGTTTGTTAATCGGTCGTTGGGCTGAAATGATCGCAAAAATCTTCTCTCTCATCGTGCTAATCGGCGCGAACATTGTTTACTGGATTCTCATGTCGAACTTTTTGTACAATTCCGTTACATTTGTTCATGGTAAGTTTCCTACATCCCTACAATATTATTATCAATTAAAACCAATTAAATACAATAACATAAACTTTTCTGTTAGATTACATCTACTCAATAGAAGACACACTGGTCACAAACTCGTCCTACGAAGTGATATGCCCGAAAAACTATCAACCAAACACAACTTTAGTTGATTTAACAACCAAAACAACTAATTCATTTGATATTTACTGGAATCTCAACTCGACAGTTCCTGTTTTTCTTTGCATTCTTATGTTTCCGTTGCTCAACTTCAAAAGCCCAACGTTTTTCACGAAATTCAATAGTTTAGGCACGATTAGTGTCTGTTATGTTGTGCTTTTGGTTATTACCAAGGGTGCAACTTGGGGTGTGCATATTCCGGACTGGTCTTTTGAATTTGACATCAAGGCAAATTTTTCTGCACTTAGTGGAATGCTTTCTTTGAGTTTCTTCATTCACAATATTATTATTTCAATTTGTAAGAATAATCGCCACCAAGAAAATAATGTAAGTATTATTAGAATTAGTTTTGAAATATTTGACTAAAATATTATTTAATTTTAGGGTCGTGATTTAAGTATTGCTTTCATCTTGGTAACACTTACGTATCTTATCGTTGGAGTGGTTTTCTACATTTGTTTCCCCATGGCAAAAAGTTGTATTGAAGATGTAAGTACTCATTGTTGATTTGTGAACATTGTGGTAATAATTTTATTTTTTTATTCTTACAGAATATTCTAAACAACTTATCAAAGTTTGATACAATGACAATCATCGCAAGAATGCTACTGCTCTTTCAATTGTTTACCGTCTTTCCACTGATTTCATTCATGCTGCGTGTTAATATCCTGAACAACGCAAAAGCTATCTTTGGCAATGAAAAGTTTGGCGAATTTACTTACACGAGAGTAATTATCTTAAATATCATCGTGGTTGTGATCTGCACACTTTTGCCTGTTTTCTTCCACATATCGGAACATTAATTCGGTAAGTACTAAGTTTTAAAATTAAGAATTTAAATTTTCGTTCAGTGGGTATGTTTCTGTTTTGCGACTAAACTACTAAAAGAATTTTGATGAATTTTCATATACAGATTCAATAGATTTGGGAAAATAACATAGATTACTTTTTGTTGCAAAAACAATACTTGAATGCAGTAAAAAAGGAGCTAAAATTTTATAGAAATTTTTTTGACTTTCTTTTCATTTTTTTATCTTTGAATTTAATTTCTACTTATATTATTGCAGTTTTTAATAAATTTAATTGTGTTTCAGATACACTGGAGCTTTAAGTGGAATGGTTTACATATTTACACTGCCTAACTTATTGAAAATTGCAGCATTGAAACGTGAGAATGCATTGACAGCATGGAAGTTTATTTTACATGCAGCCATCATTTGCATTGGAGCTGCCAATCTCGCATTACAATTCTTCGTCTCGTGATTATTAATTTTGGAAATTAATAATTAATTTATACACACTTTATATTGTTTTGATCTGTTATATTAATCTCTTTTGAGTCTTTTGAGATAGACAATTAGTTTAATTTTTGTTGTGTGTCTGTGTGTTGTAAAATGTTTGAAAATGTTTTGAATTGTATACATTCCTATATGTAGGAAGCAGTATTAATCACATGTATCGTGGCTTTTTTAATGCCAGTATAAAATGAATAAATTTATGTAGATTACTATTACATTACTTTTTATTTATTTTTATGTATACTATCATGTTCATTATCACTAAGTGGTTGCCTTTTGTGCCTCTATAACCTTTTCACTGGACTTCTTAGAAATCTTATTACAATGTATTTAACATTAGTTTTAATTAAGTTGAAGTTGGGTTATTAAAAAACTTTACAAAAAAATCGTATTTTTTAAAGTATAAAATTCTATTGCTTAATATATTATCTATTTCTAAAATATCCCATTAAAATTAACAATAAATAAATATTTAAAAACGTAGTATGAAAAAACTCTGTATCTCAGGAATTAATTAACTTATCTTGAGTTTCTTACTGTTATATTATAGATCTGGGAACCCTATATAAGATGATCTTTCCGTTCAATCCTCAAATCCCATTGGAAGTACTCGAAAATATTCCTTAAAAAGTGGTATTTCAAATGTTACTCTTTTTTGAAAATTTCTAAAAGTTGCCGTGGAAAACACTCTGTATCTCCTGTAAAACTAATGTAATTTGGGATTTTCCTACGTCAGTTTATAGTTGAAAAGTGCCTCTACAAAATAAGTACATAATTCACCCTCTAGACTCCTGGAAAGTGCCCTAAAAATCCCTTCAAAAATTGCTAATTTTTTAAAATTTCCAAATGTTGCGGTTGAAAATATCCCGTATCTCCTGTAAAAATAATGTAATTTGGGGTTTTCCTACGTCAGTTTATAGATAGAAAGTACTTCTACAAAATGAGTACCAAATTCACTCTCTAAACCCATGGGAAGTGCCCTAAAAATCTCTTCAAATGTTGCTATTTTTAAATATTTCTAAAAGTTGCCGTGGAAAACACCCCGTATCTCCTGTAAAAATAATGCAATTTAGGGGTTTCCTGCGTCAATTTATAGATGAAGAGCGCTTCTACAAAATGAGTATCAAATTCACACTCTAAACCCATGGGAAGTGGCCTAAAATTCCTTTCAAAAGTTGCTATTTTTCGAAAATATCTAAAAAGTGCTGTGGAAAACACCCTGTATCTCCTGTAGAAATGATGCAATTTGGGGTTTTCCTGCGTCAATTTATAGATGAAGAGTGCTTCTATAAATTGAATAATTAATCCACCCTCTAACTCCCTTGGAAGTGCCCTAAAATGCCCACGGAAAATGACCATTTTTTACAATATTTTTAATTAATTAATTATATTTTAATTAATTTTTAAATAATTGTTATAATAATATTTTTGTTAGAAATTCATTAAAAAAAGTCTTGGAAATTATGTTTTTTTGTTTGAATTTTATTAAGTTTGAAATATTTTTCGCCTGAAAAACAGGGTCGAACTTTTTGTGTTAAATTATTTTTGGTCGAAGAACAGGGCCGAACTTTTGGTTAAAATTATTTTTGCTCGAAATTAAAATTAATTTTTAAATGCTTATAACTTTTGAACTAAAAGGGCTAGGAAAAAAAAGACTTCAAATTCTTGATGCTTGAAAAATTCTCTATTACACGAAATGTTCAAAAAGTATTAAAACAATATATTTTTTGAAACGTGAATAACTCAGTAAATAAAAAAGATACAGGAAAATGTTATTTGGATAAACGATGCGCAATTTAATCCTCTTTAAGAATTTGTAATCAAATTATTAAAAATAAAAAATTATTATTTACGTACGTGTGAATTTGCATGTGTGTGTGTGCGACCAATTTCGGGCCGAAACCAATGGTAAAATTGAGTTGTGTTATCCGGATCCCAGAATGTCGAGGAGGTTGAAAACTTTCGCGGGATTTTTGACTATATCTTTCTCTCTCTGACTTTATATTACCCTCTCTCTCGATCTGTGTGCACGACAATTTCGAGCCGAAAATGAATGGTAAAATTGGTTTGTGTTATTCGGATCCCAGAAAGTCGAGGAGACTGATAACTTTCGCGGGATTTCGACGGAATTTGAAATATATTTTCTGCCTCTTTCTTTCTCTCTCCGCCTCTCTCTTTCAATTCGTTCAATTTTGCCACGAAACTAAGGGAAAAATAGATTTTGGGTACCAGGAACCCAGAAGTGCGAGGAGGTTAAAAACTTTTGCGCGATCTTCGCACGAATTTAAAATAAGTTCAAATCATTTTTAAGAACTTTACCAGAAATTTTCAGAATTCACTAAAAAAATGTGCCAATAATGCCAACATTTAAGGGTGTTTTTAGGACATTTCTAGGCCCTTTCGGTTATCAAAAATAATATCAAACAATAAATCAACTCTTTCTCTGCCAAATAAGATAAAGAACAATCAAATTAAACGAGAAACAGCCGAGATACAGGATGTTTTCGTAGGCGTGTTTCAAAGAATTGCAAAAAAAGTTGACTTTCAAAGTAGATTTTAGGGCACTTGTAGGGCCTTTAGGGGGACAAAAAGTATATCAGGCGATAAAGCAACTATTTATTTATCAAATAATATAAAAAACGCCCAAATTGAACCAGAAACAGCCGAGATACATGGTGTTTTCGAGAGCGTGTTTCCAAAAATTTTACAAAAGGTAGACTTTCAAAGTAGATTTTAGGGCGTTTGTAGGGCCTTTAGGAGGACAAAAAGTATGTCAGACGATAAAGCACCTATTCATTTACCAAATAATATAAAAAACGCCCAAATTCAACCAGAAACAGCCGAGATACATGGTGTTTTCGAGAGCGTGTTTTAAAGAATTGCAAAAAACGTGGACATTCAAAGTAGATTTTAGGGCATTTGTAGGGCCTTTAGGGAGACAAAAAGTATATCAAATAATAAATCAACTATTCCTCTACCAAATAAGATAAAGGACAATCAAATTGAACAAGAAACAGCCAAGATACAGGGTGTTTTTGAGAGCGTGTTTCAAAGAATTTTACAAAAACTTTCAAAGTAGATTTTAAGGCATTTGTGGAGCCTCCAGTTGATCAAAAAAGATATCAAAAGAAGAAACTATTCTTCGTCTTTAAACTAGAAATAAAAAACAAGCAAATTGAACTGGAAACCGCCGAGATACAGGGTATTTTCCATAGCGTGTTTTACAAAGTTTCAAAATAGACAACCTTGTAAATACTTGTTTAGGGTTATTCTGGATCATTCAGAAAGTCAAAAAAAGCAGCAGGGGATAAAGAAACGCTTCAAATTTAACATAACAAAAAGAACGTCCAAATCGAACCAGAATAAACAGAGATACAAAGCGTTTTCCCGTGCATATCTTGTAACATCTATTATATGCTGCTGTTTATTTTTTTAGTTTTTTGAGTTTCAATTTACAATAATTCCTAAAAATAATTACTTATTCAAAATTTGTAAACGTTATTAAATTATAAATTAATTTAGCTTTAAAATAATATACCTCATGCTTAAGATTACTCTTATTTAATGACTTTGATTAAGGGTTGAAGTTTCAACCCTTTCACAAACTACCCCTTTAATAAATATTGTTAAAATTGTAGAAAACTCAAGAACAAGGAAAGGTTAGTTCTAACCACCCGTTTCAACACAAAATTGCGGCTTTTAATTTCCTTGTTCATCGTCTAATTTCATTCCCTTTAACACCTCAGAGATATAATAACGAGTTACAGTACATAAAGAACGTAGCAAAAAGTAATGGTTATGATCCAATAATTATTAATAGAATTATAAACAAATTTAAATTCAAAAAACTGCAACGTGATAACTCGACTTTAAACACGTTCACCGATCAATTAGATACAAAATACATTTCGCTTCCATTTGACATTAATTTAACTAAAGGTTTAAATAAAATTTTGAAAAATGAAAATTTAAAAATCGCGTATAAAAACACCAGTAACATTAAAGAATTACTAGGTAATCCGAAAGATAAAGAGGAAACGTTTTTAAAGTCGGGTATTTACAAAATTAAATGCGGATGTTGTGACTCACAATATATTGGTCAAACGAAAAGGTCAATTTTAACTCGTTTTAAAGAACACATCGCGCATTTTAAATACAATAGATTCGAAAAGTCCGCAGTAGCCCAACATATTAAAGAGTCAGAACATCCCATCCGACAAGAAAATTTGTTCTTGGTAAAATCTATTACCAATCAAAGACAATTAGATGCCTATGAAAGCATAGAAATTTTAAAACATAAGAACAAACATCTTCTTAATCAAGAAAACGGGCCAATTTCTTCAAGTTTATTTGAGTTAATTGTTTAATATTTTTCAAAAATACCTAATTGTCGAATACTTGGAAATAGATTTTACTGCAATATTTTTGCTAGGGAGTGGGGGTAAAAGATTAAACAGGGTATTATGAATTTATAGGTTTTATTAGAAAAACATTTTTAGGGAGTGGGGGTAAAGGATTAAACAGGGGATTAAGAATTTTTAGGTAAATTAGGGATTAGACGCAATTTTAGTTCAGTTTTATAATTCCTTCGCCTGAAGAGGAAGGCTTAGCCTTCGAAATGCGCATCGCGACAGTTATTTGTGAGACGGGGTTTTTAAACTTCCTATTAGTATTTGTTTACTCACAGTGCATCAAGTAGTGTAAATCTAAATATTAGGGTTAATTAAGGGTTGAAGTGTCAACCCCTTTACAAACCACCCCATTGTATTTTTTACTTTAATTTTTATCAAGTGATACCTGACGAAATGATTTTTCCATTGCTATATAACTTTTTGAAAAACTATAATTATTTCATTTTATTTTCAATTTTTGAAATGAAGCAAATTTTTCTGAAAATTACAAAAAATGTAGGAAAATTGATCAAGTTAAGATGGTCAAAACTAAGACATTTTTCAATCGATTTGAATAATATAAAATGTATAAAATAGTACATCTTATAAACTTTTAATGCCACTATCAAGAAATTGTTTTAATTTAAGTATAATATCCCTAAAATCATGTCAAAGTAAAAGTAACTTTTTGTTCATTAATAATTTTACAAACAGTCTCTACTCTCTGCTGTGGATAGCCAATTAGTCTAAAATTCATATAAAATTTACAGAATGTCAAAAGCTTATTTATTTATTTTTTTATATATTTTTAAACTTTATATTTATTAATTTCTACCCAAATAAGTGCAAATATTGGAAGTTTTGGTCTTATAACGTTGTATTATTTTATTTTTGATTGATATTATCTCTAATACATGCTAAAAACATTAAAAAACAATCAGAATATCAATTTTTCCATATGTAGTAAAATCCCAGACATGGCGGCATTCCATAGTAGAAGGGTTAAAAATTATAGCAACATTTCCTAGAATTTCGTCTGTCTAGACGAATTTTCAATGGCCGCTGCAAAACTGGGTCAACATGGCTGCCAACCTAAATAGTTTTGTTTCATTGAAGAAATATGCAATTTTCTAGTTACAAGATTGGCAACGCACAAAAATTTATAACCCTAGAAAAATAAATCACCATGTCAAATTTGAAAAAGTAAAGTGAGGTTAGAATCGTATTTGTAAACAAACGCGTGTTTTTAATGTAAAGAATTGATTTAAACATTGTTATTATCATTTATATAGCTAAATATGTTTAAACATTGTTGCAAGTGTAAATTTCGGCAAATATGTAATATTAAAACACTATAAAAACGTGTTTTTATCATAGTTACTTCAAATTCTGTACGTTGGGTTGCCTACATTCAAGGTGCACACAATTTGTAACTACTAAAAACAAAACATTTATTAATTTATTTGTTATTTTACAAAATTCGTTATCATGAAATCATCCATTGATTAAAACATGAAGTTAAGATAATTAACTACTTGTTATAAACCATTGAATGTTTTATTTATAACGACAAGACGGGGAAAAACACAAAATAAGTGAATTAATTCACAATATTTTTATTATGCAATTTTAATCAATATTCCTTTACAAAGGACCGAAAGTTAAATGCCCACTATATAGAAAACATTCGTGCCAAAGTTGCAACAAACATCGATGTCAACTACAACACTACAAACAGTATTTGGATATTGTCCTAAAGTCAGACTTGCAAACAATTTTAGATGCCCTTATCTCAACATTTCGATACTCTTTTATATACATTATGTAACATTAAATATGTAATCATGGCTGTATTATACATATTTATCACTGTCATACAAAAATAAACCTACATCTTTGTGCTCAATGAAACAACGCAACATCCAATCACAATTTGTACAAACCACAAGTGAGCAAACTTTGCTTCAATTTGAAAATATTTAGGCCTCTCGATGAAACTGCAAAACCAACAACAGCATTCACATAAATTACCACAGCCACTCGTTCATATAGAAAGCATATAGATAAACATCTTAAATATGCTAACAATAGCGCATATTACTTCATAGTTCAACAACAATGTTTCTACCTTATGATATAATAGTATGTCATTTTTAAAACAACAAATTAGTTGTGACTAGAATCATTCTACTTATTTTTATACTGCACCCGATTAGATTTATCCTTCAGCTGCTTTAATGCGTTGTTAATTCAATTAAAATCAAGAGTATAAAAATAAATAAAACGTATACAAAGGTATTTGTTGATTATGTTAGTAAAAGTTTGTCTTTTTCCAGTCGTCAAACATCCTCGTGAGTGTTTTGCCAACAGCCCACCGTGGAGACCGCCGTCAGTTGAACGTATACAACAAATTACGGTCATAAAAGTGATAAACACACTTAATATGTCGCAAAAGTCGTCCTTCGACAAGATGTCGTGCGTAATTCACGGCTGTCATGCGATCCTGTGCCAGACCAACCTCTAACAACCAATCCACGAGTCTTCTTCCAGAAAATACTTGTTGATATTCTTTTAGGCGATATCTAAATTAAAAATCAACCAGTTTAATAACCATTATCATGTTATAAACAGTTTTAAACTTACATTTGATTGCAGGCAATGTCCAGCACACATTTATCCATGTGATGCTTCTTGAACTGCTCACAAATGTGTTTTGTTTCGGCAGAAAGTTCGTCTTCCATTGGTAATAGGAGTTTATCATCTTTATACCAAAGTTTTCTTAATTTTTTCATGAGTGGTAGAAGGACATATTTGTTATCAATGCCGAATATGACCCAAACTATAATACTTTGTCCAAAATTTAAACTTGCATCCAGGAAACTTAGCTCTACATAAATTCCAGACATTTGTTCCATGACTAAAGTCCATATTGCAACAGCCAAACCCTAAATAAGTCGCAAATTAATAGATTTGCTTATAAATTTGTTAAGAAATACTTACAACAAGCATACTGCTCAATAAAATGATAATCAAGATGTAATGCCTGAATATTTGGGGATCGTGATCATTCACTTCTTCTTCAATAATGTCCAAGTCTTCATCAATTGGTTCCTGATATTGTAACAATATTCCTTGACATTGATCTCCTTCAGAAGTTGAACAAACCAGGCCAGAAGGACAATCTTGAGATGTTGTACTATAAAACATCAATTATTTGTTAAAATAAACTGAAAATTGTTAATTTTTTTATGTGATACCTAATGTTTCGTGTTCGTGGAGTTCCAAATCTCTTCACAGCCTTTGTACTAGTATCATCTTGCATTAATCTTTCTTTATCTGAAGTTCTATCCTCAGCAAACAAATCCTCAATGTCCACAACCTGTGAATTCACTTTTTGTGAAGTATTACCACGACTATTATTCCCAATCTCAGGAATAGTAGGCATAATTTTCACTTTAGGAGTTTGAACTGGTGGATTTTGTGTACAATATGAACTATTACAACAGTTTTTCAAGCCGCATCCATTCGCATCACCATTTTGCTTCGGTGTAATCCTTGCAGTTTGTTTGGTTGACTCAGTCTCACTCAATAACTCTTCATCCTCAGAGCTATCTGCATTTTCATCAATTACAGGCTGTTCTTCATCATTAATAGGCCTATGCTCTGCGTCTCGTTGTCTTTTGTGCATCTCATACAGGACTAAACATCCTGCACTCACGATAAAGCATAAAACAAGCAGGAAAACAGCGACGATTGCTTGAAATGTGCCATAGGCAAAGTTTGGATTGCGGTTGTCCGGAGGTATTGTTTTATCCTTATCAAAAACAAGTAATAGAATAGAAAGAACTGCTGGTACTGCCCATCCAAATACATAGAAAGCTGGTTGGAGTTTGAAAATGACAAAACATAAACTACGAGATTCCAAAAATAAAAGTGTGATTGCAATAATAGCGGTCCAGATGCGTCCGCTGTAGATGCCAGTAGTGAATAAAAAGAACTGAATATGATTTGGGATGTTTTGTGTCAAATCAACGTAGCGATAGAGAATAGCACCCACGCAGCTTAAAATCTAAGAAAAAATAAGTTTAAACATGTAATGATTAACATTTTTGTATTTATATTACCTGTGATATAGTTAAACAAGCAACAAATTTATGTGGAACTTTGTTTGCTCGTTTTGTTAGCAGGAATACTAGCAATACCCAAATGGATGCAACTAAACTGATCCAGCTCACATCGCTAATAAACTCGACGAGTTGTTGCACGTACTTTTGCGGTGCAATGTTTGTCAATGTGATCATTTTTGCTGAGATAAACATCCATGGACCACTGACGAATGTGCAAGCTACCATTGTAGTGGCTACCAAGTCAATTTCTATGTTATAAGCGACTGCAAACACGAAAATTGTTGGTGCTGCAGGAATCGTTCCGTAGAGGAAACCGAAAGTGCTCCAGTCCAATGAATCGGATGCATTTTTACCCACGTTTAATATACTGATGATTTCTCTGGTTATTAATGGTAGAACCAGTCTAAAACAATCAAAAAACAATAAATTAAAATTAAAATAATTATTTTTTTCAAATTTGGAAAGTTAATGTAGGCAACCCATTGTACGCGAGCGCACATTTTGAGAACCACTGTGACTCCTCTACTTTTCGTAAAATTAATTAGTTTTTCTAATATTTAAAGCCTTAATTGCCGTATAAACTAATGAAGTTATATATTTTTGGAAAATAGATAAAAATATCTATTATAATCAGTTAAGATATTAAGAATCCAGTAATAAATAAAAAAGTTATTAACGATTTAAAATTCATTTCTAAAAATTTAGAAAAATCACTAAATTTAATGATTAAAAAAACAACACTTACAGTTTAACGAGTATAAGCAGACACGGTGTAATCAACTTGGCACCCGAAAGTGTTTTCAGCTTCCCAACCATTCGCATTCCCAGCGCAAACAACGCACACGCCGAAAAAGCTTGTCCAAGTGACTAAAACAAAATCAAAATATTTAAAAAAATGACAAAAACATATTTATAAAATACTTACACTTAAAATACTGTTCAAAAAGGCTGGTAAATTCTGTTTAAAACAAAATTTGCCAATATACCAAACACAGTCATGAAAATAATGGGATTTGTGTAGATTTTCTTTAACACATTCAAGACATAAATTAATCTTAGAGTGTGCACGCTCCTGACTCGATAACTGTTTCGAATTCTCGCCATTTGATCGGATATTGTTCGTGTTTCCATCATAAAGAAAGCAATTGGATTTAAAATCGCCAAATTCACCGGTGCCAGTAAATACATATAACTTGCAAAATCCGGATGTGAATTGTGATATAAAGCTTCAACTAAAATACAATTTTTCGATAAAATTTAATAATTATGAAGAAAAGTTACACTTATATCTTACCTATGGGATATCCAAGTGCAAAATCATTGCTTTGTGTGCAAAAAATAGCAATTAATCCACCTGTTGCAATACCTTTGCTGCCAAACACCATCACATAGATGATAATCACACCAATAAATATTAAACTCTTAGCGATGAGTATCCCAAGCAAAAAATACCAGTTTACAGTTGAGAGATCCATTTTCACCATGTTTACAAAGATGAGGGAAGGCAATACGAACACTCTGACAAAAGTGTTCATGCCTTTGAGTTCAGTTTCAGTAATGAGGTTCATTCGTCCTGATAAATATCTAAAATAACAAGTTATTAAGATTATAAAGTTGTAATATGAGTAAAATAAGTCTGCTCACCCTAAAAATATGATTCCAAAGCATGATACTAATGCTGGAATCAAGTTGTCAAAGTTTACATTGGCTACATCCAATTGCTCTATCGCAGGAGTTGAATTCATGCTGGAATCCATTTTGAGGTGGTTAGTTTGTCCAGGTAGTCCAGAATAGAATTGGATTTAGTGCTGTGGGTGTTGTAGGTGATGCCTGGACGTCCCACACACTTCGTTGCCCACACACGTTGTTTTTCTGCGCTTTCCCTCAATGATTATCGATTTTCCGCATCGCGTTGTCCTCGAATGCGTCGTTGTTTAATATTTCCGCGCCGCATTTTAGCACTTTTACGCTTGTCACTAGTGCAGTGGACACGCGAACCTGCAACCAGGGTTTACTATCGCTAATTACTAGTTGTTATCTATTTATGGGTAATTTTAGCGTAAATATGGTACGTTTGCTGCGTGAATTTGCGCCTACTCTGAGGCGATGAGTTGAGAAATGAAAGTCAGCTGATCGTCGTTCGTGCGTTACGTGCACCGGGCCGGTTGCCTGATGGCGTTACCAAGCCAGACAAAGCGCGAATTTTTAATTGAATTGTTTGTTTGGTCGAGTAATGAACGATAAACGACGGGTTAAAACCGTCATAACTTTGGTTGTCGTGTGTTTTGATGTTTATTCGGTAAATATCCAGCGCTGTATTTAAATTTTAACGTTCAATGATTTATAATAAGTAGTTCAATATCTAAACTTCATGTTTTAATCATTGGATGGTTTCCTGATAACGAACTCTGTAAAATAACAAACAAATTAGTAAATGTTTTGTGTTGTTTTTAGTATTTACAAATTGTGTGCACCTTGAATGTAGGCAACCCAACGTACAGAATTTGAAGTAACTATGATAAAACACGTTTTTATAGCGATTTAATCTTAAATATTTGCTGAAATTTATACTTACAACAATGTTTAAACATTTAAAGCATAATAAACAATAATAACAATGTTTAAATAGATTCTGTGCACTAAAAACACACGTTTGTTTACTAATACGTTTCTAACCTCACATTTAACGGTTAATTTTTCAAATTTGACATGGTGACTTTTTTTTCTAGGGTTATGAATTTTTGTGCATTGCCAATCTTGTAACTAGAAAATTGCATATTTCTTCAATGAAACAAAACTATTTAGGGTGGTAGCCATGTTGACCCAGTTTTGTAGCGGCCATTGAAATTTCGTCTAGACAGACGAAATTCTAGGAAATGTTACTATAATTTTTAACCCTTCTACTACGGAATGCCGCCATGTCTGGGATTCTACTACATATGGAAAAATTGATATTCTGGTTGGTTTTAGCGTTTTTAACATGTATTAGGGATATTATCAACCAAAAATAAAATAATACAACGTTATAAGACCGAAATTTCCAATATTTGCATTTATTTGGGTTGTAATTAATAAATATAAAGTTTAAAAATATATAAAAAAATAAATAAATATGCTTTTGACATTCTGTAAATTTTATATGAATTTGAGACTAATTGGCTATCCACAGCAGAGAGTAGAGACTGTTTGTAAAATTTTTAATTAACGAAAAGTTACTTTTACTTTGACATGATTTTAGAGATATTATACCTAAATTAAAACAATTTGTTGATAGTGGCATGAAAAGTTTATAAGATGTACTATTTTATGCTTTTTGTATTATTCAAATCGATTGAAAAATGTTTGAGTTACAGCCATCTGAACTTAATCCATTTTCCTACATTTTTTGTAATTTTCAGAAAAATTTGCTTTATTTCAAAAATTGAAAATAATAAGAAATAATTATAATTTTTTGAAAAATTTTACAGCAATAGAAAAATCACTTATTCAGGTATCATTTGAGAAAAATTTAAACATAAAATATAATGGGGTGGTTTGTAAAGGGGTTAAAACTTTAACCCCTAATTAACACTATTATTTAGAAGATAACATAATCAACTGATACATTTTCATAAAGATAATTTAATTTTCTATTTAATGACGTTTACAGATATCAAATTTTAATAATAGTTTAGAAGTTATTGCAGAAAGAATATGTAAAAACAAGGAACTTACTCAGTAGACCAAAAAATAAAATTTACCAGTTTAAAAATGTTTGTAGTTTAATTACGGAAGAAATTATTTATGCTACCAGTTTTGTTTTAACAGAAATTAAAAGACTATAAATTAAATTATAGTATTCTTCAATTTTAACAATATTTATTAAAGGGGTAGTTTGAGAAAGGGTTGAAACTTCAACCCTTAATCAAAGTCATAAAATAAAAAATATTTTAAGCATGTAGTATATCATTTTAAAGCTCAATTCATTTATAATTTAATAACGTTTACAAAATTTGAATAAGTAATTATATTTAGAAATTATTGTAAATGGAAACTCAAAAAACATATAAAATAAACAGCAGCATATAATAGATGTTACAAAACATGCACTGGAAAACACCTTGTATCTCTGTTTATTCTAGTTCGATATGGACGTTCTTTTTGTTATATTAAAGTGAAAGAGTTTCTTTATCTTCTACTGTATTTTTGACTTTCTGAAGAGTCCAGAATAACCCTAAACAAGTCTTTACAAGGTTGTTTGTTTTGACAATTTGTAAAACACGCTATGGAAAACACCCTGTATCTGGGCTGTTTCTAATTCAATTTGAGCGTTTTTTTGTTTTATTTAGTAGAGAAATAGTTGTTTTATTGTGTGATATACTTTTTGTTGCCCTAAGGGCCCTACAAAAGCCCTAAAATCTACTTTAAATGTCGACCTTTTTTGCAACTCATTAAAACACGCTCTCGAAAACACCTTGTATCTCGGCTGTTTCTGATTCAATTTGAGGGTTCTATAATTTATTTGGTAGAGGAATAGTTGCCTTATCGTTTATTATATTTTTTGTCCTCCTAGAAGCCCTGCAAATGCCCTAATATCTACTTTGAAAGTCAACCTTTTTTGCAATTCTTTAAAACACGCTTACTAAAACACCCTGTATCTCGGCTGTTTCTGGTTTAATTTGATTGTTCTTTATTTTATTTTGTAGAGAAAGAGTTGATTTATCGTCTGATATCATTTTTGGTACCCTAAAGAGTCTATAAATGTCCTAAAAACACCCTTAAATGTTGGTATTTTTAGCCCATTTTTTCCTTGATATCTGAAAATTTACGGCAAAGTTCTTAAAAATGATTTGAACTTATTTTGAATTCGTGCGAAGATCGCGCAAAAATTTTCAGCATCCTCGCACTTCTGGGTTCCTGGTACCCCAAATCAATTTTACCCTTAGTTTCGAGGCAAAATTAAACAAATTGAAAGAGAGAGACGGAGGGAGAAAAAAGGGCAGAAAATAGATTTCAAATTCAGTCGAAAATCCCGCGAAAGTTTTCAGCCTCCTCGACTTTCTGGGATCCGAATATCACAAACCAATTTTACCATTCATTTTCGGCTCGAAATTGTCGTGCACACAGAGCGAGAGGTTGATATAAAATCAGAGAGAGACAGATTTAGTCAAAAATCCCGCGAAAGTTTTCAACCTCCTCGACATTCTGGGATCCGGATAACACAACTAGATTTTACCACTGGTTTCAGCCAGAAATTGGACACACACACACACATGCAAATTCACACATACACGAAACAATAAATTGAGAATTTGTTGTTTTTAATTGGCAATGTAATAGAGACTTTTTTAAGCATTCAGGATTTGAAGTCCTTTTCCTTCTAGCCCTTTTAGTTTAGGAGTTATAGGCATTTAAAATTTTATTTTGATTTCAATGGAAAAAATTTGTACGGAAAAATTCGACCCTGTTCTTCGACCAAAAATATTTTAACGAAAAAAGTTCGACCCTGTTCTTCAGTCGAAAATAATTTCAAACGAAATAAAATTCAAACAAAATAATTTCCAATTTTTTTTATTGATTTTCTAACTAATATATTATTATAACAATTAAAAATTACATATTTGGGTTTGTATTTCGACTAAAAATAATTATAATACAAAATGGAGTCGATTTTTCAACAAATTTTCTGAAAAATATAGTAAAAAATGGTCATTTTTCGTGGGCATTTTAGAGCACTTCCCAATGGTATAGAGGGTGGATTAGGTACTCATTTTGTAGAGGCACTCTTCATTTATAACTTGACGGAGGAAAACCCCAAATTGCATTATTTTTTGAGGAGATACGGGGTGTTTTCTACGGCAACTTTTAGAAATTTTCAAAAAATGGCAACTTTCGAAGGGATTTTTAGGGTACTTCCCATGGGTTTAGAGGGTGAATTTGATATTCATTTTGTAGAGGCACTCTTCGTCTATAAGTTGACGCAGGAAAACCCTAAATTGCATTATTTTTACCAGAGATACGGGGTGTTTTCCACGGCAACTTTTAGAAATTTTAAAAAAAATGGCAATTTATGAAGAATTTTTAGGGTACTTCCCATTTGTTTAGAGGAAGAATTTGATACTCATTTTGTAGAGGCACTCTTCGTCTATAAGTTGATGCAGGAAAACCCCAAATTGCATTATTTTTACAAGAGATACGGGGTGTTTTCCAAGGCAACTTTTAGAAATTGTCAATGAATAGCAACTTTTGAATAGATTTTTACGGCATTTCCCTGGAGTTTAGAGGGTGAGTTGTATACTTATTTTGTAGAGGCACTCTTCATCTATAAAGTGACGTAGGAAATCCTCAAATTGCATTATTTTTACAGGAGATACGTTTTTTTTTCCAAGATAACTTTTATAAATTTTCAAAGAAGAGCAACTTTTGAAGGCATTTTTAGAGTACTTTCCAAGGGTGTCGAAGGTGAATTAGGTACTTATTTTGTATATTCACTCTTGGTCTATAAATTGACGTACGGAAACCACAAATTGCACTATTTTTATAGGTGATACGGGGTGTTTTCCACGACAACTAAAAAAAAAGAAGCCGTTTTTAAAGAAATTTTTAGTTTGATCCTGTTGTTCAAGAAATATTACTTCAAACTAAATCAAAATCAAACAAAAATAATTTCCAAGTCATTTTTTTATTGCTTTTCTCACAAAAATATTTTTATAATAAAAAAAAATTAATAATTACATATTTGGCTTAATATTACGACTAAAAATAATTATAATACAAAATGTGTCTCAAAATCCGCCTTGTCCACCAGTCAACAAAAATAGTGTTATACATTAGATTGAAGAGAATTTAAAAATCTAATTGATGAAAGTAACATAGTTCAAAAATATTAATTTGTTAAGAAAATTTTAATCTTTATATGAAAAAAGTCCCATCAAGTTTAAAGCAAATAGCATTAAACACGTAAAACAAGTTTGCACTCTTAAGAATGTACCTACATTAGCTTTAATAATGGTGAATTTATTATTCTCTTATAAATTGCCTGATTTTTGTTTATAAACAAATTAACAAACTTTTAACACTATTTCCTAAAATTCAATTACCACCCTTAATTTTGTAAGTCAAAATAATAAAAATTTTGCGTCCTTGTAAACAAAACAATATTAAAATTTAGTTTCATTCAATACAAGGTGTAACCATAAACTACGCGCACCTTTGTAATAATTTCCGTGTAGGTTGTTCATTTTTGCAGTTATTTATGCAATTTTTCTTGTCCTCCTCGTTATTCGCTGCGCCGCGTCGTGCAGCTTGTCATCAATGAACGTAACGT